GGAATCGGTGCTGCAGAGGCAGCCGCGGCGCCTCCTCACGCTGAGCCATTACATGACGGTATATCGGCTGTACGCCAGCCCTGCCCGGGGCCGGGCCTGGCGCCAGCTGCTCCTCTACTCGCTGGCCTTCTTCGTGGTGGTGACTGTGCAAGTTGGGGTCTGGGAGATCCTGGTGCTGTACGAGCTTGGCCCTCCGCTCTGCTGGTCCCCAGAGCTGATTGGCTACGGCTCAGCTGCCCACTACCTGGCCCACCTGAGCAGCCTGGGGGGGCTGCGGTTGCTGCAGAGGTGCCTGCCAGACGCCTGGGTGGCCCAGCTGGGCCTGCTCTCCAATGCGCTGGGGCTGGTGACCGTGGCCCTGGCTGGGACAACGGCCCTGATGTTCACAGGTGAGGCTGGGGGGGGGAGCAGGCTGGGGGGGGGAATCTGGTAGCCTCTCCCCAAAGGACCCTCAGGAGACCTCCGTGGGGTTGGCTTTCTTTCTTTCTTTCTTTTTCTTTTTTTTTCTCTTTCCTCTTTCCTTCCTTTTTTCTTTCTTTCTTTCTTTCTTCCTCCCTCCCTCCCTTTTTCTATCTTTCTTTCTCTTTCCTTCCCTTTTCTTTCTTTCTTTCTTTCTTTCTTTCTTTCTATCTTTCTTTTTCTCTTTCTTTCCTTTCCTTTCTTTCTTTTTTCTTTCTTTTTTTTCTTATTTCCATTTATTTATTTATGAAATTTATGAGCCTCCCCCATTTCCTATCCAATGAATAGGAGGCTTACAGTATAAAAACATGAAAAAACATTAAAACCAATCATTATAGAAACACAGTGGATAAAATCATTAACTAACATAACTAAATAGTAATTAAATAATTGTTAATTATTATAAGATTACTATTGCGTAAGAATGAAATAATCAGCCCCAGATGGGAAAGGGAGGAGAGGGAGGGGGGGGGCTTTGCAGGGTCCAGGGCCCACAATGGACCCAGAGCTTTGTGCCAAGCGCCCTTTTGGCATCACAACCTCACCCAACACCCGGCACCCACCCAGACGGCCCAGGGCAGCCGGCCTGCTCACGGTGCCAGGTTCTGCTGCTGTGGCAGGTGGGCTTGTGTGTTGGGGTGGCTCCCCTCCCCCACGAGGCTCCCCCAGGCCCTGCTCAGCTCTCCCGCTGCCTCACTGCCCGTCTTCCCCACAGGGTACGGGCTCCTGTTCCTCTCCATGATGGTCACTCCCGTGATCCGCTCCAAGCTCTCCAAATCGGTTGGCGAGAATGAGCAAGGTAGGGTGGAAGGGGGAGGACGGCTCTGCCCCTCCCCACGCCTCCGTGACCCCCTGTGCCCCCCCACTTCAGTGCTGCAAGGGTTGAGGGGCACTGCCATATTTTCCCTAACCCTACCCCCCCCCCCAGTAAAAAGCCTAGAATGAATGGAGCATTTGGGGACCCAGATTGGCCTGGGGGGGGGCTGCAAGGGGGCGAGACGGTCTGGGCACCCGCCCTGCGTCTGAGGCCGTTTTTCCAGGCTGCTTGACCCCTCCCCTTCCCTGTCTTCCTCCTCCGTCAGGGGCCCTCTTTGCTGCCGTGGCCTGCGTGGCGGGGCTGTGCTCCCTAGTGGCCACGGGGGTCTTCAGCTCCCTCTTCCCGGCCTGCCTGTCCTTCATGAAGGGCTTCCCCTTCCTCTTCGGAGCCGTCCTCCTCCTCGTTCCGGCTGCCATCATCGGGTGAGTCTGCCTAGGGGGACAGGTGGGGGGGTTGGGGTTCCTAGCTTTGGTGGTTCTTGACTGGGGATGATGGAGTCTGGAGTGCCCCCTGGAGGGAACGGCTGATCCAGAGCGCTCTCAGGCTCGGTTTGTCTTCCATGGAGTTGTCTGAAATTTCCTTTTAAAGCTGGCCGCTGTTTTCCAGTCCAGTCATGGGGAGTTCCAGGGGTTAACGCTGCCCCTCGGCTGCAGGTTTTGGCCAAAAAATGCAGCCGACCAAAAACCACCTTTCCCAACTTCCTGTTTTGAGAAAGGGAGAAAAAACCTGCTTCCTCCAAGCATCTCAGACATCCCCCCCCCAGTTGTTTCTCGCAGGAGCCCCCCCGAACGCCATCTGGGTCGCCCTCTCCCCGTCTCTTCCTGCTCTCCAAACAGGGCCATACAGTACAGGGGGTCCTTGGCTTACGACCGCTCCCTTAGTTCAGACTTATGACGGATCCACTTTGGGTGTTTACAACCTGTTGGGCCCTTCCAAGGACACAGGGCTGAACTCGGAGTGCTCGGCAACACAACCAGGTTTGCAGATGTTTGCAGCAACCTGCATTCATGTCACACCGAGACTGGACCCTCACATGTCTGAGACGATAAAGGCTCTCCTGCTCGACCAGGGGGCTGGACTAGAAGACCTCTGAGGTCCCTTCCAGCTCTGTTGTTCTCTTCTATTCTCTTCTCTTCTATTGTGTTCTCTTCTATATTCTATTCTATTTTCTATTCTATACTCTATTCTGTTCTCTTCTATATGCTATTTTCTATTCTATTCTATTCTAGACTTCATTACTCTACTTAGAACCACAACAGAGTCCCAAAATCTGTTGCTAAGCAAGACAGTCGTTAAGTGAGTTTTGCCCATTTTACAACCTTTACTGCCACAGTTATTAAGTGAATCATTGAAAGTATTAAGTTAATAACCTGTTTGTTAAGTGAATCTGGCTTCCCCCCCCCATCAACTTTGCTGGTCAGGTCGCAAAAGGGGGTCACGTGACACCCCTGAGATGCTGTGACCGTCATAAGTACTAGCTGGTTGCTAAGGGTGTGAACTCTGCTCCAGTGATCCTGGGGATGCTGCAACGGCTGTGTGAAAAACGGCCGCAAGTCCCTTTTTTCAATGCTGTTGTAGCTTCAAACGGTCACTAAACGAATGCTTGTGAGCAAGGGGCTGCCCATACAACAGTTTTGCCAAATAGCAAAAAAAAAAAAATTTAATCAATATTTCAACCATTGCAACTTAGAATAGCAACGGGGGGGGGTCAGTCGTATGTGGAGGACTAGCCAAGCAGGCCTCGTGCAGCAGGAGGGCCGCGCTGCCAGGCCCCAGAGACCCCTGACGGGCTGGCTGTCTCTCTCCTTCCAGGGGCATAGAGGTCCAGGATGGCACCGCCAGATTCTGGTGTTTTGGTGAGGCTCCCGGCCCGCGACAGGAGGCTGAGCCATCGCCCCAAGACGAGTGAAGCCTTGAATCAACTATAATAAAGGGAATAAAAATAAAAAAGAATGATTATAGGTTGAGAGCTTTTGCGGATGACTTGGTTGTGACACTATGTCAACCGATTCAATCGGTTATAGACTTGATGGAAATTATAACTCAGTATGGGAAAGTTTCTGGTTTTAAGGTAAATAATAGTAAGACTAAAATATTATCCAAAAATATGACTATGAAGGAAAAGGAAACGTTAGTTAAATTGACAGGTTTTGAAATAGTGAAAAAGGTTAAATACCTGGGAATATATATTACAGCTTCTAATGTAAAATTGTATAAAAATAATTATGGGATCTGAAGGATCATTCACAGGAAAGATACATTTCGGTCTGGAGAAGATGGATAGATTATATTCAGAATAAATATGGGACTAAAAAGTTCCATCTAATTTATGAGTAAATTTTAGAGTATTATTATTATTAATAATTTATTATAGTAAAATTTTTATTAGTTTTATTATTATTTTTAGTATTAGTATTGTTTAACAATTTGGATAAGTGCATATAGTCCAGGCCATGATTTTCCCAGTTGCCATGTATGGCTGTGAAAGCTGGACCATAAGAAAGGCTGAGCGCCAAAGAATGGAGGCCTTTGAACTCTGGTGCTGGAGAAGACTCCTGCGAGTCCCTTGGACTGCAAGGCGATCCAACAGGTCTGTCCTAGAGGAGCATCAACCCCGACTGCTCTTTAGAAGGCCAGATCCTGAAGTGGAAACTCAAGTCCTTTGGCCACCTAATGAGAAGGAAGGACTCCCTGGAGAAGGGCCCGATGCTGGGAAAGATGGAGGGCAAGAGAAGAAGGCGACAACAGAGAAGGAGGTGGCTGGATGGAGTCCCTGAAGCAGCAGGAGTCAGCTTCAGTGGACTCCAGAAGATGGTGGAGGACAGGAAAGCCTGGAGGAACGTTGTCCATGGGGGTTGCAATGGGTTGGACACGACTTCGCAACTAACAACATGCCTGGTACCAAGACCTGATCTTTTTGTTCTGGAAAGGTATAAAAGGTGGAAGACATCTTTCTTGATTGCTGCCTTCATCTCTCCACCAGCCACGAAGGGAGATGGGGTCACCCAACTCTATGTTGATCAAAATAAAAGTTGTTTGCTTGCCGAAACCTCGGCTCTGGCGTTTCTTTGGCACTTTTAAATTCCTGGATAACGCTGGGACAGTTGTGAGGCGAAGTGGAAAACCTGACCATTACATTTTAATATATTTATGAATTAGTGAGGCATTAAGGTCCTCTTTTCCTCCTGTGGCAGAGGCCCAACCCAGAGCCAATGGGGGGGGGGCAAAATCTGTGAGTATTATGCGAAAAGTTACAAACCTCTTGACTTTTTCCACACTTCATCATTCAACCGGGGCTCGTCAAATGCGCCCCTTTTTTCCATAGTTCAGTCTGCAGTCATTTCAGTTCACAGGTTGTCCCACAGGGGCCGGGATTCAACACTGCAAGGTTCTACACACACACACAAACACGCATAAACACAAACACACCCGCACGCACACACCGATATATGTAGCCCTTGCAGCAGTTCGCTTAGTTCCTCCAAGCGCCCATCCGGCAAGAACGGGCCGGAGTCCCCAGCTGAGCCCCCCCCCCAAATCCGGAAAAGCGCCGCTCCGCCCGGCTCGAACCTCCCCCGCGGGATGCAGGCCGAGTCCGCGCCGCCCAGCCAGCCACGGGCGGTCGCTGTGCGGGACAAGGCCGGCCCTCCGCTCCTCCCTTAGGGGAGGGAGGGCGGGCGCTGGGCTCCATCCCGCCTCCCGCCGCGTCCCCGGGCGGGGCGAAGGGAGGGGAGGCGGCTTTGCCCGCTGGGCGCCATGGCCGAGCAGGCGGCGGACGGGGTCCCGGGCGAGCCCCCCTCCGCGGCGGCGGCGACCCCCGCGGGCTCTCCCTTGAGTGCCTGCCGCCGCCTGCGCGCCGTGGAGCCGGTGCTGCTGCTGGCCACGCTGGCGCTGGCGCTGCAAGCCCCGCTCGCCACGCAGCTGCTCTGGGACCGGCTGGGCGCCCGCAACGGCTCCGACTCCGGCCCGGCAGGGGAGCCCCGCGGCGGCTGCCCCAACCACACCGGCTCCAGCCAGCAGGTGCGTCCCGCGGGGCCTCCGTCCCTCCGCTTGTGGCTCCTTTTCCAGGCTCTTTGCAATCTGCAGACGGGATGACGGGAGGTCTCTCTCTTTTCCGCCAGTGGCTCAGAACGCCTCGTACTTTGATCCTATCTTGCCCCGAGCGCCTTTCCGGGTCTCTCCTGCGGGGAAATTTCTCTGAACCCTTCGTTGTCCCGTCATTCGCTTTTCCTGCAACGCCTTCCTCTTTTCCTGCTTTTGAATTACTCTTTATAGAAAAACAAAAACAAAAACAAAACACTTTAACCTAAGTCATTCATTCGCCATGGTCGTTTACAGGAGGGCACCTGGTTGCTGCTTTATTACTATTATTGTTGTTGTTATTATTATTATTCATTAGACATGAATCTCAGTCAACGGAACATTCAAATTGGCTGGCGCTATTATTATTATTATTATCGATCATCGCACAGTCAGCCAGATGTTCAGACTGGATTTGGCATTTTGTCTACCTATCGAGTCCTTACCCAGGACCTGGGATAGGCAGATGTGGATGTTTGATGGTATTACAGATATCGTCGCAGGATGGAAGCAGTTCCTAGTAAGGACGCCTTTTGCAATTGAGTAATGGCGAATTTGTCAATGCCAATGATGGTGTTCAAGTGGTGCTCCAGTTGTTTTGGGATTGCACCCAAGGCGCCTATGATTATTGGTATTATTTATTTATTTATTTATTTATATTATTATTATTATTATTATTATTTATTACTATTATCATTATTATTATTCCCTTCTGGGGGAGCTCCAGGTGGGTAGATTTCCAAGAAGTGGGTTCTCTCCTTAAAGCCTGCAGGAGCCAAGACATTCTTTCCTGCTGAAAAGTGATTGTGGTGATTGTCCAAGGCTGTTTCTGCAGTTGGATTGTTGTGCCTGAGTTGTTGTGTAGCTAAAGAGAGGAGGGTTGTTGCCAGGCTGAGTGTCTGGTGTTCCTTTGCATTCCTCACTGGATCCCAGATTATTCCTCCCACCCTCCCTCCCTCCCTCCTTCAAGGGTTTACGTCTTAAAGCGACCAGATAAGGACTCCCAATCAAATCACACCCCCTCCTGCCTCAGTTGCAACACTTGTGCAGTTGTGTGTCCTGATAACTCCCTTAATGGAGCACCTGCTTGCATCCAGGATCCTCCATTTCATGTACACATCCAGAAGTGGGGTTCTGTCCAAAGCAGGGGGTGTCCCACCCTGGCTACTTGAGGACCAGAACGATTATAAGGAATAAAGAGATGGGCTTTTATTTAGATGCAGCGTTTCCCAACCTTGGGAACCACTGATTTAGAGCAAAGAGCTGGTAATATCCTGACAAAGATTAAAATGAGAACTCTCTGCCTTGAAACGGATGCAACATGAGAAGTAGTGTGAGGCCAGGGTCTCCAAACGCGGCAACTTTAAGACTGGCGGACTCCTATTCCCAAAATTCCTAAGCAAGCATGGCTTGCTGAACAAGGAATTCTGGGAATTGAAGTCCACAAGTCTTAGAGTCGCCAAGTTTCGAGACCTCTGTATTGGATCTCTGTGTCTCCTTGTGCGCCCTCCCTCTGGGCCTGTGGCATCTTTGGGGACCTTTCTGCGCCCCTCTTTCCCAGAAGGATAACATGGTTATGGACCCAGAAGGATAACATGGTTATCTCTCCCTGCTTGAGCAGGGGGTCAGGCTAGAAGACCACCAAGGCCCCTTTTTCTCCCTTTCCAGGAGCTGGAGACGTTGGTGGCCCACTGGAACCTCTACCTCAACCTGGCCGGCTTCTTTGTGGGGCTCTTCTCGGTGACCCTCTTCGGCCCCTGGAGCGACAGCGTGGGACGTCGGCCGGTGCTGATCCTGCCCGCGCTGGGCATGGCCCTGCAAGCCGCCGTCTACCTGGTGGTCATGTACGCCGAGCTGCCCGTGGGATACCTGGTGGTGGGCCGCGTGCTGAGCGGCCTCTCGGGAGACTACAACCTGATCCTCGCCGGCTGCTTCGCCTATGTGGCTGATGTCAGCGACCGGACGGCCCGCACGTTCCGGGTGGCCGTCCTGGAGGCCTGCCTGGGCCTGGCGGGCATGGTGGCCAGCGTGCTGGGTGGGCAGTGGCGCAAGGCGCAGGGCTATGTGGCGCCCTTCTGGCTGGTCTTCGCCGCCAGCCTGGCTGCCGCCCTCTACGCGGCCTTTGTCCTACAGGAATCGGTGCTGCAGAGGCAGCCACGGCGCCTCCTCACGCTGCGCCATTACGCGACAGTGTATCGGCTGTACACCAGCCCTGCCTGTGGCCGGGCCTGGCACCGGCTGCTCCTCTACTCACTGGCCTTCTTCGTGGTGGTGACAGTGCACTTTGGAGCCCGGGAGATCCTGGTGCTGTACGAGCTCGGCCCTCCGCTCTGCTGGTCCCCAGAGCTGATTGGCTACGGCTCAGCTGCCCAGTACCTGACCTACCTGAGCAGCCTGGGGGGGCTGTGGTTGCTGCAGAGGTGCCTGCCAGACGCCTGGGTAGCCCAGCTGGGCCTGCTCTCCAATGCGCTGGGGCTGGTGACTGTGGCCCTGGCCGGGACGACGGCCCTGATGTTCACAGGTGAGGCTGGGGGGGGGAGCAGGCTGGGGGGGGGATCTGGTAGCCTCTCCCCAAAGGACCCTCAGGAGACCTACGTGGGGTTGGCTTTCTTTCTTTCTTTCTTTCCTTCCTTTCTTTTTTTCTTTCTTTTTCTTTCTTTCTTTCTTTCTTTCTTTCTTTTTCTTTCTTGTTCTCTTTCCTTTCTTTCCTTCCTTTTTTCTTTCTTTTTCTTCCTTCCTCCCTCCCTCTCTCCCTCCCTTTTTCTATCTTTCTTTCTCTCTCTTTCCTTCCCTTTTCTTTCTATCTTTCTTTCTCTCTCTCTTTCCTTCCCCTTTCTTTCTTTCTTTCTTTCTTTTTCTTTCCTTCCTTCCTTCTTTTTCTTTCTTTTTCTTTCCTCTCTTATTTCCATTTATTTATTTATTTATTTAATGAAATTTATGAGCCCCCCCATCTCATATTCAATGACTGGGCAGCTTACAGCATAAAAACATAAAAACATGAAAAAACATTAAAACCAATCATTATAGAAACACAGTGGATAAAATCATTAACTAACATAACTAAATAGTAATTAAATAATTGTTAATTATTATAAGATTACTATTGCGTAAGAATGAAATAATCAGCCCCAGATGGGAAAGGGAGGAGAGGGAGGGGTGGGGGGGCTTTGCAGGGTCCAGGGCCCACAATGGACCCAGAGCTTTGTGCCAAGCGCCCTTTTGGCATCACAACCTCACCCAACACCCGGCACCCACCCAGACGGCCCACGGCAGCCGGCCTGCTCACGGTGCCAGGTTCTGCTGCTGTGGCAGGTGGGCTTGTGTGTCGGGGTGGCTCCCCCCCCCCACGAGGCTCCCCCAGGCCCTGCTCAGCTCTCCCGCTGCCTCACTGCCCGTCTTCCCCACAGGGTACGGGCTCCTGTTCCTCTCCATGATGGTCACTCCCGTGATCCGCTCCAAGCTCTCCAAATCGGTTGGCGAGAATGAGCAAGGTAGGGTGGAAGGGGGAGGACGGCTCTGCCCCTCCCCACACCTCCGTGACCCCCTGTGCCCCCCCACTTCAGTGCTGCAAGGGTTGAGGGGCACTGCCATATTTTCCCTAACCTTACCCCCCCCAGTAAAAAGCCTAGAATGAATGGAGCATTTGGGGACCCAGATTGGCCTGGGGGGGGGGCTGCAAGGGGGCGAGACGGTCTGGGCACCCGCCCTGCGTCTGAGGCCCCCGTTTTTCCAGGCTGCTTGACCCCTCCCCTTCCCTGTCTTCCTCCTCCGTCAGGGGCCCTCTTTGCCGCCGTGGCCTGTGTGGAGGGGCTGTGCTCCCTAGTGGCCACGGGGGTCTTCAGCTCCCTCTTCCCGGCCTGCCTGTCCTTCATGAAGGGCTTCCCCTTCCTCTTCGGAGCCATCCTCCTCCTCGTTCCGGCTGCCATCATCGGGTGAGTCTGCCTAGGGGGACAGGTGGGGGGGTTGGGGTTCCTAGCTTTGGTGGTTCTTGACTGGGGATGATGGAGTCTGGAGTCCCCCCTGGAGGGAACGGCTGATCCAGAGCGCTCTCAGGCTCGGTTTGTCTTCCATGGAGTTGTCTGAAATTCCCTTTTAAAGCTGGCCGCTGTTTTCCAGTCCAGTGACGGGGAGTTCCAGGGGTTAACGCTGCGCCTTGGTTGCAGTTTTGGTCAAAAAATGCAGCCGGCAGCCAGTCAGGGACAAAAACCACCTTTCCCAACTTCCTGTTTTGAGAAAGGGAGAAAAACCTGCTTCCTCCAAGCATCTGGGACGTCCCCCCCCAGCTTTTTCTCACAGGAGCCCCCCAAACACCATCTGGGTCTCTATTTTCTATTCTTCTATTCTATTCAATTCTATTCTAATGTCTGAGATGGTAGAGGTCCTCCTGCTTGAGCAGGGGGCTGGACTAGAAGACCTCCGAGGTCCCTTGCAGCTTCTATTCTATTCCAATTCTATTCTATACTTCCTCTACTTACAATCACAATAGACCCCAAAATCTGTTGCTAAGCAAGACAGTCGTTAAATGAGTTTTGCCCCATTTTACGACCTTTACTGCCATAGTTATTAAGTGAATCATTGCAATTGTTAAGTTAATAACCTGGTTTTTAAGTGAATCTGGCTTCCCTCCCCATCGACTTTGCTGGTCAGGTCGCAAAAGGGAATCACATGACACCCCAGGATGCTGTGACCGTCATAAATATTAGCCGGTTGCTAAGGGTGTGAACGCTACTCCAGTGACAGCTGTGTGAAAAATGGCCGCAAGTCCCTTTTTTCAATGTTGTAACTTCAAACGGTCACTAAACGAATCCTTGTGAGCAAGGGGCCGCCCATACAACAGTTTTGCCAAATAGCAAAAAAAATTTAATCAATGTTTTAACCATTGCAAGTTAGAATAGCAACGGGGGGGTCAGTCGTATGTGGAGGACTAGCCAAGCAGACCTCGTGCAGCAGGAGGGCCGCGCTGCCAGGCCCCACAGACCCCTGACAGGCTGGCTGTCTCTCTCCTTCCAGGGGCATAGAAGTCCAGGACGGCACGGCCAGATACCGGCGTTTTGGTGAGGCTCCCAGCTCGCGACAGGAGGCTGAGCCATCGCCCCAAGACGAGTGAAGCCATCGGCCCTCCTGGGCACAGAGGACCTGCATCACGATCGTCTGGATCCCCGATGGATCAGGGTTTAGGACTTGTTGCTGTGTGAATGCAGAGATGTCATCTTGGGTCTAAACCAAGGGTCTTCAAACTTGGCCCTTTGATGACTTGTGGACTTCAACTCAGCCTGGCTCAGGAATTCTGGGAGTTGAAGTCCACAAGTCATCAAAGGGCCGAGTTGGAAGACGCCTGCCTTAAAGCCTCCCGGCTGAGGAATTCTGGGAATTGAAGTCCACAAGTCATAAAAGGGCCAAGTTGGAAGACCCTTGGTCTAAACCAAGGGTCTCCAGACATGGCCACTTTAAGACTTGGGGGCTTCAAATGCCATAATTCTGGGAGCTGACGTCCCCAAGTCTTAAACTGGCCAGGTCTAAACTGACGAGACCAGGCAGCCCAGTGAGGGGGGTGCCCGCTGTTCTTCCAGCTGGGACTTGGCAGAGGGACCCCCAATGCCTCCAGACAAGGTCCTGTGGGTGTGGCACAGTGGGAGGAGCCCGAGGATGCTGTGGGGTCTTCAGACCCTGCCCTGCCAAGACTCTTCCTGATGTGAGGCTGCCAGGACCGAAGCAGGGGCTGAGAAGGGGGGAAATGACCGCTGGGCACCAGTCCTCACCCTGCCAGCCCACTCCCAGCTCTCCTGTGGAGCTGAGGAACAATAAAAAGGAAACTGAAGCGACTTACTGGGGTCTCTGTGCTGCTTGAGGATGGACGGAGGGCAGAGGGACCGCCCCCTGGCACAGCAGCTCAGCCTGTGTGCTAGGAAGGGATGCCTGATGGAGTGGCATAACACACCTGTCCCACATTTTGTTACAGCTCCACTCCTGGGCTGCCCATGTCCTCTTTTGCCAAAGGGCTGTGCTTGTGTGTACACTTTTGAGCGACTCCTGGCACTCTGGTGGAGCAGCTCCTGCAATTTCTCGGCAAGACTTTCAGGGTTGATTCCCCCCCCCCTTTCCTAGAGCTGAGAGGAGGACTGGCTCAAGGTTGTCCAGCTGGCTTTGTGTCTAAGGCAGGACCGGAACTCACGTCTTCCGGTTTCTAATAAAGGAGAATCTTTGCAGCTCTGGGTTGAAATGAGGAGGTCCTTGGTGCTCTCTGACCTTAGTGGGTTTTTTTCTTGCAGATGCTTCATGACCCAACTAGGGAACATCATCAGTGCGAGAAGTGGGGGGAATGCAGAGAGGAGGAGGAGGAGAACGGTGGGGTCCTTGGTGCTCTCTGAGCTTGGCTGTTTTCTTGCAGACATTTGGCTGCCCCAAAGAAGAGGGAGTCAAGCTATTTTCCAAAGCACCTGAAGGCAGGATGAGAAGCAACGGATGGAAACTGACCACGGAGAGAAGCAACTTACCGAACTAGGGAATGTCATCAGTGCGAGGAGAACGAGGAGTTATAATAATGATAAAGTTGGAAGGGACCTTGGAGGTCATCTAGCCCAACCCCCTGCTCAGGCAGGAAACTTTGGACAAATGGCTGTCCAGTCTCTTCTTAAAAACTTCCAGTGTTGGAGCATTTACTGCTTCTGGAGGCAGGTGGTTCCACTGGTTAATTGTTCTCACTGTCAGGAAGTTTCTCCTTAGTTCTAAGTTGCTTCTCTCCTTGGTCAGTTTCCAGCCGTTGCTTCTCATCCTGCCTTCAGGTGCTTTGGAAAATAGCTTGACTCCCTCTTCTTTGGGGCAGCCCCCGAGATACTGGAACATTGCTATCATGTCCCCCCTCGACCTTCTCTTCATTAAACTAGACATACCCAATTCCAGCAACCGTTCCTTATGTTTTAGCCTCCAGTCCCCTATTATCTTTATTGCTCTTCTTCTGTACTCTTTCTAGGCATATTCCTCCAGAAAATCTGTGAATTTATAGCCAAGTAACTCAGTCCCTTTCTTTGATGGATGCAAACCATCTCTTTTGTACATTTTTTCCTGGGACCAGCTACAACAACCAGTTGTTGTTACGGGATCCTTTGTGCTCCTTGAGCTCATTTTTTTTCCTTACAGACTTTTCATGACCCGACTAGGGAACGTCATCAGTGCTACAAGGGGTTTGCGAAGAGAAGGGGGAGGGACTAGGAGATGAAGGAGGAGCTATGGGGTCCTTTGTGCTCTCTGAGCTTGTTTTTTTTTCTTGCAGACATTTCATAACCCGGCTAGGGAACGTCATCAGAGCTAGTGGGGGTGGGGGGGGGGGGTGAGAGCAAACACCTCCCCCTAATAGCATTGATGATGTTGCCTAGTTTGGTAATGAAACGTCTGCAAGAAAACCTCCAAGCTCAGAGGACACCAAGGACGCCTCACTCTGGTTTCTAGCCTGGCAGCTGAAGCACCACAACATCCGTCTCGGCTTTCAAAGCAGAAAGAACGGGACACTCATAGAGCAGGAGTAGTGCAGGGGTAGGCAACCTTGGCTCTTTTATGACTGGTGGACTTCAACTCCCAGAATTCCTGAGCCAGCATGCTGAGGGAAAAGGGAGAGGTTTCCAAGCTGAGCCATGCTGGCTCAGGAATTCTGGGAGTTGAAGTTCACCAGTCATGAAGGGGCATAGTTCCCCCATGCTAGCTCAGGAATTCTGGGAGTTGAAGTCCACAAGTCATGAAGGGGCCACAGTTCCCCATGCTGGCTCAGGAATTCTGGGAGTTGAAGTCCACCAGTCATAAAAGAGCCCAGGTTGCCTACCCCTGGTCTAGTGAACAGCTTTGCCTCTGGGCTGCTGGGTGACTGAGCAGGCCAGCAGCTTTGACCAGCCCGTTATTTTTATTTGTATCCCAAATAAATTGAATTTGAATTTGGGGTGCTCCTATTCCCCCCAACGGCACCGAGAACAGCAATGCCGTTACTGTGGAGCAGCACAAAAGATACTTGCCTTTCCCTCCCCCTTGGCCCTCAGGGTGGAAAGAGGCAGAGAGGCCATTAGATTTGGGGGCTCCCGGTCATTCTGGAACGGCCCACCCCCCACCCCGTGCCCCTCAGATCCAGACTGGCGTCAAGGCTGAGCCGAGGTGGCGCAGCAGTTAGAGTGCAGTACTGCAGGCCACTTTAGCTGACTGTGTTCAGCAGGTCAGCGGTTCAAATCTCACCGGCTCAAGGTTGACTCAGCCTTCCATCCTTCCGGGGTAGGTAAAATGAGGACCCAGATTGTTGGGGGCAACGTAAATATATATATACATTGCTTACTGGTGTACACCGCTTAGAGAGTGCTTGCACTTAGAGCGGTATATAAGTCTCATAAATAAATAAATAAATAAATAAAGGCTGGGAAATGAGCAGACCGACCATTTGTGACCATCCCTTTTTGCAACTTTTATAAAAGCTTTTCTTTCCCTGCACAAGGAAGAGATCAGAGTAAAACCCCCCCAGCCCTCCCCCCCCCGTACCCGGCCAGCCTGGGCAAGATCTCCCCTTCTCGAACACGAGTCCTGTGCCAGCTTCCCCTGGCATCCACTTCTGGAGGCGTTCTGGGTTGTGAGGCACATGTGCAAGAGGGCCGGTCTCTCCACGCCTGGCAGGATCGGAAAAGACGGCCGGGGCAGAAGGCACAGGCAGCGGCATCGCTGGGGGGGGGGGCACGTGGGGTGCTCTGAGGGTTCGGCCTCCCCCCCCCTGACCCCTCAAGTCTCCCCTTGAGCCAAACCAGCAGGAATTGGGGGGGGGGCTTTTCATGCTAAGGAAGCCGGCCGTGGCACAGAGACCCCCTCGGAGCATTCCAGCCAAAGAAACGTGGAAGCTGCCGTCGCCTTGGAAGTGGCAAACCACGACTCCCAGTTGGGGGGGAGCACAGGGGGCTGCTGGGGGAAGGAGGCATGGCGGGGGAAGGGGAAGGAGCCCTCCCTTTGGCCCCTCCTGGGCTCCTAGGGGGTCACTCCATCTGCAGACCCACCAACTGCCCATCAGAGGAGTCCCATTAAAGCCTGAGCCTCCCTTTTGGGGGCCAGACGTGGTCAGGCCGCCTCCCTGGCTGGGCCCCCCTGGAATGCTCCCAGGGGAGGGGGCAGCGGTGACGCCCCCCTCCCCAGAACAGGACCTCAACCTGTGGCAGGCACCAGGTGGGGATGCCCAAGGCCTCGCTAGGCCGCGGCTGAAGGGTCCTGAGCAGTGGGGGGCAGGCGAGGCAGCGCTGGGGGGGAGGGCCAGACGGGCAGGCGGAAGGGCTGGGCCAGGACCCCCTGCAGGAGGGGGGCTCCAGGGACTTGCTGGCAAGGCCTGCTTTGCTGCCGATGAGGAGGGCCCCCCAAGATGCTTTTTCTCCAAAGGGCAACTGGAATGTCTTGGGGGTTTTTCCTCTGAAAACACTTCGCTTCTCATCCAAGAAGCGGAGGGAGGGAGGGGGGGAAGGAAGGAAGGAAGGAAAAGAATGAGTTAAGGAAGAAGGAAGGAAGGAAGATGATAAAGAGACAAAGATAAGGAAGGAAAGAAAGAGAAAGAAAGAAAGGAAGGAAGGAAGGAAAGAAAGAAAGAAAGAAAGAAAAGAAAGAAAGAAAGAAAGAGAAAGAAAGAAAAAGAAAGAAAGAAAGAAAGAAAGAAAGAAAGAAAGAAAGAAAGAAAGAAAGAAAGAAAGAAAGAAAGAAAGAAAAGGAGAGATGGAGGATGGAAGAAAGGGAAATGGGAGGGAGGGAGGGATGGAGGAAGCAAGAAAAATATGATGGAAGGAAAATAAGAAAAGGAAATGGGAAGACGGGAGAAAGGAAGGAAGGAAGGAAGGAAGATGAGAAAGGGACAAAGATAAGGAAGGAAGGAAGGAAGGAAAGAAAGAAAGAAAGAAAGAAAGAAAGGAAAGAAAGAAAGAAAGAAAAAGAAAGAAAGAAAGAAAGAAAGAGAAAAGGAGAGATGGAGGATGGAAGAAAGGGAAATGGGAGGGAGGGAGGGATGGAGGAAGCAAGAAAAATATGATGGAAGGAAAATAAGAAAAGGAAATGGGAAGACGGGAGAAAGGAAGGAAGGAAGGAAGGAAGATGAGAAAGGGACAAAGATAAGGAAGGAAGGAAGGAAGGAAAGAAAGAAAGAAAGAAAGAAAGAAAGAAAAAGAAAGAAAGAAAGAAAGAAAGAAAGAAAGAAAGAAAGAAAGAAAGAAAGAAAAGGAGAGATGGAGGATGGAAGAAAGGGAAATGGGAGGGAGGGAGGGATGGAGGAAGCAAGAAAAATATGATGGAAGGAAAATAAGAAAAGGAAATGGGAAGACGGGAGAAAGGAAGGAAGGAAGGAAGGAAGATGAGAAAGGGACAAAGATAAGGAAGGAAGGAAGGAAAGAAAGAAAGAAAGAAAGAAAGAAAGAAAGAAAGAAAGAAAGAAAATAAAAAAGAAATAAAGAAAAATGAAAGAAAGAAAAAGAAAAAGAAAAGGAGAGATGGAGGATGGAAGAAAGGGAAATGGGAGGGAGGGAGGGATGGAGGAAGCAAGAAAAATATGATGGAAGGAAAATAAGAAAAGGAAATGGGAAGACGGGAGAAAGGAAGGAAGGAAGGAAGGAAGATGAGAAAGGGACAAAGATAAGGAAGGAAGGAAGGAAGGAAGGAAAGAAAGAAAGAAAGAAAGAAAGAAAGAAAGAAAGAAAGAAAGAAAGAAAGAAAGAAAGAAAATAAAAAAGAAATAAAGAAAAATGAAAGAAAGAAAAAGAAAAGGAGAGATGGAGGATGGAAGAAAGGGAAATGGGAAGGAGGGAGGGATAGAGGAAGCAAGAAAAATAGGATGGAAGGAAAATAAGAAGAAAAGGAAATGGGAAGAAGGGAGAAAGAAAGGAAGGAGAGAAGGAACCCTGAAGAACCGAAGAAGCTTCTTGGACGAGAAGTGAAACGTTTTCAAGGAAAAACCCAAGAATCTTCCAGCTGCCCTTTGGGGGGAAAAAACCCTTGGGGACAAGCGTGAGACCTAGAGAATGGAGGGAAGGGCCCGTCCCCACCCACTTCACAAGCCTCCCCCACTCGTGGCAGCCCGACTGGACGGCTCCCCCAGACCCCCCCACCCTGCCCCACAGCCCTGTGGGGAGATCCAGTACGGAATCCACTGAGGAGGGGCCTGGGGGAAGAATGATCTCCTGACTCCAAAGCCCGGGGGGCTGGGGTGGACTTGGGAGGCCCCTGGGGGGAGGGGAAGGAGCCCGTCCGTCCGTCCTCCTAGCTCTGCTCCAGGGGGGGCCCACACTCCAGGCTGTTTTCCGACCCTGCGGAGGAGTCCTGGGAGGAGCGCCCCTGCAGGAAGCGGATCAGTTTCTCGACGGTGGCCTCCTGGTACTCGTGGGACCACCTGCAGGGGGGAGACAAGGAGGGGAGGCTTGGGGGCGGGCGGGGGAGGGGAAACCCAGCCTGGCCCCCCAATTGCACAAACTGTGGAGTCCTCCCAATGGTTCATTTAGTGACCGTTCCAAGTTCCAATGGCTCTGAAGAAAAGGAGCTCTGACCGTTTTTCACACTTACGGCCATCGCAGCACCCCCCAAATCAAAATTCAGCCACTTAAAGCAACCGACTCGCATTTACGAAGGCTGCGGCGTCCTGGGTTCAAGCCATCCCCTTTGGCCACCTTCTGGCAGGCAAAATCAATGGGGAAGAAGCCAGATTCACTTAACGACCACGTGAGTAACTTAACAACTGAATAGCAGAATAACAGAGTTGGAAGGGACCTTAGAGGTCTTCTAGTCCAACCCCCCCTGCTCAGGCAGGAAGCTGCAGGGGTTCACTTAACAACTCTGGCAAGAAAGTTACAAAGTGGGGCAAAACTCATTTAAGAACTGTCTCGCTTAGCCACAGAAATGTTGAGCTCCCTTGTGGTCGTAAGCCGAGGACTGCCTGCACAAGGCCAGCAACGTCTCTGGGCAGGGCCTGCCGTGGCTTCTCTCGTGGCCTGGGGACCCCTGCCCTCCGTCGCTCCATGCCCAGGGATGCACGGGGTGGCCCAATGGGATGGGGAAGACCTCACCCACCCACCCCGCTTTGCCCCCCCCCCACTTACTTGATCCCGTTGAACTTCAGGATGGCCCTCATGTCCTCCGGAAGCTCTTCCGGGTCGGGCCACTCAAAGTGGTCGGCCACCGGGATGACGTTCTTCCTGCAGCTCAGGGCAGTGGCTATTTCCTGCAAGGGCAACCTTCTCAAGCCCCTCCTGCCAGACCCCCCCCCTTCCAGACCCCCACCCCGAGCCCTCTCCTGCCCCACCTTCTAGACCCCAAGCCCCCTCCTGCCCCCCCCTCCAGCAGCCTGGCCCCCTTGCAGGGCGTCTGGACTGGCCGCATCTGGACAGCCGTCCCGGTTGCTGCCTTGGGGGCCATTTCCTCCCGAACCCCTCCTTTCACCTTGTGCACCCAGTCTCTGCCGGCCACGTCCCCCTTGCAGCGGTCCAGGGCCTGGACCGAGAGGACCAGCACGAAATTCCGGGCACTCATCACACTCTGGGTCAGCTTGTCCTCAAATTTCCCGGCCTCCAACTTTTCCACGTCGAGGAAGACGCTGAATCCGTGCAGCTGGAGGTGGACCTTCAGGAGGCTGCGGGCGGGAGCAGTGGGGGGGCATTTGAGGGAGACCCTTTGCTTTGCTCTTCCCCTGGCAGGTCCAACCTCTGGTGCTCGCTGGGGTGGGTGGTCTTCTTGCATCTGGAGGGGACCCTGCAGGTCTTCTAGTTCAGAGGTCCCCAACCTTAAGGGCACCAAGGACCAGATATGTGGAGAGAGGTTTTTCCGTGGACCGGAAGGGGCGTGGCTTTGTGTGCGGCCTTGGAGGGGGCTTTCATGTTTGGGCAGACCGGTTGCTGGCATGCTGCTGCGGCCTGGTACTGGTCCACGGACCGGGGGTTGGGGACCCCTGTTCTAGTCCAATTCCTATGCAAGCAGGAGACCCTAGAGCAGTGGTTCTCAACCTTTCTAATGCCGCGACCCCATAATACAGTTCTCCATGTTGTGGTGACCCCCAACCACTTATACATCACCGGGTGCCAGGGGCGTGGCCAAAGAAAAGGGGGGAAAATGGCGGACAGCCTTGTTTGGCGGCCCCCATGAAATGGTCGTTCGACCCCAAATGGGGTCCCGACCCACAGGTTGAGAACCACTGCCCTAGAGCAGGGGTCTTCGAAGTTGGCCCTTTGATGACTGGTGGACTTCAACTCCCAGAATTCCTCAGCCAGGCATGCGTACCTGGCTGAGGAATTCTGGGAGTTGAAGTCCACAAGTCATCAAAGGGCCAACTTTGAAGACCCCTGGCCTAGAGTCTCAGCATCTTTTTTATGTTGTGGGTGACCACAACTGGATGCAATATTCCAAGTGTAGCACTGATGATGTTCCCTAGTTTGGTAATGAAACGTCTGCAAGAAAGCCACCAAGCTCAGAGAGCACCAAGGACCCCTCGTTTCAACCCTGGACTACAAATAATCCCCTTTATTAGATCCAGTCCCACATTATATGGGGGTTGACTGGAAACACAGGGAGGGCCAGGGGTGTTCCCAGAATTGTCCATTCCCTGCTTTGGGTTTATTTTGACAAGAAACAAAGGCTTCCGGCAAGGAAAAGTGACATGCAGGACCCCACCTGAGACCACCTGGTGCACGTCCCTTGGGACCTCAGGCTGCCCCCCTCAGGAGACACTTCAGGGTGGGGGCTGAGCTCATCTTTCAGAAGGGCACGGCCTGTGGGGCTAGGGTCCCACCCAGGGAGCCCCTCCCCCCATACCTGGCCAGCTGGGATCCGGTGCGTCGTCGGTAGCTGATGAAGACGTCCGTGCCCTCCAAGGCGGACTTCCGGCTGTTGCACGGCAGAGGCGAGTGAAGCATCTCTGGGCGGGGCAAGGGAAGCAGCACAAAGGGCTGGGTGGGGCCCTTCCAGCCCCCCCCCTCTCCGAAAGGCAGGCTGGGTTAGCCAGAGACCCCCCCCCCAGCTGCACCTCTCCCCAGGAAGCCAAGAACAATTAGGGACGTTCGGCTGAAGCTTGACCAGATGCACCTGGGGACTGAGTCCAGCCTATGGTCAGAATTAATCCATGGGGGGGGGGACTCAATTGGGACTCCTCCTCCAGGACCCCCACCCCAGACCCCTCCCTCCCCCTGGATCTGAGGATCAGGGAAGAGGCAGACGGGCTTCAGCAGCCAGCAAGGCCTGGAAATCCGGGGAGCGATGGGGGTCTGTGCTGCTGATGCTGCTGCTTGGCTGCCCCCCCCCCCACAGAGTCCCCTTTGGAGTTATGTATGTCTTGGGAGAGGCCAGCCCCCCCTTCCCCCCCCCCCAGAATCTGGGCCAGCTGCCTGTATCTTGAGTGGACTGGAGTAGGGGTGGCCAGTGGGGGGGGATCCCTCTTGCCCCCACCCCGCTTACCCCGCGCGGCGGAGAGGATGCGGACGCGGTGGAAGCCCAGGCCGATGTGGCAGTCGTCCTGCAGCTGCTGCTCCGTCACGCGGTGGAGGACGTGGCGGTCGATGCCGCAGGTGACCAGGTTGTAGGTGTACTGGCGGAATTTGGGGTCAACGCCGGCCAGCCAGTCGGCCAGGTTGCTGCGGTCGCAGGTGGAGTAGTTGGCGTAGGTCTTCAGCTCCGTCAGCTCCCGGAAGAATCTGGGGGGAGGGGAGGGGAGGGGAGGCTCAGCCTGGGGGAGGGGCGGTTCTGGCTGAGGCAGCAGGCTGGCAACCGGGAGAACGGGAGGTCCACTCTCACTTTAGCCATGAAGGCCAGCTGGGTGACTTTGGGCCCATGTCCAGGAGACGGGAGTTCTAGTCTGAAGCCCCCCCCCTCCCAAGGGAGGCCGGAGCAGGGCAGGCAACGGGTGCCGCTAATTTGAATGCCTGAATATTAAGTGTAACGGATGCTACAGAAATGAGATAAAAGATAAATGCCCTCTGTTCAGTCCCTTGTGCTTCGCCCCCCCTCCCCTCCCTCTCTCCCTCCCTCCCTCCCCCTTTCCCAGTCTGGGAGGGGCTTCAAAGGGCCTGAGAAAGTCTGGGTAGAAATCCGGACTTGTGCTATTGGATGGGGAGGGGAGGTCCTCCCCCACAACCCCCCCCCCATCTCCGGTCCCCTCACCGCCTGCGGGAGATGCTGGAGCTCATGGCCAGGTCGGCCAGCAGGTCCTCCTCTGTCAGCCTCAGCAGCAGGTCGCCGTCCACCTGGTGCTCCTGCAGAGGCAAGTGGAGCCTCAGCCTCTGGACCGGGTTGGCCAGGGGGCCCCTCCCTCCCTTTCCTTTCTCTCTTCCTTTCTCCCTCTTTCTCCTTCTTTCTTTTCTTTCATTTCCTTCCTTTCCTTTCTCTCTTCCTTCCTCCTTCCTTCCTTCCCTTCTCTTTCTTTCCTTTCTTCCTCCTTCCTTCCTCCCATTTCCTTCCTTCCCTCTCTTCCTTCCTCCTTCCTTCCTTCCTCCCTTTTTCTCTCTCTCTCTCTCTCTCTCTTTCTATGGCCACCCCTCTAATTAGTCCAGATGGCAAACAAACAAAGGTACAGCAAGAGATCCACCAAGCTCAGAGATCATCAAGGACAAAGGCAACCCCCCCACCAGGCTGAGGCCCTATAAAGTCTGAGCACTCATGTATCCCCCCCCCAACCACACTAGAGTTCCATTAGCATCCTGCCCCCTCCCCATTCTGTTCTCTACTCCATGGCCCCTCCTGAGTGGCTGGCCAATAAGCCACCCATCCACCCTTTGCCTATTGCTTGTGGGTAGGGCTCCCCTTCCCCCACCCCACCCCCTTCTGGGGTTCCGGGTGGCCATGCTCCCCCCCCCCAGACTCCTACCAGGAAGCGGGGACAATACTTGACGAAGCCGATCTGCTGCAGCCACTTCTGCACTTCAGGGATCTTCCAGTTGGGCACCGTGGGCAGAAGCCGCCGCGGCACTTCCTCGCCCATGGTGCTCAGCGCCCTCTTGGCCAGCATGGAGGTGGTACCGTTGGCTGAGTAGCAGACGACCCTCTTCAGGCTCTGGATGGCCCCGATGTCCGCAAAGATCTGGCAACACCAGGTCAGCTCTCACAAGGCAGCATGTGCCGGCTCCCCAACCTCGGTGGGCTGGGTCCCGATCCTGGGGAGAGGGCTGCTATGCCACCGCAAGCAAGCAGAGAACTAGGGCAGCGGAAGGGCGTCATGTTGGGGAAGGCAAGAGCTGGCTGAGTCAGAAAGGTGGGGGTCCCAGACTGGGCTCATACCTGCCCCCCCCCCCGTCTCGAGTCTCCAAGCCAGAAACTTTGGGACAGCCTCCTCAGAGGCATTGGGAAGATTGTTTCCCCCCCCCCATTGAGCTTTGGAGCTGGTGGTGGGGAGGGGGACAAAGAGGGGGGTCTGTTCTCTTGGCACAGCAGGGGCTCTTGTCTCTTTCCACCCCATCCTTGCCTCGGTGGGGGGGGCAGTGGCTTCTCCTGCCCCAAGCCCTGGAGGGAGGCCACGGGCCGGCCCGCCGGTTCCCGCCCCCCGCACACACACCTTGGTCTTCTTCTGCCGGGCTTTAATGGCGGCCTCCACGCAGAGGTAGAAGGCGGCAATGCACTGGGCCTCCAGGCGGGAGCTGTCCAGCAGGGGCACCAGGCACTGCAGGTCGTCAGCCGTTCGGCCCTGGCTGTTGTCGCTGCTGCCCAGCCAGCTGTGGGCGAAGCGGACCGGGTCAAGGGTGGCAATGAAGGGCTCCACCAGGGCCAGCGTGCCCGAGTTCTCCACCTCCTTCTCGATCTCCTTGTTGGTGGCCAGCACGGCGATGGCCAGGCAGGCCTGGAACTGGACCATCTCGTCCTCCTTGGAGAAGGCCAGCGGGAAGAGCCACTCGGACGCCTTCTTCTCCACCCTCCGCCGCTGGTTGGCCTGCCCGCCGTACATGGCGCAGTTGGCCAGGGCCGCGGCGCAGTGGCGGAGCACCACCGGGTCGCTCCAGCGGCACCAGAAGAGGATGGCGTCCAGGCCGCCGTGGGCGATCAGCTGCAGAGAGGTCTCCTCCGAGTGCTTGAACATGTGCTCCAGGATGCCCGAGGTGCTGCGGGCCAGAGGGAGGCTCTCCCGCTCCTTGGCCAGGTTCAGGACCACCCCCAGGCCGATCCGAGCCACGCGGTTCCTGCCGGCAAGCAGAGGGCAGGTGAGCAGCGGCATCGGAGCTGGGAGCCCAGGAAGCCGCAGAAGGGGGTGGGGGACGGGGGCCCACCAGCCTGGGGCTCAATCCTCCCCTCTCCCTTTGGCCTTTGGCCCTGCTTTCAAAGGGGCCTGTTCTGAGGCCATTCAAGGCAGCTGCGCCCTCTCCCCCCCCCCCGGAGGGAGAGAAGGGGGGGCAAAGGGCTCCTGGGGTGCTGGGAGTGTGGAAAGAGGGCCGGGAAGGACCAGAAAGGTGATCAAGAGGCTAAAACACATGAAGAACGGTTGCCGGGATTGGGTCGGTCTAGTTTAATGAAAAGAAGGACTAGGGGGGGACAGGATAGCAGCCTTCCAGTATTTTAGGGGCTGCCAAAATGGGGAGGGGGCTTAATTGGCTATGTTTAGTCTAGTGAAAAAAAGGACTAGAAATAGAGGTGTCACAAAGAAGAGGGGGGGTCAACCTATTCTATCTGTCTGTCTGTCTGCCTGCCTATCTATCTAATCTATTATCTATCTATCATCTATCTTCCTATCATCTATCTATCATCTATCTATCTATCTATCTATCTATCTATCTATCTATCTATATATATATATCTATCATCTATCTCTTATCATCTATCTATCATCTATCTATATCTATCATTATCTATCTAATCTATTATCTATCATCTGTCTATCATAATAATAATAGTAGTAGTAAATCATCTATCTTCCTATCATCTATCTATCTATCTATCTATCTATCTATCTATCTATCTATCTATCTATCTATCATCTATCTATATCTATCATCTATCTAATCTATTATCTATCATCTGTCTATCATCTACCTATCTCTATCATCTATCTTCCTATCATCTATCTATCTATCTATCTATCTATCTATCTATCTATCTATCTATCTATCTATCTCTATCATCTATCATCTATCTATATCTATCATTATCTATCTAATCTATTATCTATCATCTGTCTATCCTACCTATCTATCTCTATCTATCATCTATCTACCTCCCTATATCTATCTATATCTACCTATATCTACCCCCCCCCCTCTCTCTCTCCAATCTAGGTACTGCCCGTGGCCCTCTTAAGAGTCATTGCAGGACCTGGGATCAAGTCTTTCATTCTTTGGTTTCAGAAAATGAACTCAGAAGTGGGGGGGGGGCAGCTAAGCAGAACTGGAAGGGCGGATGGCACCGGTCCACCCACTAAGTAGCTGGCTGGCACGGTCTGCCTCCCTTACGCCTGAGCTGGGAGGGGGCACAAGGCAGCCTGCATCTCGGGGGGGGGGGCTGCAGATTTGCCGCTCTCCTCCCAGTCTCCCCAGGGGAGACCCACGGATTCATTTGCTTTGAGGACCTTGGTCAGCCTTGCCAAAGGGGGGGTGGGGGTGAGGAAACATGGACCCAGCTGGAGGACCCCTGGAATCAAGGCGACACTGGGGGGGTCTCTGCTCAGCATTTTCAGAGACACGCAGCCAGCCCCACGACTTACGAGAGTTCATTTAATGACTGTTCAAAGTTACAACGGCACTGAAAACAGACCCATGGCTGTTTTAGCAGCATTTCCAGGGTCACGTGATCAAAATTCAGATGTTTGGCATCTGACTCATAGTTATGACAGTCGCACTGCGCCGGGTGGGTCACGGGACCCCCTTTCCTGACCTGATTCACTCTGGCAAGAAAGGCCGCAAACTGGAGCAAAACTCACTTAACAAATGTCTGGCTGAGCCACAGAAATTTTACGCTCAATTATGGTCATAAGTCAAGGACTACTTAGTCGGCGGGAGGGAGGGAGGGAGGGGCTGCTTCCCGGAGGGCAAAGAGGCAGCTGAGCCGGGAGTGTCTGGTGGGCTGGAAGGGAGCCAGGAAGACCCTCCACAGCGGTTCACAGAGTATATCTGAGCTACCGTGAGGTAAGATGGGCGGCCTATACATTTTATAAACAGATAGATATCTACAGTTGCTTTAGTCTGGCGAGATTCTGTCTGTGGGCCGAATGACAGTAAAAAAACTTCTCAGAAAGAACTGCAGGTGCCGTTCTTGGCCCTCGGCTCTTGATGCCAGGCCACGTTTTGGCCAAACACATTTCCCCAATAAAGCTTCATTTCCTGTTCTGTGTTTTATTCTATATTCTATAGTCTTATTCTATATTCTTATTCTTATTCTATTCTATTCTACTCTATTCAGTAATTCTATTCGGTAATTCCTATTCTATTCTATTCTATTCTATTCTATTCTATTCTATTCTATTCTATTCTATTCTATTCTATTCTATTCCATATTATTCTATTCTGTTCTATTCTATTCTATTCTATTCTATTCTATTCTATTCTATTCTATTCTATTCCATTCCATATTTTCCATTCTGTTCTGTTCTATTCTATTCTATTCTGTTCTGTTCTGTTCTATTCCATTCCATATATTCTATTCTATTCTATTCTATTCTATTCTATTCTATTCTATTCTATTCTATTCCATTCCATATTTTCCATTCTATTCTATTCTATTCTATTCCATTCCATTCCATATATTCTATTCTATTCTATTCCATTCCATATTTTCTATTCTATTCTGTTCTGTTCTGTTCTGTTCTATTCTATTCCATTCCATATTTTCTATTCTATTCTATTCTATTCTATTCTATTCTATTCTATTCTATTCTATTCTATTCTATTCTGCAACCCTCAGCATCCCCTCCTCACATGAAATCAGAGTGTGGGGATATTACTCTGCCTCTCCCCTTAATGCTGCCTAAGCCTTACCTTAACACACACACACCTACACACCCGCTCAGACCCAGCCTCCTTTGTCCAACTAGGCCTTGCGAAGGGTCCCCCTCCCCCCTGGAGAAGCCTGGGTGGATGCCAAGAACAAGGAGATGCTTTGCTGTCTCTCTGCATGAGTCACGGCTCTGCCTCCCTTCTTATTCAGCCCCGGGAGAGGTGGGGGGGGGTTTTAAGCTGGCTGGAACCCAAGTCTCTGGACACAAGGCAACGCATCAAAAATAACAGAATAACAGTCGCAAGAGCCCTTCGGAGGTCTCCTAATCCAACCCCTTGGTCAAGCTGGAGACCCTCTACCGTTTCAGGCAAATGGCTGTCCAGTCTCCCCTTAAAAAGCTCCACCCACAACTCTGGAGGGAAGCCGTCCCACCGATTCATTGTTCTCCCTGCCGGGAAATTTCTCCTTATTTTTAGGTTATTGTGCAGCATAAAATAACTCAGGCAGGAGCATCCGCAGCGGGCACAAAAGGCCAGGCGGGGAGCCAGCCAAGCCTTGCGCAGACAGAAACAGAAGGCTCCGGCGCCCGAACGCCGCAGGCGAAAGAGGGACCACATCGGGGGTCGTGAAGAGACGCCCCTTACTCGATCTGCTCCGGGAAGGACGCCGAAGACAGCAGGGATGAGCAACTAGGGCAGGGGTAGGCAACCTTGGCTCGTTGGCTCAGGAATTCTGGGAATTGAAGTCCACGAGTCATAAACGAGCCAAGGTTGCCCACCCCTTAATTAGGGCGACTTTACAACCGGTGGACCAACTCACAGAATAATCCCCCGCTGCCCCCCCCGCCAAGCTGCAATCCAGCGGAACGGCCCCTCCTCCCCCGAAAGTCCCATCCGCGGTCCGGGGCGACCCTGACCTCGCTTGGAGCTCCCGGGCAGGGGCTGCGCTCCTCCTCCTCCTCCTCGGGTCCCGGGCTCCTCCAGGCCTGCCTCCCCCTCTCCCCAGACGCCCCCCGGGTCCCCGAGAGGGGGGGGGCGGGTCCCGTGGAGGGGTTCGCCTCCGGGCGCGCTCACCGGTTCTCGGCCACCAGCACCTGCTCCAGCAGCTGCGCCGCGCGGCTCCGGCTCTCGGGATCGGCGCCGCGCAGCAGGTCGAGCAGCAGATCGAGGCCGCCCTCCAGGCGCAGCGCGTCGCACAGCCCCTTGGCCACCTCGCGCCCCACGGCCGGCAGCCGCCAGGCCTCCCCCACCAGCGCCAGGAGGGCGCCCAGTCGCGCCTGCAGGTCGCCCGGGCCGGCCGCTTGCTTGGCGGCCGAGACGGCCTGGTGCAGCTCGGGCAGGCTCCGCTCCAGGGCCGCCTGAACGGCCGAGCCCAGCCCGGGCGGCAGGTCGGGGCCGTCGGCGCCCAGCCCCTCCGCCCACCAGCCCGCGCCGCCCGCCGCGCCCGCCGCCTCGGGCATGGCCAGGCGGCACAGCTGGTAGGCCGAGAGCAGCAGGCTCAGCACCATGGGCGGCGGGACTCCCCCGGCCGGCTTCCCGGCGGCGGGGGCTTCGGCCCGGGAGGGCTGGGGCGGGGATGCCGGGAGCGCGGCCGGGCTTCGGCCGCCGGGCTGTGCCTGCCTGCGCCGCGGGATGCGGAGGATGCCCGTCGGGTCAGCGCTGCCATCCCGCCGCCGCCGCTTCGCATCCCTCCCGTGACGTCATCCAGGCCCCTCCCCGGCGCGTGCCCGCAGGCCAGAGCGCGCCGCGGTCACCCCCGGCCCCGCCCGCTGGGGGGCGCGCGGAACAAAGGCAGCGGGAGCCCCTCCCACCCCTCGCCCCCCCCAGACCCTCCTGATGTGCCCCCCCGCCCTCGGGCCCCGACGGCCCCGCCCCTTCGCCCGTCCCCCCCCCCCGGGAGCAGCCCCGCCGCCTTCCGCCACCGGGCGGGTCCGGCGAGGAGCGCCGGCGGCCTTTCGGCGTCGCTCGTTTCATTCGTTCGTTCGTTCAATGTATACGCCGCCCATCCCGGGGTCCGGGGCGACTCTGAAGGGGTGACAGTGTAATAAACAGGTATAACAATTATAAATATAAAACCTTAAAATTTCAAGTGATTAAGCACCAACTGAAAATGAAGGGTCCTTGGGGGTCTCTGAGTTGTCTTCTTGCAGACGTCCCATTACCCAACTAGGGAACGTCACCAGGGCTGGAAAGGAAGGGGATTTGTATCTCCCAGCACTGAAGAGGTTCCCTCCTTGGGTTGCAAGAAGACAACCAAGCTCCGAGAGCACCGAGGACCCCACAGCTGCCCTCCTCCTCCTCCTCCACCACCTCCTCCTCCTCCTCCTCTTCTTCCTCCTCCTCCTCCTCCTTCTCCTCCTCCTCCACCACCTCCTCCCCTTCCTCCTCCTCTTCTTCTTCTTCTTCTTCCTCCTCCTCCTCCTCCTCCTCCTCCCTACAAACGCCTCTTTCTTCTAACACTGATGATGTTCCCTAGTTGGGTTATGAAACGTCTGCAAGAAAGCCACCCAGCTCAGAGAGCACCCAGGACCCCACAGTCCTCCTCCTCCCCCTCTTCCTCTTCTTCTTCTTCTTTTCTTCTTCTTCATCCTCCTCCTCCTCCTCCACCACCACCTCCTCCTCCTTCTCCTCCTCCTCTTCTTCTTCTCCTCCTCCTCCTCCTCCCTACAAACCCCTCTCTCTTCTAACACTGATGATGTTCCCTAGTTGGGTTATGAAACGTCTGCAAGAAAACCACCCAGCTCAGAGAGCACCAAGGACCCCACATTCCTCCTTCTCCTCCTCCTCCTCCTCTCTCTTCTAACACTGATGATGTTCCCTAATTTGGGCAATGAAACGTCTGCAAGAAAACCACGCAGCTCAGAGAGCACCCAGGACACCTTACTCCACCCTGAGCTGCAAAGATTCTCTTGTTTGGGGCTTCTAGATGGCTGACAACACTTAATGCCAGGTCCAAAATACTCGTAGCCCAGGGCTGAGTTCTCCTTGGTCCTCTTTGAGACACAGGCAGTCCTTAACTTACATCTCACTTTGTTTACTCACTGTTTGAAGTTACAATGTCACCAGAAAAAGGCACCGAAAACCATTTTTCACACAGCCGTTGCAGCATCCCCAGGGTCACGTGATCAGAATTCAGAGGCTCAGCAACTGGCTCGTACTTACAACCGTCGCAACGACCGAGGTCTCCTTTTGTGACCTCACCAGCAATGGGGAAGCCACTTAACAGCCCTACGTCTAACACAATAACTGCAGGGATTCACTTAACAACCGTGGCAAACACGTGAGCAAAACTCACTTAACAAATGCCTCGCTTAGCAACGTAAATTTTGGGCTCAACTGTGGTCGTAGGTTGAGAACTATTGGACGATAAGGGTAAACAGAATTCAAGGAGGACTGAACTTAGATCTCTTGTGAGTGCCCTTGACCCCTCCCTCCCTCCCTCCCTCCTGCTTGGGGGATGAGGGGTGGGCCTCTCTCCTGGTGCCCACCCTGGGAACAGCCCCCTCCCGGATATATGGTGGCCCCAACTGCGCCCTAGCTCTTCCCCCAGCCTATTAACTCTTGACCATAGAGCAGGGGTCTGCAACCTTGGCCATGTTAAGACTTGTGGACTTCAGCTCCCAGAATTCCTCAGCCAGCAGAGCTGGCTGAGGAATTCTGGGAGCTGAAGTCCACAAGTCTTAACATGGCCAAGGTTGCAGATCCCTGCCGTAGAGCGCTGGCATGCATGACGGGCGGAGGGCAGGGCGGGGCCTCGCTGGAGTCTTGCTTTGTTTTTTTAACAGATTGGGTGTGTTTTATGATGTTTGCTGCCCAAAGAATCAGAAGGCAGATGGGCAGCTGGGTTAATAAGCAAATTAATCGATAATCGATGCCGCCAAGGAGGCTGGGATCACACAATAGCAAAAGACAAGCTTGATGTAGATGAGATATAACCTTCTTCTGCCTGCAAGAGGCCCCAAGTGCCAACTCCAGGTGAGTGGAGGCTGGTCTTCTCCCAGCAGGTGAGACCACCCAGGGACCCCCAAACCAGTGGGAGACCCGCGGGGAATTGCAGGGCTGTTGGCTCTACTGGGGAGTTAGGAAAAAGGAGGCCACCCTGAGACTCCTGTCCCATCGGGGTTGCTGCCCCACAGATCACAGGGAGGAGCCCCTGAAGTGCCCACAGGCCCAACCCTCTGGGATGTTTCTTAGTCTGACTATCTGTGGTGATTCCCCATCATCCAGGTCATGGTTGTCCCAAAAGGCAACTGGGTTTTCTGGTTTATTTTTTTCCTTGAAAATGTTGCACTTCTCACCCAAGAAGCTTCTTCAGTTCTTCGTAATCTTAGCATCTTAGAATCTTACTGCTGTGTCCTGAGCCTACAAAAGCAGGCTTGGGATGTTGCAATAGTCCCGGGAATTCCAAAAGCTGCCCAGGACCAGACAGAGTGGCACCAGCCTTGGGCGCATGCACAAGGTGGTTGCTGCCGGGACCAGGCAGAGCGGTGCCGGCCTTGTGCGCATGTGCAAGGCGCGAAAACGCTCTGTTACTGTTGCTTGTCATTATACGGGTCCTGACCATAAAAAGGGGCCTGTGAGCCTTTTGTTTTGTTCGGGTGTGTTTGGTTAAAGAATAAAGAGCTGTTAAACTTCGCCATGTTTATTCATCATTTGCAAGCGAACGGGAGTACTTAACACTTACCTTCTTCAGTTCTTCGTAATCTGGGGAATTCTGGGAGTTGAAGTCCACATGTCCTAAAGTTGCTAAGATTAAGATTAAGATGCCTGGCCTCTGGGCATAACTGAAGTGCAAATTCTCTCCCAAATGCCTTTGGAAGGCCCCTCTGCGGACCCTCCCAGGCGATGGCTCTACCTGTGTGCAAGCGGAATGATCTAGGTAGGGTCGCCTGCTTGGGCAGGGGGTTGGACTAGATGACCTTTTGGGGTCCCTTCCAACTCCATTATTCTGAATCCTGTGACCATTACCGTAGGTGAACACAGGAGCTCTTTTAAGGCCAGAAAGGGGCTGTGGCTTCCAGCACCCCACATTGGGATGGACCCAACTTTTTAAATCAGTTTTTCGAAATGTCTATTAACAGGATAACAGCGTTGGAAGGGACCTTGGAGGTCTTCTAGTCCAACCCCCTGCTCAGCAGAAAAACCTATAGCATTTCGGACAAATGGCTGGTCCAATTACTCCCAGCTCAACCTAGGCAGAAATATTATTTGTTGACCCAGGTTTCTCTCCTGCTCCAAATTTCCCTCTCCCCCCCCCAGTTATATATTAAACTGATTCAAAGAAGATACCCCCCCCCGTCCCCAGGCCGTGAAAGGGCCCAATTGTCTGGATGCAAACTGGGAGGGAAAGAATAATAACAAGAAAGCAGCTACTGCTGGGAACCCACAGCCAAGCCTGACACGGTGCCAAAATATCCTCTAGTGCAGGGATGAGCAACGATGGTGACTTCACAACCGGTGGACTTCAACTCCCAGAATTCCTCAGCCAGCCTGGCTCAGCTTGGAAACCTCTCCCTTTCCCCTCAGCATGGCTGGCTCAGGAATTCTGGGAGTTGAAGTCTACCAGTCATGAAGGGGGCCATAATTCCCCAATGCTGGCTCAGGAATTCTGGGAGTTGAAGTCCAGAAGTCATCAAGGGGGCCAAAGTTTCCCCCCATGCTGGCTCAGGAATTCTGGGAGTTGAAGTTGAATGGAGGGAAGCCAGAATTGCAATACACGTAGTCCTCCACTTATGACTGAGCCCAAAACCGCTAAGCCGGACAGCTGTAAAGTGAATTTTGCCCAATTTACAACCTTTTGCCATAGTTGTTAAGTGAAACACTGCAGTTTTTGAGTTAGTAACACGGTTTGAAGTGAATCTGGCTTCCCCCATTGACTTTGCATGTCAGAAGGTCACAAAAGAGGATCACGTGGTTCCCCCCCCCCCGGGACTCTGCGACCGTCATGACTCTGAGTTAGTGGCCAAGCGTCTGAATTTTGATCACGTGACCACGGGGCTGCTGCAACGGTGGTAAGTGTGGAAAGCGGTCCTAAGTCACTTTTTTGGGTGCCGTTGCAACTTTGAACAGGTCACTAAATGAACTGCCGTAACTTGAGGACTTACCTATATATTGAGCTGATGGAAAACCTGTTCGGTAAAAGGCAGATTTCAAAGGGGAAAATTTTCAGGGACCAACCCCGGAGGACCCCGAAAACATTTAGTTCTGAGGACCTCCAATTTTTCTTCTCTTTAAAGTCAGCGCAAAGACTTTTCTGATTCTGATGCTGCTCTAAAATTGCACTTTTGAGATTATAATGCAATACTGAATCTAACAAAATATAGGCTAGAAAATGAATGCATAAAAAAGAACATATGAATTGGGCCTCTGCATAGTTTCAGACATGTGGGCAGGACATGAAGCAATGGATGGAAACTAATCAACTAAGCAACATGGAACTAAGGAGAAGCTTCCTATCAATTAACCCGTGGAACAGCTGGCCACCAGAAGTTGTGGGCGCTCCATCACTGGAGGCTTTTAAGAAGAGCTGGACAGCCACCTGTCTGACCTGGTATAAGGTCTCCTGCTTCAGCAGGGGGCTGGACTAGAAGACCTCCAAGGTCCCTTCCAGCTGTATTCTGATTCTGAAGTTATGCAGACAATAACAACCCCACCTTATTGCCTAAATGCCTCCTGAGTTAATGTTGTTTTAAATGATTAGCAGAGGGGGACTTCAGAGGACTAAACACCCCTCTTTATTTCTTTATTTATGAAACTTATTTACCGCTCATCTCATATCCAACGTCCTCTTTAAGAGAAAACTCTCTGGAGCGGGTTTTGGAAGAGACCTTGTTTAAAATATGAGGTCCATTTTCAAAACAGGCCATGATGGCAACTCTGGCCTTCATTTCCACAACAGGCCCCCCGGCCGGTTCACTCACCGTCCCCAGGGACGAGTAAGAGTCTACGGGGACAGGGGGGCTGGTAGGGAGTGGGGGCACAACTTCAAAGCAGGAGCTGGACAGGAGAACCAGTTCCTATTAATGAATAACGGAGCTGGCCTGATCCAGGAGAGATCCAGGGAGCAAATTCCATGGGGCACTGTTTGCAGATGGGGGGAGGGGACAATTTGCATGGAAAGTGAATCATGCTGCACAGCCTTTCACTGCTACCACCAGGGAAGCCCCCCCCCCGTCACCCATGACCTTCTCTTTTGGGTGGGAGCTGCTGCTGAGAGCCCAGCTGACATGGGCTCCCCCTCCCCCCAGCCAGAGAGCACCTAGCTTCCCTTTGTCTGTATGCCTCTTTTAAGGGGGGGGGTCCTTGATCTTCAGGGCAGCCCCCGTTGTGCCTTTCACGCCCTTCGTAATATATACAAACGTTGACATCATAAAAAATAAGAAGAGAACTGGAGGTTAAAACACCTGAAGACCGGTTGCAGGTAAATCAAGTTTAATGAAAAGAAGGAATAGGGGTGACAGGATAGCAGTATTCCAATATTTGAGGGGCTGCCCCAAAGAAGAGGGAGGTCCACCTATTCTCCAAAGCACCTGAAGGGAAGACAAGAAGCAACGGATGGAAACTAAACCAGTGGAACAGCTTGGCCTTCAGATATTGTGGGTGCTTCATAGCATATAAGTGATGCTTGAACAGGGCCCCCAGGATTGTCTCGGGCACCACACACCCTCTTCACCACCTGTTTTCCTTGTGACCTTTGGGGGGGGAATGGGGGGCTTTGTGGTATCCGAAGCAGAACATTCGGATTCAGTCACAGTTTTGTTCCATACAGTATTAACCTTGTGAATTCTCAAGCTTCCTCCTTCCGTTATGTATTCAAGATGGACAGCAATTAATATTTATATGTTACTCATAGGTAAGGGTGTAGGTCTATACATATGCTGTATATAGTGTGTTTAAATGTGTGTTATGTATGTGTACACTTTGAGAGCAAGCAACTCAGTTTCATTTTTAATGCGTGCCATTGTGCCCACAGTAAAAAATGACAAAGGTTGTCTATCTATCAATCTGCTTATCTGCCTATCTATCTGTCTGTCTATCAATCTGCTTATCTGCCTATCTGTCTGTCTGTTTGTCTATGTATCTATCATGTCTGTCTATCAATCTGCATATCTGCCTGTCTGTCTATCAATCTGCTTATCTGCCTATCTGTCTGTCTGTTTGTCTATGTATCTATCATGTCTGTCTATCAATCTGCATATCTGCCTGTCTGTCTGTCTATCAATCTGCTTATCTGCCTATCTGTCTGTCTGTTTGTCTATGTATCTATCATGTCTGTCTATCAATCTGCATATCTGCCTGTCTGTCTGTCTATCAATCTGCTTATCTGCCTATCTATCTGTCTGTCTGTCAATCTGCTTATCTGCCTATCTGTCTGTCTGTCTATGTATCGATCATCTGTCTGTCTGTCTGTCTCTCTCTCTCAAGGCTTTTAAGAAGAGACTGGACAGGCACTTGTCTGAAATGATATTATAGGGTCTCCTGCTTGAGCAGGGGGCTGGATTAGAGGACCTCCAAGGTCCCTTCCAGCTCTATTCGCATTGATTAATCAACCTGGAATTAAGGAGAAATTCCCTAACAGTGAGGCCAACTAACCCGTGTAAGAGTTTTCTTCAGAAGCGGTGAATGCTCCAACACTGGAGGTTTTTAAGAAGAGACTGGACAGCTATTTGTCTGAAATGATAGAGGATCTCCTGTTTGGGCAGGGGGTTAGACTAGAAGACCTCTGGGGCCCCTCCCAGCTCTGTTATTCTGTTATTCTCCCAGGGTCCTGCCCACGCCGCCCACTGTTCCTCGTCTTGGGCTTCCTGCACTGCCATTGGGCAGGCAGGGCTCTCTTCCCCCACATTCCTGAGACAAAAGCGGGGGGGGGGGATGCACTGGGTCGCTGCTCCTGCTGCCAGGCGTGTTGCCCAGCGATGCTGCCCGCAGGCTCTGTGCCAAGAACAGAGCCCCCCCCAGTTCCCAGGCCTAGGGGGAGGGGGTGCCATGGCGAACCACACTCTCTCCCCAAGTTCTGATGCCTGCAGAAAACTGGGGCTGCAGCCCCCCTTCCCCCCATTCCTGGCTGGCTCAGGATCCTTTCAGAGCCTTCAAAGGGAGGGCAGAGATGCCAGAAGGAGGGGGAGGGCAGGGCAGGGAGCCAAAGACCCTCTGCAAATGACCTCACCAACTGTGTTTGCTCCCTCCAAAAGAGGAGGGGCCGAGCTGAGCAAACAAGGCTTTAGTGGGGGGGAGACTGGGCGGCCCAGCCAGAAGCTGAGGGCCCGGCTACTGGACGCCATGGAGCTCCTGGCTCTGGCACTGCTGCTGCTGGGCTGCCTCTGCAGGTCATTTGCAGCTGAAGGTGAGTTCTGGGACACCCCCTTCTCCGTCCACCCCCACCCCATCTGCACCCCCCCCCCGTGGAATTCAGGAGGACAAGAAGGAGAAGCCCCTTCTGCACACGACCCACCTGGGGAAGAAAAACTGCCCAACATTTTGGATCATAGAACCAGAGAGTTGGAAGGGACCGTGGAGGTCTTCTAGTCCAACCCCATCTGCTTGAGCAGAGGATCCTATAGCAGGGGTGTCCACCTTTGGAACTTAAGACTTGTGGACTAGCATGGCTGGTTGGGGAATTCCGGGAGTCGAAGTCCACAACTTTAAAAGTCCTCTAGGTTGGACACCCTTACTTTACACCATTCTGGGCAAACAGACTCATAGTCAGCTGCAAATGAAAGAGAGAGAGAGAGATAAACAGGTGAAGATAGGTAGATAAGAAAGAAAGAAAGAAAGAAAGAAAGAAAGAAAGAAAGAAAGAAAGAAAGAAAGAAAGAAAGAAAGAAAGAAGAAAAAGAAAGGAAAGAAAGAAAAAGGAAGAAAAAGGAAGGAAGGAATCAAAATAGAGCTGGAAGGGATTTTGGAGGTCATCTAGTCCAGCCCCCCCCCCCCCCGCTCAAGCAGGAGACTGTATATCATTTCAGACAAGTGGCTGTCCAGTCTCTTCTTAAAAGCCTCCAATGGTGGAGCACCCACAACTTCCAGAGGCAAGCAGTTCCACTGGTTGATTGTTCTGTCAGGAAATTTTAAGGGCCTGATGAGTCCATGGTGGACATCCTCTGCCCCACCGTGTCCAAACAGCATTCCGTGCTCAGACACAGCCTTGTTGGACCCCAAGGGTCAAGGTCAAGGTTAGGGAGGGAAACAGATCAGAGAAGGGGAATACGCCTCCCCATCAGGCTGGTGATGTCCATGTCCAGGAGGGACCCCTCCCACTGCAGCTGGGTCCCACTGAGATAGACCGCTATCCCTTCCTGTCCAGCAGGCTGTTCACTTGGTCGCCCCCCAACTCCCAACTGGAGGTCTCCCAGTCTGGGGCCCTCAGGGGCAGCCCAACTGCCAGAACGGCTAAGAGCCTGGTGTCATCAGGTTAGCAACAAGGGAGCGTCAGTGGAAGCCCAACGTTCTGCCATGCTGGTGGCTTTCTGGCAGATGTGTCTGTCCCCAAAGGACAGGAGGCAGGCTCAGGGGGCTTCCATGATTTGGAGACCCTTCCCACAAAATGGTGGTGCGGTGGCTCAGCAGTTAAGGCACTGGGATTGTTGGATACAAAGCCGGCAGCTTAAGTTTGAGAGCTGAGCACCACGCAACGGGTGAGCTCCCGTCCTCGCCTCAGCTCCTGCCTACCTGGCAGTCTGAAAGCATGCAGATGTGAGTAAACAGATGCCACTTGGGTGGGAAGGTAAGAGCGCTCCATGACATCATGCGGATCACGTGACCACAGAAATGTCTCCGGACGGCGCTGGTGCGATGGCCTTGAAGCGGAGATGAGCACCAGCCCTGGAATCGGCAGGGACGAGCGGAGTACAATCTGCAGGGACTCCTTTCCCTTCCCCTTTTCCCACACAAGGCCCAGGCTTTCCAAAGGCCCGACTGACCAGCTCCCCTGGCTGCCTGTCCCCTTTAACCTCCAGAGTCCTGTGAGGGCCGCTGTGACAAGGGCTTTGACAGTCAGCAAAAGTGCCAGTGTGATGACCTGTGTGTCTACTATCAGAGCTGCTGCAGCGACTATTCCAGGATCTGCAAAACCAAAGGTAAGAGCAGGGCGCATCCCGTGCCAACCGGGGTTGGCAGACAGAGGTGAGGCTTCCTGGCAGAAGAAGTGGGGAAGAGCTGGAATCCATACTGGGGGGCTGGGAGCGGCTCTTCCAGGCTCTTTCCTTGGGTGCCAACCGGGCAGGGCCAGGGCCCCTTCCTGCTCTTCGTCCTGGCTGAGGCAACCGGCCCGGTTTTTTCCCCGAATGAGGCCCTCTCCCTGCTGGATGGCTCTGCCAGGACTAGCAGGCAGCAAAATGCAGCTGGTGTTGAGCAGGGGAGGGGAGGCGTCACTTTCTTGGCTACCATCTGGGCATAGTCCCAGCTCTGCCATGCTGTGTGCAGCACTCGGCCTTTCCATTTGGATCCACAGTGCCCCCATTAGCTCACCCCACTCCTGTGTCCTAGACCAGGGGAGCCCAACTTGGCAACTTGAACTTGAACTTGAACTTCAACCCCTGCCCTGCATGGATTTGGAGGGGGGCAATGTGATCCCTCTCCTTGCCCTCCCAACCACAGAGTGTTCTGTTGAACAGAACAGTGGTGTTCTGTCCCAGCATATCAAGGCCAGGTTAACTCTGAGGATGTGAGGAGGAGGAGGAGGAAGAGGAGGAGGAGGAAGCAGTGTCCGACTGTCAGGGACCCCAACCTGTGGGCCTGTGGCCTGCTGGCCACCGGGCCGGGGGACAGGCTGGCCAGTGCATGCGTGTGCACGCACTTACCCCCACTTGCACTAGCGCTGTAGCTACAGTGAAAACATGGCACCACACAGCAAAAATGGGGTGGGGCTAGTGAATGTAACGTGGGCACTAGTGCCGCCCCATTTGCGTTGCGTGCACACATAACATGCTCTCCCTTCCGCCAACTGGGAAAAGTTGGGGGTCTCTGGTCTAAGGGGTTCAGGAGAGACCTCTGGCAAAATGGAAAGCCAACAGACAGCGGGCAGTAGCAAAATGAAAACCAAATGAATCAAACTAACATCAATCGCCGATTACTGGCAGTGCTTGGTTGCTGTTGGGCTCCTGGTGAGTCTTTGGGCATGAGAATGAGGCCCCGCTGGGCCTGGGCTCGGGACCAGGCAGCTTCCGAGGGGCCTGGGGAGCCGGTCCCGGCGGTAGAAACGGTGCTGAGACAACCAGCAATTCTGCAGCTGCCAGAATCATAGAATGCTAGGGTGGAAGGGACCTTGGAGGTCTTCTAGTCTAGCCCCCTGCCTAAAATCATAGAATCTTAGGGTGGGGACCTTGGAGGTGTTCTATAGTCCAAGCCCCTGCCCATGGCAGGAAACCCTACACCATTTCAGACAAATGGCTGTCCAATCTCTTCTTAAAAACCTCCAGTGATGGAGCACCCACAACCTCTGGAGGCGAGGAGTTCCACTGGCTAATCGTTCTCACTGTCGGGAAGTTTCTCCTTGTTTTTCTAGGCTGGATTTCTCTTTAATGATCTTCTGTTATTTCTCTGGTGCCCTAGAGAATAACTCAGCCCCTCTTCTTTGTGGCAGCCCCCCAAGTGCTGGAGGACTGCTGTCATGCCCTCCCCCCCTAATCTCTGCTTCTGGCATCCCCCCTTACAGTGACCCGTGGGGACGTCTTTCTGCAGCCGGAGGACGACTACCAGGAGTACTACGACTTTACCAACGGCACGGACCTGGTGCCCACCCTCTCCACCCCGGAGGCCACCGTGAACCCTGTGGACGAGCAGGCCTCAACAGACCAGAATGCCTGGACAGATGATTATGCCGGGACAGAGGAGGAGAAGTGGTTCGTGGACCCTACGGAGGGAACCTCCTGGGGCCCCACAGAGGGCCCAACTCTGCCAGGAGAGGAGGAGCAGGAGGAGCAGGAGGAGGAGAGCCTGTGCAGCGGGAAGCCCTTTGACGCCTTCACCAGCCTGAAGAACGGCTCCATCTTTGCTTTCCGAGGTAGCCCAGCTGGAGGGGCCACACCCAAGCTCCCCTCCCCTGGGGGCTGGCTGCCCCTGCCCGGCCTTTGCTCTTCCCCCTGCCCCCCAACCTGAGTTCTTGGAAGGGAGAGTGGGAGCCCCTGTTGGAGGGGGGGCAAACACACTCTGCAGTGTTTATTTATTTATTTATTTAATTTTATTTATATGCCACCCGATCCCAAAGGACTCAAGGCGGCGTACAAAATTAAAACAATCATCTAACAATAAAACAATAAAACAATACAATCATACAGCGTGTCCGATCATATCCTGCCGCCCCCCCCCCCAAGGCCTGCCGGAACAGGAGAGTTTTAACGGCTTTCTTAAAGGCCGGCAGGGTGGGAGTAGTTCGAACCTGGGGGGGGAAGTTGATTCCACCAGGTCGGAGCCACCACAGAAAAGGCCCTTCCCCGAGGGACCGCCACAGAGTTACCCCCCCCCCCCGTCCGCTGGAAGGAGAAGGGTTGCCAAAGCCACTAGGTCCCGTCCTCATGCCAAAGGGGGGAGGCAACCCCCCCTTAAGCTCTTCACTGCTCCCCACTCAGCTCCAGCGCGGCGGCTGCTTCTGCAGAGTCAAGAGAAGCACGGAGGGTTCCGGAATCCCTCCAGTGTGGGGCCGTCGCCCCGCGGAGGAGCTGGCTGGCGGGTGGGGTGGGGGAGATGGGGGGTGGCGGCGGTTACTTATCAGTGCCAGTCTGACTTGGTCTGAAAGGCTCCTCCCGCCACCTGTCGGGCCTCCAGGGGGAGGGTGGGCTGGGGGGGGGGTCCCAAAGGCCGCCGCCGCCTCCTCACCCGCGGCCCCTCCGGCGCAGGCCAGTACCTGTACGAGCTGGACGAGAAGAGCGCCCGGCCGGGCTACCCGAAGCTGATCCGGGAGGTCTGGGGCATCGACGGCCCCATCGACGCCGCCTTCACGCGCGTCAACTGCCAGGGCAAGACCTACCTCTTCCAGGTAGGGAGCGAGGGGCGGGGGCGGCCGAGGCCAGCCCGAAGGGTCCCCGCCGGAGGGGGAGAGGCGGGAGCCCCGGGCCGAGGGGGCTGCGGGCGCCTGACTCCGCCCGGCCGGGCTCTCCATCCCCGGGGGCCCCGCTCGCTCATCCCGCCCGCCGCCTTCCGTCCCCCCCCCCTCCCGCAGGGCAGCCTCTACTGGCGCTTCCACGAGGGCCGGCTGGAGGCCGACTTCCCCCGCAACATCTCCCAGGGCTTCGCCGGCGTGCCCGACCACCTGGACGCCGCCCTCGCCCTGCCCGCCCAGAACTTCTTGGCCGGCGAGCGCGTCTACTTCTTCAAAGGTGCCCGGGGGGCGCAGGGGAGGGGCGGGGGCGCGGGGCCCGGGGGGGGCCTCTGGCGCCCGCTCCCCTCCGAGGCTGACCGCGGACGGCCGCTGTGCGCCCGGCAGGCAGCCGCTACTGGTCCTACGCCTTCGCCCAGCAGCCGAGCCGCGAGGAGTGCGAGGAGACGACGCCCTCGCTGGTCTTCGGCCACTACGCGGGCCTGCAGCACGACAGCTGGGAGGAGGCCTTCCGCCTGCTCTTCGGGGCGGCCGGCACAGGTGAGCGCGGGGAGGGGCGGGGGGCTCCCGGCGCTCCCCCCCTCCGGCGCCGCTGCTCACCGCCCCCCTCGCCCCCTCCCGCAGGTGAGGCCAGCCGGCCTAGGTTGACCAGCCGCGACTGGCGCGGGCTGCCCTCCCGGCTGAGCGCGGCCATGCTGGGCAGGCTGTACGTGGCCCGGAGCCCCTCCGGGACGGGCGCCGGCCGCAGCCGGGTCTCCCGCAGGGCCTCCCGCCGCCGCCACCGCAAGAAGTACCCGCGCCGGCAGCAGCACTGGGGCCGCTGGGACTCGTCGTTGTCGTCCTTCTGGGAGACGCCGGGCGGGGTCAGCTCGGAGTCGTCGGACCGGGACTGGCTGGTCTCGCCCTGCCAGCCCTTCCAGAGCGCCTACTTCTTCGTGGACGGTGAGTCCGGGCTCCCGCCGCCTCCTCCCCGAACTCACCTACGGAACTCACGACCACGAGAGGCCAGGGGGAATCGGCAGTTGTCCCGAAGCTGCCACACGGCAGAGGTGGTGGACTACAAGTCCCATTGCTCTCACCTGCATTGCGACAGGTGTGCCGGCGGGACTGGGGTGGGCGTCTATGCGGCCGTCCCCCCCCCCACATCCTTATATTGGCTCCCCTATGTCCTGCCTCGCAGGGCTGGGGCAACTGTGGCAACTTTACCCCGTGGACTTCAATTCCCAGAATTCCTGAGCCACGTGGCAGCCTGGGAAGCCGGCTCAGGAATGCTGGGAGCTGAAGTCCACAGGTGGCAAAGTTGCCATAATCCCTTCCCCACAATTTAAACTGAGGGGTGGGGGGAGAGGGGTGCTGGGGAAGGGCTGGGGCTCTCGCGGCTGATCACCCATGACCTTTCTCTTGCAGACAAGTACTACCGGGTCAACCTGCACACGCGGAAGGTGGACTGGGTGTATCCCCGGTACCCTCGCCCCATCGCCAAATACTGGCTGGGCTGCCCCCCTTCGGAGGACCTGCTCTGAGCTCGGCCATGGAGCCCCCTGGATCTGCTGACCGGCCAAATAAAGGCTCCCCCCAACCAGCCGGTCCGCCTCGGTCTCCTTGGGCAGGGGGGGCTTCAGGAATGGGCAGGGGGGGCTTTGGGAGAATAGCATGCCTTCCGAACAGGGGGGTCTGCAGGCCTGCTGCGCTTGGAGGGTGGCCCTGTGAAGGGAGTAGCCTTAACCCCACCATCACCCCAGCCCCCTCCTCTGTCAGTTGCCAGGGTCTATGCAGAACCTCTGAGACCGTCCAGGGCTTTTAGGTGTGTCCGGAGAGGGAAAGACGGCGGTTGGGTAACTTTAGACCAGATCCTTTTCCTCTGCTCAGCCCACCTCACAGGGTGGTTGTGGGGAAAACAGGAGGAGGGAGGAGATGTTTGCTGCCTTGAGTTACATACACAGTAATAAAGGCGAGATTAAAATTAATGTGCTACCCCTCCCCCATCTGGACATGGGCAAAAACGTGTGTGTGTGTGTGTGTGTGTGTGTGTGTGTGCGCGCGCGCGCTTTTGCTTCTGCAGAACAAGTCAGCTGGAGGGGCAGGTTGAGAAGCTGGGGGGGGGGGGGAGAAGAGGCGAAGCAGCACCAGGAACAGAGGGCAGCGGTGTGATGGCCAGCCAGATGGGTGTGGCAGAGAACTGGAAGAAGTGGGGGTCCTGCTCAGTGTGCTGCCCCCCCCTTTGCCCCGGGCAGAGGGCCACGGAACCACTACCCGCCAGGTGGAGCTGGGAGCGGGTGCAAGGAGGGGGTGGGGTGCCCCTCAGCTGTTCCCAGGCAGCCGCTGGGGGGCAGTGTCTCGCCTGATCAAGGAGCCCCTCACCCAGCAACCCCCATGGGGAAGCCCCTGGGTATCAATGGGGAGCAGAGCCCCCTCCCTTCTGGCACCAAGGACACTGACAGCCGCAGCCCCCAACCTTGGGGGCACCAGGGACCCATTTCATGGCAAGAGAGGTTTTCCCACAGCCCGGAAGGGGACGTGGCCTCCATGCTGCCTGCATCCCACGGAGGGGAGGGGGGCTTCACTTGGTTGCACAGACCGGTTTCTGGCACGCCGCAGACCAGGGCCGACGCACAGACGGGAGACCCCTGGCTCATTACTGCAGAGGCCGACACAACAGTTTTGTGAGTTACTTTTTATTGCACACAACGAAGTTCCACCATCATCGCAGGACACCAGAATTGGGTAGCTGGAGCACAAAGGGGTGGGGACACCCTGCCTGGCTGGCAGGCCAGGCTCTGCCCCCCCAAACCTCTCACGATCGATGGGACGAGCAGCCCCAAGCTGGAAAGTGGCTTCTCTCCCCCCCCCCCGGCTTCGGCACCAGAAACCCCCACATGACGGCGATGCTCCCCCCGGGAGGAGACCCCTAGGTGCAGATGGCAGGCGGGGGCCCGCCTGGCCTAGAAGCCGGGCTGGGGGAGGCAGTGCCATGTCTCTGTCATGCTCCTGAGTGGCCCGTCGGATCTGGGGGAGGCCGGGGGTCCAGACGCCCCTCTCTGGGATGGAGATCACGGGAGGAGCCGTGGGAAAAGGCTGCAGGGCCCTCTGAGAGCCCGGCCCCCGGCTACAGCTGCCCCAGCTCCCCCTCCATGGTCCGCACCATCACGTACAGCTCCGCCAGGCCCACCACGGAGGCTGCGATCACGGCTGCAATCACCCTCTGGAAGGAGGAGGAGGGGGGGGTCAGTTCTGCCTCTCGCACCCCCCGCAGGGAGGTTCCCCCCCTTGTGGCGGCAAAAGGCACAGTGCCCCCCCCCCACAAGGAGCTTAAACCAGCCTGCCTCGGCCCTCTTGTCCCCACCAAGCTGATGAGGGAGCCCAGGAAACTGGGTTAATGGAGTAAACCAGGGGTAGTCCACCTTGGCTCTTTTATGACTCGTGGACTTCAACTCCCAGAATTCCTGAGCCAGCTATGCTGGCTCAGGAATTCTGGGAATTGAAGTCCACCAGTCATAAAAGAGCCAAGGTGGACTACCCCTGGAGTAAACCATGGCTGTGTTGATCAAATACAGGCAGTCCTCAGCTTACATCATTTGCTGGTTGTTTGAAGTTACAACAGCACTGAAAAAAGTGACTTACAACCGTTTTTTTCACACGTACGACCGCTGCAGGGTCCCCATGGTCAAAACCCAGAGGCCTGGCCACCGGCCTGTATTTATGACGGCCGCAGTGACCCAGCAGTGACCCCAGGTCACCCCCTTTTCCTACTTCTCACAAGCAAAGCCAGTGGGGAAGCTGACTTTATTGCACAACCGTGTGACCAACTTAACAACCCCAGGGGATTCCCTTAACAACGGTGTCAAAACAGGTCGTAAAATGGGGCAAAGCTCAGAGAACAACTGCTGAGCAACGTTAATATTTTCGGCTCAATTGTGGTCGTAGGTCGAGGACTTTAAGGGAGGGGAGTGTGCAAGAAATTTCTGCCAGCCCCTCCAGCACACTGGGGCCCCCCACAAGTTGCCCTCCCCAAAAGGGCTCCGGTGTCCCCTCCGGTGGGCCGGCCGGCCAGCCAAGCGTTACTCACTGCCGCTATATCGGTGAAGAAGTAATAGCTGCCCAGGAAGGCGCAGGCAAAAGTGGCCCCCACGGTGACCAGGAAGTTGATGACGGTGACGGTCACTGCTTTGGCTGACCTGGCTGGGAAAGGAGAGGTGAGGAACAGGGTCCCCAGAAAGAAGAGCAGCTTCCCTCCGGCACCAAGCCCCCACCTGGGAGGGGTCGACCATTGGAGGACCCGCTGACGGGCAGGTGGGAACTAGAAGAGCTTTACCCTGTTTCGGGGGGGGGGGAGGAGTGAAGCACCTGTGGGGGGGCACTCTCCAGAGGATGCTGAACCACAACTCCTAGCATCCTTGCCCCAAGGATGATGGGACTTGCAGTTCAGCAACACATGGGACAGCCACAGATGCCCGCCCCGGATCAGGCTGCACGCTTTTGATCCCCATTGATGCCTTGAGTCTTCATCCTGAAATGTGCCTTGTTGGGGATTGACTCGCCAAGGGGGGATCCCGGTCCCGCCCAAATTGCCAAAGGAGTCCTAAATGTTCTGGAGAGTTATTGATTTGCAAAATGTATTGACCACCATCACAGGTTAACTCTGGGCGTCCCACAATCTTAAAAGCTACACAAAACCCGCAAACCCGCTGTGAAGCTCCGAATCCTGCACCCCAATTAAAGGAAGGGCAGGGGGTGAGATTGTCAATCTATCCACCACCCCCAATGTGGAGCCCCCCCCCCATTGGAGCCCCAGCCCCAGAGCCCGGTCTTTAAGCTCTTCCAGAAGGTCGGGAGGGGGGGGCAGGAGATGTTCACCAAAGGATGTGGTTTGCCCCTGGGGAGGGGACAGCCCACCTTCCTGGGGAGAGACAGACCCCCTCCCCCCACCTCCACTCACCTTGCCTGCCGAGATCAGCCAGGGTGCCAGGGCGGTTCAGCTCCTTGGAAGGGGAAGGAGAAGAGCCGGTCACTTCTTGGCCCAGTGCCCCTCCCCCCATCAGCTGGGCTCAGCCTGAGTGAGGCGCTGGCCTGTCCAGAGCCCATCCTCCCCAAGGGCCCTGGGCTGCATAGGCCGGGCTCAGCTGTAGGGGATCGGTGGCTCCAGGCATTCGGAAGGCCCCTCTCTGGCAATCAGTGTGGGGGACTTCCGGGGCCTGAGGGGCCTTCCTACACCCAGAGTGGGGGCCCAGCCACTGGCCCCGGCCCTTCTGTGACCCCGGCAGCCCCTCAAGCAGCCTGGGATGGCCAAGGCCGGTCCTGTCCCCGCTGAGTGGAGAAAGGGCCTCCCTGGCTCCCTTCTCTCTGCATCTCAGCAGACGGATTGGGCAGGCAAATAAGCCTCAGCCGCTGTGCTTGATTAGGGCCCCCGTGGGCCATCCCCCTCCCTCCTCCTGAGGCTCCACTCCACACGCCCCTTTCTCCTCCTGCAGCCCTTGACGAGGGGCTGCCGTGTGTTTGTGGGGCCCCTGCATGCACTGATGCCATTACCTAGTTGGGTAGTGAAATGTCTGCAAGAAAATCAACTAGCTCAGAGAGCAACAAGGACCCCCTACAGTCCTCCCCCCCCTCCTCTCTGCAACCCCCCCTCCTTTCTGGCACTGATGATCCCACCTCCTTGGGTCAGGAAAAACCTGAGAGAAAACCACCCAGCTCAAAGAGGACCCCATAGTCCTCCTCTCTCCTAGCACTGATGATGTTACCTAGTTGGGTCATGAAACGTCTGCAAGAAACCCATCAAGCTCAGGGAGCACGAGGGACCTCACAGTCCTTTCTTTCTTTCTTTCTTTCTTTCTTTCTTTCTTTCTTTCTTTCTTTCTTTCTTTCTTTCTTTCTTTTCTTTCTTTTTCTTTTCTTTTCTTTTCTTTTCTTTCCCTTCCTTCCTTCCCTTCATTTCTTTTTCTTTCTTTCACTTTTTCTTTCTTTCCTCCTTTCTTTTTTCTCTTCCTTCCTTTCGTTTCTTTTTTCTTCCTTTCTTTCCTTCCTTCATTTTTTTCTTTTTCTTTCCTTCCTTTCTTTCTTGCTTCCTTCCCTTCCTGTTTTCTTTTTCTTTCTTTTTTTCCTTCCTTCCTTCCTTCCTTCCTCTCTTTCTTTCTCTCCTTCCTTCCTTCTTCCCCCCCCCCCCCGTCCTAGTGATTTTACCTAGTTTGGATCATGAAACGTCGGAAAGAAAACCACCAGGGTCACAGAGCACCAAGAAACCCTGCAGGTCCACCCTGAGCTACAAAGATTCTCTTCTATCGGTGTCAAGAGTTGCTCAAACGCGGATGACTTCAGGGTCTGCAGAGGGCTCAGGGAAATCACACTGGTGCTCTGGATCAATTATATGGGCATAGCTTTATCTCACTGTCTCTTAGCCCACCCCACAGGGTTGTTTTCGTGGGGAGAATAGGAGGAGTATGATGTATTTCTATATATGTATGGCAAATCTACTCAAAAGCAGAGACATCACCCTGCCAACAAAAGTGCGTATAGTCCAGGCCATGGCTTTCCCAGTTGCAATGTATGGCTGTGAAAGTTGGACCATAAGAAAGGCTGAGCGCCAAAGAATGGAGGCCTTTGAACTCTGGTGCTGAAGAAGACTCCTGCGAGTCCCTTGGACTGCAAGGCAATCCAACCGGTCGGTCCCAGAGGAGATCCACCCTGACTAGAAGGCCAGATCCTGAAGTCGAAACTCAAGGCCTTTGGCCACCTAATGAGAAGGAAGGACTCCCTGGAGAAGAGCCTGATGCTGGGAAAGATGGAGGGCAAGAGAAGAAGGGGACAACAGAGAAGGAAGTGGCTGGATGGAGTCCCTGAAGCAGTAGGCGTGAGCTTAGATGGACTCCAGTAGAGGACAGGAAGGCCTGGAGGAACATTGTCCATGGGGTCGCGATGGGTCAGACACGACTTCGCAACTAACAACAACATGATTAAATTTATATGCCATCCATTATCATCAATGAGGTGACTCCGGGTGGCTTACAAAGGTATATTTGCTGCCTTGAGGTCTACGGAGATTCTCCATCATTCTCCAGATCCCGGTTGTCCCCAAAGTCCTTTTTCCAAAAGGCAACTGGATCTTCGTGGTTTTTTCCCTTGAACTGAAGAAGCTTCTTGGATAAGAAGTGAAATGTTTTCAAGGGAAAAAAATGCAAGAAATTCCAGTTGGCTTTTCGGTTTGGGGCCTTGAGTTACTTATAAACCAATAAAGATGGGAGAAAAATCTAATAGATAATTAAATAGCTGTAGCTCTGCACATGACCCTGACCTGGCTGTTGATGTTCCTTGTCATCTGCTTGTATTCCTCATTTGCCAACTTGGCTTTGATCTTCTCCAGCCTGGCTACCAATTCTGGGTTCTGAAACAGAAAAACCAATTGCAGAAATGAAGACACATTTAACAAAAGCTGTCCCGGTCTATTCTGTCCTGGTCAGACCTCAGTTAACAGAAAAACAGAGCTGGAAGGGACCTTGGAGGTCTTCTGCTCCAACCCTCTCCTCAAGCAGGAGACCCTACAGCAACGGTGTCCATCCTTGGAACTTAAAGACTTGTGAACTTCAACTCCCAGAATTCTGGGAGTTGAAGTCCACAAGTCTTAAAGTTCCCAAGTTTGCACACCTTTACCATCTACCATTCCAGACAGGTGGCTGTCCAGTCTCTTCTTAAAAACCTCCAACTTCTGGAGGCAAGCTGTTCCACTGGTTAATTGTTCTAACCAGTTCAATTCTTGGTACCCCAGTTCAAAAAGGCCAGTAACAAATGGGAGCAAATTCAGAGAAAGGGGAATATGATCAACATGGTAAGAAAACCAAGACCTGGTTCACTAGAGGAACAATTAAATGATCTGGGAAGACGGATGGGAGACTCGGTAACAGTGTCCAACTATTAGAGGGCTGGTCATATAAAAGGGGGTGGGGGGGGCTCATTCTCTGCTGTTCCAGAGGGCAGGAAGAGACCCCGGGGGAGAAGCTGCAAGGAAAAAAATTCAGCCGAGACATCAGGAGGAACCGCCAAACTGCGGAGGGCCTGCCATTCAAAGTGGTTCTCCTTCAACGGAGACATCAGGGTCATTGATCAGGAACTCTCTATCCCTTCCAACTCTATGGTTCTATGATGAAAAGTGACCTGCCTGGGGAGGACTTGGAGGAGCTGGGGGTGGTGAAGGGAAAAAAAGGGGCCCCTGCACGTTGTGCGTTTTGCCTCCCAGATCCTGGGGGAAGTTTATTTATTTTATATGCCACCAATCTCATTGTCTCGAGTGATTCTGGGCGGCTTCCAATGACGTAACACAGAGATATACAGGCATTAAAAGCATTAAAATTAAGGTTTTTTTTTCTTCTTTTTAACACCCTGTAATGCAACTGAATGGAGCTCAAGTGTTTACTGGCCAGATGGCCTTCCTGATGCCTACATCCTGGAATTTGCAGCTGATAACAGCTCATTGTGCGCAGAGAGAAATAAATATCAAGGGATGGGAAGAGAAATGCCGCTACCTAAGATCAAACTCACAGCCTCCCGACTGTGAGGCGAGAGCTCCACTTCTAGACTACTGCATGGCTCACTAACAAGCCTTAAATAAATAAATGGTTAAAGTCAAGAGCACAGAGGCCACAGGGGTGGACATCTGTCTCTCATTCAGCCACATCCAGGTAATTCACTCCCACTGGGGGCCCAAGCCAACCAGCAGAACCAGGGTGGAGGCGGGTCTCACTGCAGAAGTCGAGATGTTCCAAAGGGAGGGGGCTGCAGTAGAGAAGGCTCTTCTTCTCCCTGATCCAGGTAGCCAAAATTCCTTGGCCAATGGGGTCTGGAAAAGGCCTCGTCTGCCAGTGGGAATGAGGTAAGCCAATCCCACTGGAGGGTGATGGTGCCTCAGATCACACAGTTGTCTGATGAGTTTTATACTATGCTCAGCTCATTTTAAGGTTAAAACAGGGGAAGTCTTACTGTGAAGCTTTGTTGACTGTAGCCTAAAGGCGCAGAAACCGCAAAGAAACTCACACTGCCCTGGGGTCCTGTGTTGTCCCCCTCCCCTACTTGTGATGAGCCTGATTATTTTTTTATCACTTTGGAAATTAAGAAACAATAAATACAATCAGTCCTCAACTCACGACCACAACTGAACCCAAACTTTCTGTAGCTGAGTGAAGCATTTAAATGAATTTTGCCCCGTTTTATGACCTTTCTTGCCACACCTGTTAAGTGAATCACTGCAATTGTTAAGTTAGTAACCCGGTTGTTAAGTGAATCTGGCTTCCCCATTGACTTTCCTGGTCAGAAGGCCGCAAAAGGGGATCACGTGACCGTCGTAAATGTGAGCCAGTTGCTCACACTTTGAGCCTGAATTTTGATCCTGCGACCATGGGGATGTTGCAGTGGGCAGAAGGATGAAAAACAGTCTTAAATCACTTTTTCAGAGTTGTGGTAACTTTAAATGGTCACTAAATGTACTGTTGTAAGCCGAGGACTGCCTGCGATGCCCGATACGTACCCTGGGTGGTTTCGTCACATCCGGGAGAAAGATTTCACTACCTTCCAACAGTTCGTGAAGATATACCGGGGAACCTGAGAGCAAGAAAAAGGAAAGGCAAATGTTTCCATTAAAAATATGTCCATGAAAGCCAATGGGGTTGCCGGATCCACTTAACAAGCGTATTACTAACTTAATGACCGCAGGGATTCACTTAACAACTGTGGCCAGGAAGGTCGTAAAATGGGGCAAGATTCACTGAACTGTCTCGCTTAGCAACCGAGATCTCAGCTGCGGTCGTAAGTCGGGGACTAGCCGTATTACGAGACCAGGGGGACGCAATGCTGCCCTCTGAACGCACCTCGACCCTGAAGAGAACGCGGGGACGTCCAGCCCGAAACGCTCCGGCCCCGGCTGCCTCCCGGGGCCAGGCCCGCTGCGGGATCACCCGCGAGGCCGGGCCCGGCTGAAGGCGGGTGGGGAGCCGAAGCAACCCGGGGCGGAGGGAGAGACTCACCGGCCTCCCGCAGGGCCCGCTGGAGCTTCCGGAGCAGCGCGAAGGGCAGGCCGCCCTCCGCCAGGGCCGCTGCCAGTTCCCCCCGCAGCGCTTCGGGGAGACGGCCCGCCGCGGGGCTCGACAGGAAGCGGCGCAGTGGCGGCCCGGCCTTGACAGACGACGCCATTTTGACAGTCACATGACCGGCAGCGCTTCCGGCCGGGGAGGCGGCGTTGCCGGGGGGACGCTTCATCACTCGGAGGCAGCTTCCGGGTCCCTTCTAGCCGCATCCTCTCCCCTTCCGGCCCAGCGCCCTCTGGAGGCGTCCGCAGGCAGCGCTACAGCGATGGGCCTGGCTCAGAGGCATCCTTGCTCAGCAGCTCCTTTGTGGCGCCTCGTTGAGGTCTCCTCCTTGATGTGCCCTCATCAGGCGCCCGGAAGACACGAGCGCGGTCCGGATCGCCAGGATTCTTGAGATGCGGACCCGGAAGCTACCTCTCGTCGCCCGCGCGGCCTCTTCTATAATCTACTTTCTCCTCCCCCTCCTCCCTCCTACGGCGCGCGCGAGGGGGCAAATCGTTGCGCGGAAGGGCCGCGCGGGGCATTCTGGGCCGCGGCGGGCCTTGAGCGACGCCTCTTGGCTCGGGCCCGGAATGGCGGCGGCGGCGGCGGCACGGAGCCGGTGCTGGGCGGCGCTGGGCCGGGCGCGGGCCTCCTCCTCTTCCGCCTCCTTCTCCTGGGGCCTGCGGGCCCCGGCCTGGACGGCCCTCGGGGCGAGGCCGGAGCTGCTGCCCCCGCGGCGCTGCCTCTCCTCCCGGTGGGTCGCGCTCGGGAGGGCCGGGCCGGGGTCGCAGCCTGATCTAAAAGGCTTCGGGGCTCCTTCCGTCTGCGGGGCGCGGGGGACCCTGGAGGTCATCCAGCCGGACCACCCCCCATCCGTCGCGGAGCACGCATGTGGGGAGGGGCTAACCCGGGTCTGCAAGCTTCATATTGCGGGGAGCGCCGCCTGGGTCCCACCTTCCCCCCGCTGCGCGGAGGGACAATTTCGGGTGGGGGGTTGTTCCAAAGGAGGGGGGGTCTCCGAGCATCCCATCAAGAGTTGTCAGTAAATGTGTACAGGAAGTTCTCGACCTACGACCACAATGCAGCCCAGAGTTTTATGTTGCTAAATGAGACATTTATTAAATTGCCCCATTTTACAACTTTTATTGCCGCAGCTGCTAAGTGAATCACCACAGTGGTTAAATTAGTCACACGGTCATTAAGTGAATCCGGCTTCCCCATTGACTTTGCTGGTCAGAAGGTGGCAAAAGGGGATCATGTGATTCCCCCCCCAGGGACACTGCGACCGTCGTAAATACGAACACAAAATGCCAGGCATTTTGGCTTGCATGCCTGTGGGGAGGCTGCAACAGCTGCAAGTGTGAAAAATGGTCGCAACTTTTTTCAGTGCCGTCAAAACTTTGAACGGTCGCTAAACGAAAGGTAGGTTGGGGACTGCCTGTACATGGGGAGCCAGGGAGGGCCGGAGGCCAAGGCTCCAGCCAGCAAGCGGGAGAAGGTGAGGTCCGTTCCGGCCAGCCAGGTGACCTTGGCCCCAGGAAGTGGGCAAGGCCAAAGCTGCTGGCAAGAAAAGTGCAGCATGAGCATTTAAGCCCATCTGAAGCTTTCTGGACACCGTTTAAGTGGAGCCGGTGGGCCTGCCTGCCACAAGGTATCTGGTTGCAAGAGTTGCATTGCTGATCCCTGATTCATATCACAATCTCTTCAAAAGCTGTGGAAAATCCTTGAAGTTGCTCCTGTCCGGGGTTTGGCCGTGGCTGCTTTCTAAATGTTTTCTAAACTTGTGGCCGCTGGGACTGCAGCGGGCTTTGTGGTTAACCTTCAACCCGTCCTCCTCTTTTACTGCCTCTTTCGCCCTGATCTCCTGGATGTTCCACTGCCAGACGGAGCTTAAATGGTGGGGGCCGAAGGGTGAACCGGGCCTTGGAGGGCGCTTGGGATTCTGCTGCTGCTCCGGTCATGGAGCCCTGCCAGGAGAGCCTAACACCGCTCTTTCCTTTCCCCCAACCCTAGGAATCGTCCTGAGGGCAAAGTCTTGGAGACAGTGGGGGTCTTTGAAGTGCCAAAGCAACATGGCAAATACGAGACTGGGCAGGTGAGCGAGTCCTGTGGATGGAACAGCTTCACTCTGTCCATAATGGGGCATCGCCCTCCCTCCTGACGTTCCCTGGGCGGGTAATGAAACATCTGGAAGAAAACCACCCAGCTCAGAGAGCACCAAGGTCATCTTCCTCCTCCTCCTCCCTCCCTCCCTCCCTTATATGGTACCCTAAAGAAGATTCACCTTCTGACAGTTTGTATAACATGTTGAGAGCCAGTTTGGTTTAGACCAGGGGTAGGCAACCGTGGCTCTTTTATGACTGGTGGACTTCAACTCCCAGAATTTCTGAGCCAGCCACGCTGAGGGGAAGGGAGAGGTTTCCAAGCTGAGCCAAGCTGAATTCTGGGAGTTGAAGTCCACCAGTCATAAAAGAGCCAAGGTTGCCTACCCCTGGTCTAGTGGTTAAGAAGAAACCGGGAGACGGTGAGTTCTAGTCCTGCCTTAGACATGAAAGCTGGCAGAGTGGGTCAGTTCTTCTGTCTCTGAGCCCAACCCACCTCAAAGGGTGACTCTTATTGCAGGGAAAAGAGGAAGGAGCACTGGATAGGTTTGCCACCTTGAGTTATTTATAAAAATAATAAACGTAGGGTGTAAATAAATATAAATGCTTTGCCAAACATCCCTTGCTTGGTGGACTGGGGCGAGTAGACGTAGCTCCTGGCAATCAGGAAATCGGGAAGTTTCAAGGCTTGGACTGCTTAAAGCAATTAGATTTGGGAGGATTGTCTGGAAAGCGAAAGGGTTTAAGGGTGTTAACTTCCTTAGGCTGCTTTGAATTATGAGTTTCTGGTCCAGGGATGGGGAACTATGGCTCCTTCATGACTTGTGCACTTCAACTCCCAGAATTCCTGAGCCAGCATGGGGGAACTATGGCCCCTTCGTGTCTCGTGGACTTCAACTCCCAGAATTCCTGAGCCAGAATGAGGGAACTATGGCTCCCTTTGTGACTGGTGGACTTCAACTCCCAGAATTCCTGAGCCAGCATGGGAGAACTATGGCCCCTTTATGACTGGTGGACTTCAACTCCCAGAATTCCTGAGCCAGCATGGGGGAACTATGGCCCCTTTATGACTGGTGGACTTCAACTCCCAGAATTCCTGAGCCAGCATGGGGAAAACTTTGGCCCCCTTGATGACTTCTGGACTTCAACTCCCAGAATTCCTGAGCCAGCATGGGGGAACTATGGCCCCCTTGATGACTTCTGGACTTCAACTCCCAGAATTCCTGAGCCAGCATTCAGGCTCAGCATAAAAGAGCCGAAGTTCCCCAGCCCTGGTCTGGTCGCAAGCTGAAATTCTGATCTCCTGCATTGTGTAAAATTTTAGCTGATAGGAACAGAGTCCTGGATCTTCCTGTGCCTCCCGGCCCTGCAACAAACAGTGAGCGCCATTAAAGCCGGATGTCTCCTCAGCTTCAGGGAGACGTTTTCCTCCCCTGCGTTCTGCTTCTCTTGACCCCCGTCTCGCCTGTCTTGACCTTCTCTTGCAGTTGTTTCTCCACAGTATATTCGGATACCGGGGGATTGTCCTCTTTCCTTGGCAAGCCAGGTTGTACGACCGAGACGTCGCTTCTGCTGTGCCTGAAAAGTAAGCGCTCTCGCAGTTGTTTGGGGTTGCCGGTCACTGAGGTGGCAGAGGCGAGGGAGCACTTAGAACAGTGGTGGCGAACCCATGGCACGGGTGCCAGAGGCGGCACTCGGAGCCCTCTCTATGGGCGCACACACCGTCGCTCCAGCCCCGCCTCCTCCCACGGCCCCCTCCTCACCAGCAGCCCCCCCAGAGGAGAATTGCCCATATGAAGCAGCGCAGCCAAGGACATGGTAGCCGGGCAGTGGGGACAAGACTCCGCCCTTGCGCCTCATCTCACGCAGATGATGATGCTGCGGGGCATGCGCGGAGGGCATGGCCACCATGGCACTGCTGGGCTGCCTGGCTGATCTGTGGCAGGCCGTGGAGATGGTGGGTGGTCCAGCGGGCAGGGCAGAGCGGGGACAGGGGTGGGGGAGCAGTTTTGGGGCCCTGGGTCTCTAAAAGGTTCGCCATCACTGACTTAGAAGGCTCCACATCCCTCGTTGCGACAGGCAGGAAGGGCTTTCGAGGGACTTCACAGAGGGAGGCTGTGGAGATGAAGTGATTTTAAAAACGGAACCAACAAAAAAAAAACGACAAATATTTGATCTTGTATTGAGTCTGTCTTTGTGGGACACAATTTGTTTTTATTAGTTTTGTAAAATTGAGTCAGTGCCTCATTCCTGCAGGGACTTGCTGACTAAATTTTGCACAGGGCAGAAGCGGTGTGTGGGGGTGTGTGTGTCTTGCAGGGGACAGGAGGAGCAGCACCCGGGAGTGCTGTGTCCGGACCTGTTTGGGCAAATTCAGGCTATAAAATAACAGGAGTTGGAAGGTTCTCCTGCAGGCATAGCGAGAGGCGTCTGTGCCTCCTCTTTGATGGTGACATCTGGCTCAGCGTGAGGCACGACTCGGTGTGGGTGAAATGCACAGGGAGTCCTCTATTTACAACCATCAGTGACCGCTGGAAAAAGGGACTTACGACCACTTTTCACACTTACAAACGCTTGCAACGTCCCAATGGTCATATGATCAAAATTCAGACAGTTGCCAGCTGACTTGTACTTGTGACGGTTGCCGTGTCCCGGGGTCAGGTGATCCCCTTTTGCGACCTTTCGACGAGCAAAGCCAATGGGGGAAGAAGACAAATTTGCTTAGCAATCCTGCTACTCACTTTAGCAACTGCAATGATTCGCTTACCGACGGCAAGAAAGGTCGTAAAAGGGAACAACTTCACAACCATTATCTCATTTAGCGGCAGAAGTGTTGGACTGAGTTGTGGTCGTTAAGTCGAGGACTGGTTGCTGAAAGTCTGCTAAGGAGGCAGCTTTTTCAGCCCGGCCCGTCTCGTTGCAGGAGCGAGTCTGGAGCTGCACATGGATCCAAAGAAGTGAAAGGCAAGACACACACCTACTATCAGGTGCTGATCGATGCTCGCGACTGCCCACATATAGTAAGTGCTTCTGCTTCCTTCCCTTCCCTTCTTTCCTTTTCTTTCCTTCCTTTCTTTTTCCATCCATCCGTCTATCCTGGCATGGAGGATGATGGGAGTACGTAGCTGTTGCTGAGGATGAGCCCTCACCCTTACCTAGTTGGACATTCTGTGCTGCAGAGTTGTGGGGAGTCTCATCCCATCCCCCCGAAACTAGACTGCTGATGTAGAAGCATGAGTGGTCTCCCTCCCTTCTTCTCCCTGGCCCTGGAGTGGGCGAGTCCCACCTTCCGATGTTCTTGTTGACCTGCTAAACCTGAAGCCGATTGTCAGGAGTGCTGTTAATGAAACGCAGCTTCCCACATCAGCGACATCTCCTGCCTTCTCTCTTGCGGTTCTCAGAAAGCTTAAATGTATTTATTTTAAAATTTAGATCCCGCCTTGGTGTCTGCACAATATGCAAGGGGGATTACAGCAATCCACCTTGCAAGCTATAAATTACAGGCACAAAACAGGGCAGTTTAAATTTAAATTGCTAAAATCAAAGTTACTTCAACTAACAAATCCTTGCGGGCAAAGATGGAGGATGTCCCTCGTTTTTTATAAGCACCCTAAGGTGGGGCAATTAAATTCACGCCTTTGGAGGGCATTTCATTTATTTATTTTATTTATTTATTTATGAGACTTACCGCTTTAAGTGCAAGCACTCTCTAAGCGGTGTACACCAGTAAGCAATGTATAGATATATATTTACATTGCCCCCAACAATCTGGGTCCTCATTTTACCTACCCCGGAAGGATGGAAAGCTGAGTCAACCATGAGCCGGTGAGATTTGAACCGCTGACCTGCTGAACACAGTCAGCTAAAGTGGCCTGCAGTGCTGCACTCTAACTGCTGCGCCACCTCGGCTTTTTCGTCCATCTGGATCATAAAGACCAGGTGACCTTCTGGGACAGAGCTCTCCGGCCTTGTCCACTTTAAGACTCGTGGACTTCAACTCCCAGAATTCCCCAGCCAGCCATGTTCCAGGCACGGGGTAGGTGAGCTTTTGGCAGTGGAGAGTCGTTGGAAAGGAAGTGGAAATGAGCCAGCTCCTTCTGCAAATAGGGGTAGATAAAGACTTTGAAATGCTGAAATTAGAAGAGAAAAGCAGGGACTCTGAAACACCAGCTGAGACTTTTAAGAGCTCAGCAGTGGAAATGGACAATGAACTTTCTCCGGGTGAGAACATTCTGCAAGCAGCTGCCTCCCCCTCCCCACCCCCCACCCCCTGCAGTGGGCCTTAAGGAAAGCCTGCCCAACATTCCCTCCCAGTGTGAGAGGCCACTGCTGCTAATCCCACGGCAGCTCCCATCTGTGTCAGAGTGGGGTGGGGCATTGGGTACAGGGAGACCCCTTAGCCACACTCAAGAGTCCCAGCAACGGGTGGAGGCAGACGGTCCAGCTTTTGAAAGTCCAGCACAATGGCCACACAGTTGGAACCTGGCCGCACTGTCCCGTCAGTTTCCCGCAGGGTTACTCGGACCCGAGTCCCCCTGGGCCTGCCTGTCTCCGACTGCGGCTCCACCTCCCGCCCTTCCTGTTTCTCCTTCAGTCTCAGAGATCCCAAACAGAAGCCGTGACCTTTTTGGCCAACCACGATGACAGCCGAGCCCTCTATGCAATCCCAGGTAAGCCAAAGGGAGGGCGAGAAATTGGGAATGCTCAGCCCGAAGAGAAGGGGGCAGCGTCCTTTGGCGCCCTTGAAGGGAGGGGGCTCCGAGGGAGACCGGGTCCAGAGGGCCGGCTGTGCAATAGTGGCCATCAGACTTAACAGGAAGGCAGTTGCTGACCAAAAGATAGGAACCAATAAAGGAGAATCTTTGTAGCTCAGGGTTGAAATGAGGCCTCGCTCCTTGGTGCTCTCTGAGCTGGGTGGGTTTCCTTGCAGACGTTTCATGACCCAACTAGGGAACATCATCAGTGCTAGGAGGGAGGAGGAGGAGGAGGAGGAGGAAAGATGTAGAAGAAGGAGGAGGAGGAGGAGGAGGAGGAAAGAAGTAGAAGAAGAAGGAGGGGCAGGAGAGGAGGAAGACTGTGGGATCCTTGGTGCTCTCTGAGCTGGGTGGGTTTCCTTGCAGACATTTCATGACCCAACTAGAGAACATCATCAGTGCTAGAAGGAAGGAGGAACAAGGAGAGGAGGATAATGATTATGTCCTTGGTGTTCTCTGAGTTTGGTGGTTTTCTCGCAGATGTTTCATGACCCAACTAAGTATCATCAGCACTAGAAGGGAGGAGGACTGTGAAGTCCTTGGTGTTCTCTTGAGTTTGGTGGTTTTCTTGCAGATGTTTCATTACCCAAACTAGGCGACATCATCAGAGCTAGTGGTGCTAGCATCATCACTGGCTCTGATGATGTTACTTAGGCGGGTCATGAAACGTCTGCAAGAAAACATGAGAGAGAGGCAGGAAAGAGACGAGAGAGAGGGAGAAGAGGGGCAGGAAAGAGGGAGAGGGGGAGGAGGGGGGGGGAGAGAGAGTTGGGTTGTGACACACAGCCAGAATGGCGGCCTGGATTTGAGGTTAACACGTCCCGGTTCTCCGGTGCTGCCCTCCCCTACTTGGCTGCTTTGGAAGCCTGAAAACGGTTTCTCGGCCTGTGAAATGAGTCAGTGGGTTTTGTGGCTGAGCCCCACCTGCCCCTCCTCCGGGTTCCTTTCCAGGGCTGGACTACGTGAGCCACGAGGACATTCTGCCCTACACCTCCACAGACCAGGTGCCCATCCAGCACGAGCTCTTTGAGCGCTTCCTCATGTACGATCAGACAAAAGGTACTTCACACACACACACACACACACACACACACACACACAGCCCTTCGCCCCCCCTTCCCACTCCAGGAGCAGGGCTGGCCTTCGGGGGGAGGGCAGGATCTCTCCCCACCCACTCTTGGAATCCACAGGCCGAGAGGGATCTCTGAGCCCCCCCCCCCAGCACAGGAAGCCCTCGACTTGGGATCATAACAGAGTCCACGATCCCCATTGCTAAGCCAGGCCGTTGTTAAGTGAGTTGCACGACCTCTGTTGCCATGGCCGTTAAGCGAATCACGGCAGTCGTGAAGCGAGTAGCTGTTTAGTGACTCTGGCTTCCCCCATTGAGTCGGCTTGTCAGCAGGTCGCAAAAGGGGATCAAGTGACTCGGCAACCGTCATAAATCTGAATCAGCATCTGAATTTTGAGCACAGGGATGCTGCCATGGTCATAAGTGTGAAAAACGGCCGCAAGTCACTTTTTTCAGTGCTGTTGTAACTTTGGTCACTAAACAGCCAGTTGTAGGTCAAGGAACGGCCGGTCCCATCATCTCCCCTGACGCATTTTTCGCGCGTGGCCGGCCAGGTCGAGGCCCAGCGCTTCCCCCAGCCGGCCCACGGCGGTGGTGGGCCCCACAGGTTGTGGCGGTGAGGCTGTTGGTTTCCCCCCTCAGCTCACCCAGAGCCCAGGAGGGTCAGCGTGCTTCTTCCCTTGATTTTACCCTTGCGGGGGGTCCTCAGTCTACGACAGGTTGTGAGGGACCCCACAAAACGCACTTAAAGTCCCTGAATTCAGGGTTCCGATTGCCACGAGCCTCCCTTCACCCACAGTCGCATTATTGCACTTTGGGGGCTCAGCAGCTGGCCCACATCTAGGGTTGCTTGCAGCGCCCTGCCTTCACCTGACTCTTGATTTAGGAGATTTTTGCTGGAGAGCGGCATTTTTACGTTTGCTTTCTGACAAAACCGAAGAGAGGGTTTGCTTAACGGCCATAAAATTGGGCACGGTCACGTGATCACCGTCTGCACGGCTTGTGACGGCTGCTCAGTCACCTGGCCAGCCCGCAATTGGGGGTGGGGGGTTTCCGTGGGCCGGCCTTCTCTCCCCTGACCGTTTCCCCTTGGAACTTCCGTTCAGCTCCCCCCTTTGTGGCAAGGGACACGCTCTGCGCCTGGCAAGAGAAGAACCACCCGTGGCTGGAGCTCTCCGACGTGCACCGGGAGACCACCGAGAACATCCGGGTGACGGTCATCCCCTTCTACATGGGCATGCGGGTAGGTGCCGCCCCCCCCATGCCCCCCGCCTGGGAAGGGGGGGAGGACGAAGGCAGCGGTAGAGGACAACACCCAGGAGCAGAGCACAGTCCGGGGGGGGGGTTTAGTGGCCATTCAGAGTCTGATCACGTGACTACGCAGCGGTCGCAAGTGTGAAAAACGGTCACAAGGCACTGAGGAAAGTGACTTGTGACCTTTTTTCACACTTGCGACCGCTGCGTAGTCACGTGATCAAAATTCAGGTGCTGGGCAACTGGTTCACGTTTATGATGGTCGCAGTGTCCCAGGGGTGTTACGTGATCCCGTTTTACAACCTTCTGACCAGCAAAGTCAGTGGGGGGAACCAGAGTCACTGAACAACCATGTTAGCAGCTGCGGTGATTCCCTTTTGGCCCAACTGTGGCCAAAAATGAGGTGGGCAAAACTCACCAAATGTCTCACTTAGCGACAGAAATTTTGGACTCGACTGTGGTTGAAAGTGGAGGACTGGCTGTAAACGGAAAAATACTAGAATGTAAAGAGAAAAAGAAAGCAAGTTAATCGTAGAGTAACAAGTAAATGTTCAATAGTATTCCAACTCTTAACAGACTCATAGTCAGCTGCAAATGAGAGAGGGAGATAGAGAGATGAACAGGTGAAGATAGGTAGATAAGAAAGAAAGAAGAAAAAGAGAAAGGAAAGAGAAAAAGGAAGGAAGGCAGGAAAGGAAGGAATCAAAATACAGCTGGAAGGGATTTTGGAGGTCATCTAGTCCAGCCCCCCCCCTCAAGCAGGAGACTGTATACCATTTCAGACAAGTGGCTGTCCAGTCTTTTGTTAAAAATCTCTAGTGATGGAGCACCCACAACTTCTGGTGGCAAGCTGTCCCACTGGTTAACTGTCCTCGTTAGGAAGTTTCCCCTTAATTCCAGGTTGCTTCTCTCCTTGACTAGTTTCCATCCGTTGTTTCTCGTCCTGCCTTGTGGTGCAAGATAGATAATTAGATAAAAATAAGAATAGCCCGCTCTGGCTGGTTCTGTGCCCACCTGCTTGGCCCCGTGTCGGCCCTTTCAAGTTCTGATACAGGGACCGCACCTCACATGGGGCAGCACTGCCAGCTGGGCCAGATTGGGCAGGCTGGGGGCCAAGTTGGCATTCAGCCATGGGAAACGGCCTCTCTCTCTTCTCTTAACAGGAAGCGCAGAATTCTCACGTCTACTGGGTGAGTCTCCCTGTTTCTGTGGCTGGCTGGGGGGGGGGGCTGAGAGGGGCCTCCTTCTGCCCTTGGAAGGGTGAGGGGAGCCCCCGGCCCCTCTGATTTGGGGCCCGCTTTCTCTGCCTCCTGCCCAGTGGCGCTACTGCATCCGCCTGGAAAACCTCAACAACGAAGTTGTGCAGCTCCGTGAACGGCACTGGAGGATATTCAGCTTGTCCGGCACCCTGGAGACCGTCCGTGGCCGGGGAGTTGTGGGGCGAGTGAGTAAGGGGGAGGCGGTCGTGTCCCGGCAGAGGCTCGTCCCGGCAGTTGAACTCCACAAGCCTTAAAGCTGCACTTTGGGCCATTCTGAAGGCTCAGCGCAAAGAATTCTGCGCGGCCGGCCTGGCGGCCGATGTGAGCTCAGCCCACTTGCCCTTCGGGAGACCCACACGCCCGGCCGCAGCCCCGGGGAGGCCGTGACCGCCTTTTCTCCCCCCAGGAGCCCGTCTTGTCCAAAGAGCAGCCGGCCTTCCAGTACAGCAGCCACGTCTCCTTGCAGGCGTCCAGTGGGCACATGTGGTGAGCCTTGGGGGCGTGGGGGGCATCGGCTGGGGGAGCAGGGAAGGGAAGAGGGGTGTGTGTCTCGGGCTGGGAGAGCTCAGCTGCTGCCTGGTGCTCGGCCACCTCCTGTGTCAGGCCAGGAGGGACAGGTGGGAGCCCCGATGGACAGGTGGGGGAGGGCTAGGGTCCCTCGCCACCCGCAGCTGGTGTGGGACGGAGCACGGGGCCAGGTCCCCTGCCACACAGAAGGGGCCCCCTCGGGAACCCCGGCCCCTCCTCCAGCTTGTTCGTGGGACAGAGCGTCGCCTCGTTTTCTTAGTGGGCAAGAACAGGCAGTCCTCGTCTTAACAACCGTTCCGTTTAGTGACTGTTCAGAGATACAGCAGCACTGGAAAGAGTGACTTAGGACCATTTCCCCCACTTACGACCATTGGTCACGTGATCGAAATTCACATCTTGTCAACGGGGCTCACATTTATGACGGTCGCTGTATCCCAGGATCCCCTTTTGCAACCTTCTGGCCGAGCCGAGTCAGCCAGATTCACTTAACAACTCCAGTGATTCACTTAGCCTCAGTGGCAAGACTTAGCAACGGAAATGTTTGGCTCAGTTGTGGTCACACATCGGGGACTGCCTTTATGTCCGTCTCGTGGGGGCTCACCTGGACTTCTTTCCTTCCTTCCTTCCTTCTCAGGGGCACCTTCCGTTTTGAGCGGCCCGACGGCTCCCATTTTGACGTCCGGATCCCCCCCTTCTCCCTGGAAAGCAATAAGGATGAGAAGACGCCCCCTTCTGGCCTCCACTGGTAGAGCGGCCTTAGGAAGCCAGCCCTCCCCCCCCTTTTTCCCTCTGGACTGTTTCCCTCCCGGGAGCCCACTCCTCAAGGGCTGACACGAGTTCTAGGTTTGAAAGCGAGTGTCCCTCCCTCCCCGTCTCCATCTTGGACCGCGGCCGAAACGGGCCCGGCCGGACCCTGGGACGAGTGGGCTTTGGCCGTCTTTGCTTGGGGCACCTAGCACAAAGCTGCCTTGGGCGGAACCCGCAAAGCTCTCCGAAGGCGTGTGGACTCTTCCAGATGTGAGGTGGTGTGTTTGTTCACTAAATAAACCGGCCTCCCTGTTGCGGCTCCATCTTCCTTGTCACCTGTATGTCCATCGGTCCCATTCGGGGGGGAGGGGGGGCACCAGAAAGCGAGCCCAGGTCCTTCTGGGGTTTGAATGGCATCGTGCCCCACTCGGCCCTCTCCCTTCGCCAGGCCAGCTTGCGCCCAGCTGGTTAGCCACCTCCTCCCTGGCCTGGTTTCCTGAGCCTCCTGCCCTCCTCTGGAGCAGCTCTGAATTGTGGCCAGGGGGCTCTGGGGGCAGCTGCACAACCAGGAAGCGGACCTTTGGGAAGCAGCTGGAGGTCCAGGGATTTCCTCCAGCTACCCGGGGTCAGTGCACTGGGCAGAACAAAGTTCCCGGCACCAAATTGGGAGGAGGGCCCGTTTCCGAGACCCACAGAGTCTGCCCAGCCACGAAGTCCATTTCTCAACCCTCCAGGCTTCTAGGAAGCCTCCAGCGTGCCATGGAAAGAGCCCTGCACATGCAATAAAATGAGGACTTCTGAATCGTTTTGGCTTCCTTTGTCTTTTGAAAGAGGCAATGCGTGAGGCAGCACACAGAGAGCATGGCAAGCAGACGATTAAGTGCTGGGTTCACGAGAGACCTGGAGTGTGCAGTCCTTGGTACCCACTGAGTCCTTGCAGACGTTTCATGACCGGACTAGGTAACATCATCAGTGTCAGGATAGTGAATTTTTGCCTTGTCAGTGATTTAACAGCATGCAACTTAATCCAAGGACCACCAGGAAGACTCCCGCCAGCGCTGACACGGAAGCCACTAGCAGCCTTCCTGCCTTTTGCGGTGCGGGGACGCGGGATCCGCCGCCTCTTCCGAGCGGGCGCCTGGAGAAACCCCGCCCCGCCTTTCGGCTCGCCCCGCCCCGCTTCACCCGGCCAACAGCATCTGCGAGCGACGCACGTGGGCCAGTCCCACGCCGGGCCCCGCCCCTCCGCTCGCGGCTGACGCATGCGTCCTGAGGCTCCAGGGCCGGTTTGCCCGCGCTCGGCCACCGTCCGCCGTTTGTTTCCTTGGCTTCGGCGAGCCAAGATGGCGGCGGCGGGTTTGGAGCGAGTCCGCGTTTCGGCGGCGGAGCTCCGGCGGGGCATTCTGGCTACGGCGGAGGCGGCGGCGACGCACGAGAGGGGCGGCCCAGGTGAGGGTGCGGCGGACGGGCGGGTTAATTGGTTGGTTCGCGGCTGCGGCGCGAAGCAGGGCGGCCGGGGGGGCGTGGCGCTCTGTTGCCCCCCTCCTCCCTCTCTGCTGCCTGAACACCTGCGCGGGCCCGCGCCTGCGCGCTCTTTGCTCCTCTCCGTCTGGGCCGGACTACAGCTCCCACAATGCCTTGCCCGTCCGTTAAGGGGACCAGGGGCCTTCCGCCATGGGGGCCCTCCCGGAAGGCCCCGACCCCTTGCGAAGAAGGGCCGGGGAGGGCGGGGGAGTGCGGCCCGGCTGGCAGGGCGACTCGAGGCGCTGCTCTTCCCCGGGGTAGGCCTCGCCTGACTCGGAAGCGCCTGTCCGGCCGGGTCAGCTGGAGTGGCGGCGGCTGACCCTCCCCTCGGCCCCTCTGGGGGTCTCCTTTCGTGGTATGCCTAATTCTGGTTGCCCTGCCAGACCTTGGGCTCAGAGGGGCTGCTTGACTCCGGGGGGGGGTCCACCCGTGGCCGCTTTAAGACCTGTGGACGTCAACTCGCTGGCTGGGGAATTCTGGGAGTTGAAGTCCACAGGTCTTAAAGCGGCCATGGTAGACACCCCTCCTGCTCTAGCTTGTCTCTTGGTACATTTACTGTTGCTTTGTAATTTGTGGACAGACTTAAAGTTGAAATAATAAATATAAATGGGAGAATCCCAATGGAAGCATTTGGGATGGAGGGGGGGGGGCTGGCCCTCTGACCATGGAGAGCCTCCTCCCCCCCAACACCAATCCATCCACCAAGGTCTCTGCTAGCCTCAGTTTCTGATGTTTTGTCAATGGCTTTGAGGCTTGGTGGAGTTGTGCATTGTGCACTCCGTTCACATGCTCTGTCCTCTGTTTATTCCGGATTGACACTGCTTGTCTCCTAGTCATTGCCCCCCTTTTTCCACCCGATGCCCGTGCCCCACTTCCCCAATCTCCTCCCCTGGGCTTTACGGCATACGCTGAAGATGGCAGGCGTGACTCTTACTTTTTGGAGTCTGGCTGTGTTTCAATCCGGAGCTTAGGCTCTTCAAGAGAGTCTTTCTATTTTCCTGGCTTCTAAACTTTCCTGGAGGCTGAGTTGGCTTCCTCCTCCTCCTTGTTGACCTTTTTTTATCTCACAGAATATATTTCAGTGAAGCTCAGTCTTTGTGATCTCAGATCAATTCTTTGCCCTCTTGGCTTTCCCTGTGGGACTCTTCTGGTAGTTTCCCCCTTGCCTCTATGCAAAATGTGTGGTGCTCTTTCCTGTTGGTTCCGCCTAGTTGCATCTTGTGCTCCAGGTCTCGGTCATCCCTTCCGACGAAGCTCCCTCCGGCTGCTTTCAAGTTCATCTGTCTAGACTAGGGGCAGGCAACCTTGGCTCTTTTATGACTCGTGGACTGCAATTCCCAGAATTCCTGAACCAGCATAGGAATTCTGGGAATTGCAGTCCACGAGTCATAAAAGAACCAAGGTTGCCTACCCTGGCTCTAGAAATATCTAGACGTGTTTCTTGGTGATGGGCCGAGAATCCCGTTTGTGGCAGAGCCTCCCATTATTATCACCGTTTTGATCAGGTGGGCAACAGCTGCCAAAGGGAGGAATAATAATAATAATCTTCCAGTGTTTTCTGGTTTATTTACCACCGGGGCCTCCAAACTCGGCTACTTTTAAGACCTGTGGACTGCAATTCCCAGAATTCCTGAGCCAGCTCTGCCGGCTCAGGAATTCTGGGAGTTGGTCCACAAGTTTTAAAGTTGCCAAGGTTGGGCATCCCTGATTTACAAGATATGGTTGATGTAGCTGGTCATCTCACCCAATTGACTCTGGGTGACTACCGAGAATTAAAAACACCAAATCACCAAACCAGAACGATGGCTAATAATAAGCCCAGGTAGTGAAGGAGAAGCAGTAACCCTCCCTGCGGAAGCAAAAGCACCTTGACAGATTCAGGGGCTTGTCTGACCCTCTAGTCCAGAGGCCCCCAACCTTTGGGACACCAGGGGCCGCTGGTTCCGTGGAGAGAGGTTTTTCCACGGACAGGAGGGTGCGTGGTTTTGTGTGCTGCCAGCATCCCGCGGATGGGGCTTTGCTTGTTTGTGCTGACCGGTTGCTGGCATGCTGCGGCCCGGTACAAGTCCATGGGCTAGGGGTTGGGGACCCCCGGCCTGGGTCATCCTCCAGGGCAGAGAGGCCCAACTGGGCTGGCACTGAGCCTCTTCTGGGTCCTTTGAGTGAAGAATCCAGCGATCTCTGCCCTCCCCCATGCCAGTAAAAGGGGCTCTCTGGGAGAGCTCTCTCTCTCTCCCCCCAAGCACCTCGACTATTTTACAGGTAGTCCTCACCTTACGACAGTTTGCTTAGTGACCAAAGTTACAACGCTGCTGAAAAAAGTGACTTAGGACCGTCCTTCACACTTACAAGCTTTGCAGCATCCACACAGTCGGGGGATCAAAATGCGGACGTCTGGCCACTGGTTCGTATTTATGACGGTTGCAGCGTTCCACGGTCACGTGATCCCCTTTTGTGACCTTCTGATGGGGAAGCCAGGTTCACTTAGCAACCACGTTACTTATCAGCTGCAGTTATTTACTTAGCAACGGTGGCCAAAAAGGTGGTAAAGTGGGGCCAAACTCAGCCACTGTCTCACCAACAGAAAGTTTGGGCTTAATTGTAGTCATAAGTTGAGGACTTCCTGTACTTAATGGGGAGAGATCCACCCCCTGTGCAGCAGGCTGTTGTCTAGGACAGGGGTCCCCAACCTTGGCAACTTTAAGACCTGTGGACTTCAACTCCCAGAATTCCCCAGCCAGCATGTCTAGAAGCTAGTTCACCACCGGGTGCCTTTGCCAGCACTGTGCCACCCTCCCAGATGCCAGACTCGGGTGCCCCGGGTTTGCTGGGCCTCCAGCTCCAGGGGGCATCTTGGTTCGTCCTTGGCCAGCCTCTTCCAGGGTCCCTGGCTACTGGTTCTGCTCTTGCTTGCCACCCTGCCCCATCTTTCGTGGCATCCTGCTCTTCTCTGGCAGCTTCGGTGTCAGGCTTCCACTTCTCCTTTTTGCTCTTCATTATTCCATAACCCCTCCTTGGAATATGCCGCCTGCCCACCCCCTCAAACCGCTGAGCCTCTGCTTAAAGGGCCAGCTCTTCATTCCCCGCGAAGTAGAGCCCTGAAAGGGAATGGGGGGCTGTTGCCCTCCCATATTCACCTTCTCACACACTGGGGCCCACATGCATTATGGCTGCAGCCAGCTCATCCACCCTCTTCTCCAATCTTGGCCACTCTAAGACTTGTGAAGTTCAGCTCCCAGAATTCCCCAGCCAGCACAGCTAGTGGGCTTCAAAAAAGTTGGTCCACAAGTGATAAAGGGTCCATGGTTCCCCAGCTCTGCTATAGGTAGGTAATAGATAGTCTAGCACAGTGATGGCGAACCTTTTAGAGACCGAGGGCCCAAACTGCAACCCAAAACCCACTTATGTATAGTCGGGTGCCAGGTGGGCGTGGCCCATTGGGTGGGTGTGGCTACAGTAATAACAGCAGACAGGGTGGGACTAAAAAGTTCAATCAATCAATTCCAACTTTGCAAGATCTTTTTTTTCCCCACGAAAAGTTGAAATTGATTGAAGCTTTTTTTTGCACACGGTGGTGGAGGCCTAAAGCGAAAAGGTTTATAAAACCCAGGTGAAGGCCTAAGGTGACCACGTGTGCCTACAGAGAGGACTCTGAGTGCCACCTGTGGCACACATGCCATAAGTTCGCCACTACGGGTCTAGCACACATGTTAAGACTCCTGAAGGTGGAGCTTTGCAGTCTGTTGGTGGCTAGAAAGAGATGAGTAGGGGGGGGGGCGTAGCATGCCTGGGAGCCAGGCCAAGCCAGGGAGGCTGGGCAAGGGAGTCTTCCCCACACATGTTCCAAGAAGAAGAAGAATAGAATAGAGCTGCAAGGGACCTTGGAGGTCTTCTAGTCCAGCCCCCTGCTCAGTCAGGAGGATCTATAGTCTCTTTTTAAAAACCTCCAGTGATGGAGCACCCACGACTTCTGGTGGCAAGCTGTTCCACTGGTTAATTGTCCTCACTGTCAGGAGGTTTCTCCTTAATTCCAAGTTGCTTCTCTCCTTGATCAGTTTCCAACCATTGTTTCTCATCCTGCCCTCTGGAGAATAACGTGACCCCCACTTCTTTATGGCAGCCCAGATCCTGGAACACAGCTATCATGTCTCCCCTATTTCTTCTTTTCTTCAGACTAGCCAAACCCAAGTCCCGCAGCCATTCTGCATATGTTTTAGTCTCCTGGCCTTTGATCCTCTTAGTTGCTCTTCTCTGAACTTTTTCCAAGGTCTCAACATCATTTTTGTAGTGTGGTGACCAAAGTTGGCTGCAGTATTCCAGGTGTGGCCTAACTAAGTGTTTTTATAAAGCGGGACTAATACTTTGCGTGATCTTGATTCTACACCTCTGTTTATGCAATCCAGGATTGTATTAGCTTTTTTGGCTGCTGCTGCACACGGCTGGCTCATGGTCAAGAGATCGTCCACTCGGACTCCAAGGTCCCTCTCACAGTGGCTGTTTTTGAGCCAGGTCTCACCTAATGTTGGCCGGCATTGATGGCAAAAGCTGGCTTAGGAGTGGTGGTCAAAAGGTTTGAAGGAGATGCCACTTTCCACAGGAAGCTGAGACTGGACCTTCAGTGCAGAGCAAAGGGGGTGGCAGAGGAGTTGCCAGCCACAGGCGGGAGAAGGAGGCATGGGGCAGCCGAAAGAGTTGGCAGGCTGGGGCCGGGTGTGCTGCCGCTGGGGTGCCAGGCTGTGGGGCAGCCCCTTGAGGGAAGAGGAGAAGCTGACGGTTGTGCTTATCGGGAAGGCAGTTGCGGGGATTTAGCCCCTTCGTGGGAGAATGAAGCAGCTTTATTCACACAACAGAGGAGCTGCCCACGGGGACTGGTGTGGGGTGGGAAAAGGCTGCCCTCCTCCAGCTGGGCCTGGTTTTCCTAGCCCAGTGTTTCCCAAACTTGACAATTTTAAGGCATGTGGACTTCAACTCCCAGAATTCCACAGCCAGCAACGCTGGCTGTGGAATTCTGGGAGTTGAAGTCCACATGCCTTAAAATTGTCAAGTTTGGGAAACACTGTCCTAGCCCAAAGGGTCCCCCAAGCAGCTAATAAGCCAGGCCAGCCGAGCGCTCTGCCCATTGAGGGACACTTAGCACAATGTGGGAATCCCAAAGGACTTTTTCCCAAAAGGCAACTGGCTTTTCTTAAGCTTTTTCCCTTGAAAACATTTTGCTTCTCGTCGAAAAAGCTTCTTCAGTCGCCTGGGAAGAGAAACAAAGAAAACTGAACAGAACTGAAGAAGCTTCCTGGATGAGAAGCGAAATGTTTTCAAGGGAAAAAACCCCAAGAGAGTCCAGTTGCCTTCCGGGGGGGAAAGCCCCCTGGGGACAGCCCTGAGGCCTGGGGGGCTGAGACTCTCCCTAGACATGAGGTGGGAGGTCGGGGGGGGAGCCTCAAGGCCTCCCTCTTGACGCTCCTTCGGCCGCAGAGCGGGGACCAGCCCGGCTGACTCGTCTGGTAGCCAGAGACTCACTCTGGGCGCCCGTGGCCTGATCCAGCCACTGGGCTCCGTGTCTAGAGGCCCAGAGGGACCCCAGGGTGGCTCTGTTCCGTGGCCTGTCTGGCCCCTCAGTTCCAGGCCCTTCTGGCCCAGCCCGGTCGTCACGGGAGCCCCTGCCAGCGTTCTGATGCCAGCCAGCCCACCGGAGCCTCCCAGAGGCAGGCTGGGTCTTCCAGGCTGCAGCCCACAGGCTGGCCATGGCCCACGGAGCTGAGCAGTGGGAGGCCTCGGCCACGGAGGGGATGTGCTCCCCAGGAGGTGGAGGAGGAGGAGGAGGAATCCAAGACGGAGGTCCGTCCTGGCTGTGGGAAGGAGCCACCCTGGGGCTAAAGGGGGAGGAGGGCTCCGGGGGGGGGGTCTGGAGAGAGGGAGGAGGGAGGGATTAATGGCTCTGTGCTCTGGTCCAAAACCGGGTGACCTGGTGGCCACTGAAACCAAGTGTGGGGTCTCTAGCCCCCAGACCCTTATGGAGGGCTCGGGAGGGAGGGTCCTCTTCCCTTTGGGGGGAGGGGGACAAGTGGTGCCAAAGCAGGGAAGGCCGCACAGAAAGCGCACTACGCCAGGCCCTCTTGCTGGACCCCAAAATGGGGACTTTTACATTTAATCTTAGTGTTAATGATCTACCTGTCATACAATTATTATTGTTGTTGTTGTTGTTATGGATCATCGCACAGTCAGCCAGATGTTCAGACTGGATTTGGCATTTTGTCTACCTATCGAGTCCTTACCCAGGACCTGGGATAGGCAGATGTGGATGTTTGATGGTATTACAGATATCTCACAGGATGGAAGCAGTTCCTAGTAAGGCCGCCTTTTGCAATTGACTAATGGCGAATTTGTCAATGCCGATAATGGTGTTCAAGTGGTGCTCCAGTTGTTTTGGGATTGCACCCAAGGAGCCTATCACTATTACTACTACTACTACTACTACTACTACTACTACTACTACTACTACTATTATTATTATTATTATTATTATTATTATTATGTATATGTAGGGATGTGGGCCTATACATATGTTGTACATAGTATGTTTTAGGTGTGTGTCATGTATGTGTTTCACTTTGAGAGCAGGCAACTAAATTTCATTTTTTGATATGTGCCATTGTGCCCCCAGTAAAAAAAATGACAAGGTTATCTTATCTTATCTTATCAAAAATAATAATAATAATAGAGTAATAATAATGATGATGATCATGATGATAAAGTTGGAAGGGACCTTGGAGGTCATCTAGTCCAACCCCCTGCTCAGGTAGGAAACCCTAGACCATTTCGGACAAATGGCTGTCCAGCCCCTTCTTAAAAACTTGTTGGAGTGGTCACAACTTCTGGAGGCAGATCGTTCCACTGATTAATTGTTCCAACTGTCAGGAAATCTGTTTTTATTTGACAGTTTGATGTTTGTTTGCTTGTTTGTTTTTTTCCTTTCTTTTCTTTTCCAAATTTTGTATTTTAACTTTGGAGAGATATATAAAAAGGATTTGTTTTTAAAAAAGATAGACTTTCAGCAGGCACTCCCTGGGGATACAGAATCTGCAATGACAGTCAGTTATTAGTCATCCCAAGGATGCTTTTTCACGAGGCAACCGGACTTTCTTCAGCTCTGCTGAAGAGCCGAAGAAGCTTCTGGGATGAGAAGCGAAACGTCTTCAGAGAAAAACAAGAAAGTCCAGTTGCCTCGTGAAAAAGCACATTTGGGGTAAATATGATCTGGATGACTGAGAATCTCCACAAAGATTTGGTTATTAGCGTCTTCGGCTGCATTCAGAAACACAGTCGCAGCCCCCCCCCCCAAAGGTGTTTAGTTAAATGCAAAAGTGGTCTTTTTATTTCTTCATAACTTTTATGTCTGGTTTATCTTTGATTTTCTGGTTGTTTGTTTCATTTTAAAACATTTATTACTTTTTTAAAAAGCAATTTTTTATGGCTGCATCTTTCCTACCTTTTTGTATTAAAACAAAACCATGTCATCTCTTCAGTCTTTCAAACGTCATTAGAAGTAAACCTCATTTACTGACTGCCTCATTCAGCAACTGTTCAGAGTTATGACAGTGCTGGGAAAAAAACCGCTTTATGACCCGTGCTCACATTTATGACCTTTGCAACGTTCCTTAGTCACGAGATCACCACTACAATCCTGTGCCCGTCCTGTGGTTTATCTTTTTTCCCACCTTTGCAGAGTGTAGAGATTGGAGAGGAAGGGATCACAAGAGAGTCAGCAGGCAGACAGTGGGGAATACACCGAGAAAGGAATGCAATGGCACACCAAACCTTTTCATTCCCCACTCTTTGCCTGCTGACTCTCTTGCGATCCCTTTCTCTCCAATGAATGTAAGTGCAAACTTCAACTCTCTTCTTGCTAACTATCCCAGTGCCTAAGGCTAGGGCAGGGGTAGGCAACCTTGGCTCTTTTATGACTCATGGACTTCAACTCCCAGAATTCCCAGCATAGCTGGCTCAGGAATTCTGGGAGTTGAAGTCTATGAGTCATAAAAGAGCCAAGCTTGCTTACCCCTGGGCTAGGGAGAAGGGATGGGGGAAAGGAAATGGCTTCCCACTGAGTGACAGCTTTGTTTAGCGACAGAGATGTCACTCTCAATTCAGTTGCATAAGTCGGTCTGCTGCCCCCCCGTGCCTGGTGAGCCCCCCACTCGCTTCCCCCCCCCACCAGCTACGGGGCTGACGGTCCTCTTGTGCTTCCCTTCTTGCAGAGACCATGAAGGAGCCCCGGCATCGTAAGGACAACCGGCGTCCGGATCTCGAGATTTACAAGCCGGGGCTCTCCCGCCTGAGGGGCAAGCCAGGCCCGGCCAAGCAGCAGCTTCCGGCGGAAGAGGAAGCCGAGGAGGAGGGCCTGGGCCCTGGGAAGCCCGCGGCAGCTCCCTGCAGGGAGGACACCCCGCTCCCCCAGGGCCCCCCTGAGGACAAGGGCCAGCCCCCCAACGGCTTCCTGGAAGGTCCTCCCCAGGGCCCCGGGGGCAGCCCGCAGGACTGGTGCCCTCGCATCGTCAGGCGAGCCAAGAAGCCCGACCAGCAGATCTACCAGCCTGGCAAACGCCTGCAGGCCTCGCCCCGGGAGGCAGGGGCTGCCTCCCTGGCAGACGAGGAGCTCCCCCCGAAGGAGGAGAGGGGAGCAGACTGCGAGAAGGACGCCGGGAGGGCTGGCCAGGGCCCCGGGAAGCCAGGGGGCTTGGAAGGAGGGCCCAGCCAGGAAGGGGCCAGGCCCTTCCGGGGGGAGAAGGGCAGGCGGGCCGAGCGGCCCCGGAAGGCCCGAGAAGAGCCGGGCCACGGCAAGGGCAGCCCCCCCAAGCGGTACTCGCGCTCGGACAAGCGTCGCAGCCGCTACCGCACCTGCAGCACCAGCTCGGCTGGCAGCAACAACAGCACCGAGGGGGCCTGTGGGGAGGCGGAGGTGGGGAGGAAGCCCCCGGAAAGGCCCCACCCACAGAAGCAGCTCTCCGCCTCCTCCACCGACTCCCTGGAAGAGGACAGGGCCGAGGAGGGCCCCGAGGCCAGGAGGGCCCCCGAGCACAGCCGGCTCGCCCGCGGCCAGGAGGCCAGAGCGTCCCAAGGGGGGGGCTGGCCAGCCGGCAGGGGCTCCACGGCCTCCCATCCCGACTGGCGAAAGGGCGGCAAGACTTCTGGGGCCACCTCCAGGGACCCCGCAGAGGCCGGGGAGGGGAAGCCCCAGAACCGGGGCCGAGGGATCCTGGTGCTGCCGGCCAACACGGACCTGACCCCCAGCGGCACAGGGTCCCCCGAAGCTCCCCACGGAGGGGGCGCCCGGCTCCTTTTTGGCAGCGGCAAAGGCCCTCGCGGCTGGAGCCGGGGGGGCACGTCCCGTCGGCTCTGGGACCCCAACAACCCGGAGCAGAAGCCGGCGCTGAAGAGCCCGTGGACCCAGCTGCACTTCTTGGACACGGACGACGAGGGGGCCCCCGTGCCACGAGGGGAGCCCCGCCAGGCCCAGGCCCCCTACTACCGGTTCCAGAACTCGGACAACCCCTATTACTACGGAGGGGCCCCGTACCCTTATGCGGGGTACCCCCTGCCCTACCCGGTGGGCCCTGGCAGCGAGGTGTACCCTGCAGCCTATTATCCCACTGGCTACCCCAAGCAGGCCGAGCCTTGTGGCGCTGGGGGGGCTGGCGGTGCCCTCCCGTCTGACCCCCCCGGCCCAGAGGCGGAGCAGCAGAAGTGCCACCTGCAGCAGCAGCAGCAGCAGCAAGAGCTGGGCAAGGCCCTGCGAGAGGCAGGGCACCTGGAGCAGCAGCTGAGCAACCTCCTCTCCCGGGACAGGCTCAGCCCAGAGGGCCTGGAGAAGATGGGCAAGCTCAGGTGGGTGGGGGAAGGCGGGCAGCCGGAGGGGTTTCTCCCTCTGCTTGGGGGGGGGGTGTCTTACCTGGGCAGCTGTCCAAGCTGTGCCAGGGGTCTCTCTTGCCCAGGGGAGACGTCACTGAGCTCAGAGTTTAGAGCTGGGTGCTGAGAGGAGGCCTGGCCTGGGGGGGGGCAGCCCCCAAAAGGGTCCCTAGGCATAAGGGGGTGGGCAAGGGGGAAGGAGGGAGGGCTGTGCCAGGGGTCCTGAGGGAAGGGTACATGCTTTTTCCAATGTGCTTGAACACCAGGGATGGTGCCTGCCGCTCGGGGGGCCCTGGGGGGGGGGGACTTGGTTCGCCTTGGAGACATTCCCTGACCCCTCTGGGATTTACAGGCTGGGAGGTGGGTGGGGGTCTGCTGTGTGTGTGTCCCTGTCATCCCCTGGGACGTGGCCCTGGTCACCTGAGCCACAAGACTGAGAGCAAATGTATTTGAATGAATGACTGATTGATTGATGAGAGAGAGAGAGAGAGAGAGAGAGATGGTTAGAGATAGATGATGGATGGATGGATGGATTGAGAGACAGAGAGAGAGAGAGAAAGAGAGAGAGAGAGAGAGAGAGAGATGATAGACAGACAGACAGAGGCCAGTTGCCAAGCAGCCAAAGTTTCATTACGTGGCTGAGGACGCTTCAACAGTTATAAGTATGAAAGATGGTCAAAAGTCCCTTTTTCCAGAGCTATTGTAATTGGAAGTCACTAAATGAACAGTTGTAAGTCAGGGAACGTGTGTGGTCAGCCAGGGAGCTGTGGGGCATCAGGCTGGACTGCCTGGACTCGAGCCGCAGACGGCAGCCTAAACTGGTCCAGATTAATGTGGCACCGTCCAGAAATGAGGCATCGTTCTGTGGTCGTCTCGTCCGAGAAAAGCCCCTGATAACATTTTTTTAAAAATCCATCCGTGTCTGGGTCCAACGGCACCTGAAAAAAGTCCTGTAGCTTCTAATGGTCGCTAAACGAACTGTCGTATAAGTTGAGGACTACCTTATATATACGGTGGAGTGTTTTTTGTTTTTTGATGTGAGCCGCCCGGCATCCCCTCTGTGGGAGTTGGGGGGGGGGTGGCACCAAAGCCCCGGCTGACCGGCGGGTGACGGGCGTCCCGTTGCAGGGCGGAGATGCTGCAGCTATACGAGCTCTGCCTGCTGACCGACATCGAAGTGGCCGATGCGCAGAACGTGGACCAGCTGCTCTGGAAGAACGCCTTCTACCAGGTGATCGAGAAGTTCCGGCAGCTGCTCAAGGACCCGGCGGGCGGGGACGGTACCCAGGAGATCCGCGGAAAGCTGCTCCAGATCCTGGACGAGGTGAGGCGGGGGTCTCGGGGCGCCCTGGGCGGGTGGGCCGGAAGGCGGGAGGGAGCTGCCCATCTGGGACAGCCGGCGGAACGCGGGGGCTTCTTCCCTCCAGAGGTCACCATATCAGTGGGTGCTTCATATCAGAGGCTGGACGAGCCTGTCTGCAATGGTGTAGGGCGGGGGTCCCCAACCCCCAGTTTCATGGACTGGTACCAGGCTGTGGCATGCCAGCAACTGGGGCTCTCAAGCAAGCAAAGCCCCATCCGCGGGATGCAGTCAGCAGGTGAAAGCAGGCCCCCTCCGGTCCACAGAAGAACGGTCCCTGGTGCCCCAAAGGATGGAGGCCACTGAGCAGAGGGGCTGGACTAGAAGACCTCCGAGGTCCCTTCCAGCTCTCTTCGACTCTAGATTCTAGGAGGCGTCTCTTCCCTGGAAAGAATGCAGCTCCCTTCCTTCCCCTACCCCAGTCGAAGGGGACAGTGTGCAGGCAGTCCTCGGCTCACGACCGTCCCTTTAGCCACCAGTCGGAGTTAGACCAAAGCCGAAGAAAGTGACTTACAGGTGGTCCTCGCACTTACGACGGTCGCAGCATCCCCACGGTCACATGGTCAAGAATTTGGATGCTGGGCAACTGGCGTTTTATTTATTTATTTGGGAAAATTCATGTCACCCCCTCACGGGGACTCTAGGCGGCCTGCAGAAAAAGGCGGCAACTGTTCAGGACGGTTGCCACGTCCCCCGGGTCACGGGACCCCCGCTTGCCCACTTCCCAGCCGGCTTCCGACAAGGCAAGCCCGTTGGGAAAGCTGGATTTTTTTTCTTTTCTTTTTTATTACTGTATTTTATGTGTTTCTTATTATTCTATCGTATTATTTTATTTATTTTTATTTTACTGTTTTGTGCGATTTCATTCATTTATTTATTAAATTTATTTGCCACCTACCTCACTCTGGGGCTCCTCCGGGTGACTTAACAACAGTAAAAATGAAGAAATGAAAAGAAGCGTGAGCGTAACAATAGCAAAACAACGAAGCAATAAAATAGACCAGGGGTGGGGAACTATGGCCCCCTTGATGACTCGTGGACTTCAACTCCCAGAATTCCTGAGCCAGCCTGGCTCAGCATGGAAACCTCTCCCTTTCCCCTCAGCGTGGCTGGCTCAGGAATTCTGGGAGTTGAAGTCCACCAGTCATCAAGGGAGCCATAATTCCCCCATGCTGGCTCAGGAATTCTGGAAGTTGAAGTCCCCTCCTGGGGCAGGCCACCTTAGCTCTTTTATGACTGGGGGACTTCAACTCCCAGAATTCCTCAGCCATCACAGGGGAACTATGGCCCCCTTCATGACTCGTGGACCTCAACTCCCAGAATTCTTGAGCCAGCATGGGGAAACTATGGCCCCCTCATGACTCGTGGACTTCAACTCCCAGAATTCCTGAGCCAAAATGGATCACTTTGGAAACCTCTCCCTTTCCCCTCAGCGTGGCTGGCTCAGGAATTCTGGGAGTTGAAGTCCACGAGTCATAAAAGAGCCAAGGTTCCCCACCCCTAAAATAAGACAACGAAATAAGCAGCAAAAATACAGCAATAAGAGATTAAAAGATTTGCTTTTCATTTTACACCTGTCCTGCTTCGCTTAACCAGCAGGGCAAAAGGGTGATAAAGTCCGCCGTGACACTCAGCAACTGCCTTGCTTAGCAACAGAGCTTTTGACCCCAGTCGTGGTCGTAAGCCGAGGGCTGCGTGTGAGGCGGCTGGCCCAAGAGGCAGGCCGAAGGGCTCCCCAGGGCTGCAGATCTGCCTGGGAGGGAGCCCATCTGTAACCAAAAGCTGAAGCCGAAAATCTGCAGACCTTTTATTTATTTATTTATTTATGAGACTTACATACCGCTTTAAGTGCAAGCACTCTCTAAGCGGTGTACACCAGTAAGCAATGCATATATATATTTACGTTGCCCCCAACAATCTGGGTCCTCATTTTACCTACCCCGGAAGGATGGAAGGCTGAGTCAACCTTGAGCCGGTGAGATTTGAACCGCTGACCTGCTGAACACAGTCAGCTAAAGTGGCCTGCAGTACTGCACTCTAACTGCTGCGCCACCTCGGCTCATTTTCAGGGCTGGATCAGGGCAGCCGCAGCAGCTGGCCTGGCACCCTTTGAGGTGCAAAGGCCAAAGGTCAGCTGAGCCGTTTAGATGAAGGCCCCCGCTTCCTTAAGTGGGGAGGAAGGGGTGTCCCCCCTCAGGCCCAGCCAGAAGAACATCCCCCTCCCCGGTCCCCCTCTTCTCCAGAGCCCCAGAGGGCAGGACAAGGAAGAAGGGATGGAAACTCATCCAGGAGAGAAGCAACCTGCAACTAAGGAGAAACTTCCTGACAGGGAGGACAATTAACCAGTGGAACCACCTGCCTCCAGAGGTTGTGGCTGCTCCAATGCCGGAGGTCTTCAAGAAGAGACTGGGCAGCCATTTGTCCCCATTGCTGGAGGGTCTTCTGCTCGAACAGGGGGTTGGACTAGAGGACCTCCAGGGTCCCTTCCCACCTCTGTCCTTCTGTGACAGCCGCTTTCTCTCCCCCCAGGGCACCGTCTTCTTCGACGGCTTGCTGCAGAAGCTGCAGGCCACCTACCAGTTCAAGCTGGAGGACTACATGGACAGCATGGCTGTTCGCACCAAGCCCCTGCGGAAGACGGTGAGGCGGAGCGGGGGGGGGCCAGCAGGGGGGAGGAGGGTTCGGGGCAGCCCTGAGGATCCCATGGCGGCCGGGGCCAGACTCTGGCAGCGCTGGGGAGGTTTCCCTTAGGGCGGGGGTAGGCAGCTTCGGCTCTTTTATGACTCATGGACTTCAACTCCCAGAATTCCTGTTATGCTGCCTCAGGAATTCTGGGAGTTGAAGTCCATGAACTTCATAAAAGAGCCGAGGTTGCCTACCCCTGCCTTAGGGCAGCCCCTCACCCTCCTGGGTGACAGGCCTGGCCTTGCTCTATGAAGGGGTGAGGAGGGGGTCTCTGGCTGCCCCCTCTCCAGCCCCCTCCCTGCACTTCCCTCCCCAGGTGAAGTACGCCCTCATCAGCGCCCAGCGGAGCCTGATATGCCAGGGCGACATCTGCAGGTACCGCGAACAAGGCAGCGACACGGCCAACTACGGGAAGGCACGCAGGTAGGGCCGGGGGCAGCGGGGTGGGGTCTGCGAGGGGCACTGTGGTCCGAGGATGGATCGCTACGCTGCTTTCTTTGGAACGGCCGTTAAGCAAAGCTCACCTGTAGGCACCTTCACGGCCCCTGATGCCCCTGAGCTGCCGCCTCCGCCCTGGTGCCAGGATCTCCGTAGGGAGCCCCCCACCCCGAGTGGGAGAGACCCCCCCGGGAGGAGGGTGGAAAGGGCCCCTTTGCACTTAGCAGGGCTGAAAACTGCTGTAGCTGGGCAGAAATGCTCCCCCCTCCCAGCCTGGTCTCGGCTTGTTCCCCCCCCCAAAGGGACGTAAAAGTGGAACCTGAGAGGGGGAGCTCTCTGTTACTCTCCCCCCGCCACCACTTGCCAAGAGGATGGCATGAACTCCCCCCCCCCTCTCCGGCTTCCACACCCACCGAGCTAGTTGGGCCCCAGCCCGGCTTTTCCAGGCTCCCTCACCTCACCCCTCCCACCCACCCCTTCGCCTAGAAGAGCTGGGGGGCATGTGGGGGGGGAGCAGGAGGAGGGGAAGCGGGGCCTGGCCAGGTGCAGCAGCTCTAGGCAAGCCAGGGCAGCCGCCCTCCGGCCTTGATCCCTGCCAGGAGCTGGACCTGAGCGGTCAGTGGCAGCCTGGCTTGAGGGCTCCGGAGGGGTGGCCGTGCCGAGATACAACTGGCAGAGGCAGGCAAACAACTGGCAGAGGCAGGCAAATGCTGGGGCCACTTCACAGACCCCCCCCCACACACACACACCCAGATCCTAACTCTGCTGCCTTAGGGAAGGGCCAACCCCCGGTCAGAGGCGCGTTGGGGGTAAAGGCCCCCTGTGTCCTGCTCGGCTTCTTTTTTTTTTCTTTTTTTCTTTTTTTTTTTTTGTAAAAATTTTTATTTTCAATTTTACAATACATAACGATCTTACAAATACTTCAGATAAAAAACAAAACAAATTGATACCACATTCGGTCTTGCCCGCCCCTTTCCCCCCAAACCGCATCCCACCTCAAACCAACTTACTTCTTTCCCTCTTTTTCTTCACTCACCCCCCCCCCTCCTCCTTCACCTCCACCTTCCTACCTACTTCTCACCTCCTTCTTCTCCCTCTGGATGCGGTCCAGGGGGAATGCCCGAGCAGTTCCTCTCTCAAAATTAAAACATTAATATTATATACAATAAAACTATTTCTACTTAATCTGAACTACTTAAACTTCGACCCATCCACCCATCCAGGTACGTACAGGACAGCTTTTTAGGATCCAGATGCCATCTATAAAACATTTTATAAAAATTTTCCCTCAGATTCTGGGCCTGCGTAAGTTTAACATTTCTAGTCCAAATCACCTCCCATAAGTCCAACGAGATCGGTTCTTGAATATTCTGGGCCCATTTAATCACGCAATCTTTAACTAACTCTGTTTCTGAATCTGTCCTGCTCGCCTTCTGTCTTAGCCCGTGCCCCTCCCTGGCTTGAGCATTGACCCCTAGAGCGGCCAGCGGGAGGCAGAGGCCGCTGTGCCCCTGTCGGGGGCTCTTCCCGGGTCAGAGTCCTCAGGGAGGGGTGCCTGGGGGCCAGCGACTGGGGCCTTGGGAAGCCCTCCTGCCCCTGAGGGGGGCCAGCGGGCAGAGCCCAACCCTCGGGCAGCCCCTGGGGCTGAGGAAAGGACAGACCCTCTCGTTACAACCTCCTTCCCTCCCTCCTCGGGGGGGGGGGGTCCAGCAGTGCCTGCGCTGAGCGGGGCCCCCCCTGACCCGGCTCTTCCGCAGCTCCTGCCATCCGCTCACTGGCTCTCCTCTCTCTCCCCAGCTGGTACCTGAAGGCCCAACACGTCGCCCCCAAGAACGGCCGCCCGTACAACCAGCTGGCCCTCCTGGCCGTCTACACGGTAAGAGGGAGGCTCCGGCCCGTCTCTGCACGCCCCGCCCTCCTGCTCCGGCCACGGCCCTCTTCAGCCGGCCCATGGGGCAAGGCGGGACTGGCAGGGGGGGGGCAGCAGGCTCCCCGCAGAGGCCAGGGCCCTCGGTGCCAGGCTCCCTTTGGGTCCCAGGCCAGGGCCTGTTGTGGGGGGGGTGGGGGGGTCTCCTTTCAGCACCCGCAAGGGGGGCTCGGCCAGAACCGGTCCTTTCCCTCCAGCAGGCGGGGGGGCGGGAGGGGGCTCAGGCCCCGACTCGGGGTACAGGTAGTCCTCGACTTACGACCAGAGTGAGCCCAAAATGTATGTTGCTAAGTGAGACATTGGTTCAGCGGGTTTTGCCCCATTTTAGAACAGAACAGAGCTGGAAGGGACCTTGGAGGTCTTCTAGTCCAGCCCCCTGCTCGAGAAGGAGGACCCGTACCGTCTCAGACAAGGGGCTGCCCAGCCTCCTCTTACAAGCCTCTTACGGCTCCTCCTCCCACTTCTTGTTAAGTGAATCTCTGCCCTTCCTTGTTAAATTAGCCATACGGTCGTTAAGTAAATCCGGTTTCCCCCGTTGACTTTGCTGGTCAGAAGGTCGCAAAAGGGGACGGCGTGACACCCCCGGAGGCTGCGACCGTCACATGTATGACCTACTTGCCAGGGATCCGAGCGTTAATCACGTGACCGGGGGGGTGATGCTGCCACGGTCGTAAGTCTGAGAAACGGTCACAAGTCCCTTTTTTCAGGGCTGCTGTAACTTCAAATGGTCACTAAACTGTCGTAAGTTGAGGACTGCCTCTGCTTGACCGTCGTCCCATCGCTGCATCCGGGAGGGGGGGAGTCATGTCCGGCTGTCCCCCCTCTGACGCCATCCGCCCGTCTCTCTGTCCCCGCAGAGGAGGAAGCTGGACGCCGTCTACTACTACATGCGTAGCCTGGCCGCCAGCAACCCCATCCTGACGGCCAAGGAGAGCCTGACCAGCCTCTTCGAGGAGACCAAGCGCAAGGTCGGTAAGCAGGGCAACTGACCCGGCCCCCCCGGGCCCCCCACCAGGTCCTCATGGCCCTCTCCCCCCTCCCCCGCAGGCAGAGCAGCTGGAGCAGAAGAGCCCCCGGGGCCAGGGCAGCCAGCGAAGCAGGAAGGCGGCCTTCCGGCCCTCTGGAGACGATGCCACCCGCCTGGAGCTCTGGATCCACCCCTCTCACCCGCGCTCCGGCCAGGGCCACGAGCCCAGCCGGGACTCCGGGCAAGACAGCGGCCTGGGCAGCCTCAGCCCCAGCGAGGTGAGCCCCGGAGGGGTGCGGTTCTCTGTGCGGCCACAAGGGGGCGCTGCTCGGCTTGCTATGGTGGGGAAGCCCAGGCTTTGGGTTGGGGGAGCTGGCCCGGGTAGAAGGTAGTGGTGGGGGGGGCCCTCCTTGCCAGCCCTGCCCTGGTCCCTGGGTGCCACTCTGGCAGGTCCTGCCCCTCCCGTGCCAAAAGCTGGCCGGCCGGCCTCTGCCTGCGGAGGGACGCTCTGGGCTGCAAGGTCGGGGTGTGTGTGTGTGTGTGTGTGTGTGTGTGTGTGTGTGTGTGTGTGTGTGTGTGTGTGTGAAAACTTTGAAAACGCAATAATTGAAATAAGTAGCCTTTCCTGAAATTAGTTGTAAGATTTAATAATAATAATATAATAATAATAATAAAGTTGGAAGGGACCTTGGAGGTCATCTAGTCCAACCCCTTGCTCAGGCAGGAAACCCTAGACCAGTGTTTCTCAACCTTGACAATTTTAAGGCATGTGGACTTCAACTCCCAGAATTCCACAGCCAGCATTGCTCTAGACCATTTCACAGGCAGGCAGGAAGCCCTAAACCATGCCACAACAGTTGTGACATCTTGAAAGTTTAAAGCAGGGCTATCCAAGCTTGGCCACTTGAACACCTGCGGATTTTGACTCCCAGAATTCCCCAGCCAGCTTCCCCCAGCCACAGGCTCGGACACCCCTGCTTAAAAAGCTTAGTGTGTATATAAAAAAAAACCCCACCCTTGGGGGGGGGCTACAACATCCCTCAAAATGGCACATGGCTGCCCACTTCCGGGAGAATCTGAGAAAGTTGGGGGAGCCCGGCCCTTGGTGGTTTAGTCAACAAACCATGGTTAATGAGGACCCGTCCATGCATCTCCCAGGTTTGCTGCTCTCATCTTTGCTGAGTTGGGGGTGTTGCAAATGGGGCGGCGTGGAGGCCGCAGGGGGGTTGGTGGAACGGGGGAAGCTTGTGGGTCCCACTGGAGTAATCTCCCCCCCCCTCGCTCGCCCCCCCGAGACCCAAGCCCAAGAGGAAGCGTTTCTGCTGCAGTCGGGCTTCTCCGCACGTGGGGCTGAGTCTTTGCTGAGATGGGGGGGGGGCTCTGAGCTCGGGGAGCAGCCCAGGCACCCCTGGGTGTCCCCGGAAACCCTGCCAGGGCTGGAGGAGGCTTCCCCGCCCCCTCCCCAGAGCGGCTGCGTGCCAGATCTGCTGGGAGCCGACTTGACCCGGGTCACCAAAACCGCCCCGTAGCTTTATTTTGACTTGCGCTGTTTCGTTTCCAGCTGTGAGTTTCTGAAAGGAGGAAGCCCGGGTGCCAGCCTGCGAGGGGGGGCTAGAGGCAGAAACCACATGCCCGTCCTCCGTCCCCCCCCCCCCGGCTGGGGACGTGACACACGGCACGCAATGCCCTGCTGGAGCCCTGGCTGGGAACGGAAGGGCTGTCAGGGAAGTCCCCCCCCCCACGCAGGCCAGAGTCCCTTCTCCTGCACCCCCCAGCCTCTCGGAAGGCCCCCCCCGCCCCCCTCCTACCCCCGTGTGACCTTCCGCTGTCACCCACAAGGCCGGGCGACGCTCCCATGGAGGGTTTCCAGGCAGGGCAAGGAAGGCTTGTCACTGTTTGAGGTGGGAGTGGGGGAGGAGGTGCTACTGGGGGGTTATGCTTGGGGCAAGGCCCATCCAGAGCCAGTTCATTTTCCGGGGGAGATGACAGGGCAGCCTTGCCCAGAAGTCTCTCCCTTTCCCCCTTCCACACACACACACACACGGGGCCCCAGATTACACCTTCCCACACTTTCATGAGGACTAGAATCTTTCCCTGGCCTCCTCCTGACCCCTGACGGCACTCACTCATGATTTTACGTGGTCTGGGAGTTTCCCTCTCAAGGTGATTCAGCTGTCAGCATGGGAACAGCCGGGCTCTGGGTCTCGTGCAGAGGGCCGTCCAATGCCCACAGACCCACTGGAGCCACTTTCTCATCCCCCCCACCCCATTCTGCTTGTGGAGGTTGCCTTTCATGGCCCTGTCTGGTGCCAGGGCTGCTTTCAGCCCCCCCCCCTCCCGGAGGAGTGACGGCCACTGAGGGGAGGAGTGGAAAGGAGAGGGACCCCCCCTTGCAGCCTTCCGAGGAGCCGTGTGAGCCTTGGAACAGCCTCCCCTGGCCCCCTACTCCCCTCCGGAGCAGCCACCTCCTGGGGCTCCAGCACTCAGGCCCTGTGCCCGGCCCTTCATCCCCTCCCCAGGGACACCGCAGCATCGTTGGGGGTGACAGACCAGCCTTTCCTCTGGCATGCGGACTTCAAGTCCCAGAATCCTCCACTGGCTCCACACTAGCTGGGGAATGGTGGGAGCTGCAATTCACACGTACAGCGGTGCCCAGGATGGGGGAAGGGCACAAGCTTCCGGCCTCTCCCTGCCTGCCTGCCCCTTCGCTCCTGCTCCTGGTGGCTTTGGGGGGGGGCTTCCTGCCCCTGGGGACCCCCCCTGGCTTCTGCCTGGGGCGGCTTCCCCGGAGGGTCTCCGCAGGGCTGGATCTGGCCGGCTGCAGGTTGGGCCCCCCTGTTTCTGCCGGCAGCTGTTGCTTGAGGGGGGCCCCAGTTTATTTGGGGGGCCTCCCTTGGATCCTTCTGCACGAGGTCACGGCAAGGGCAGGGGGGGAAGGGCCCGGGCGCGCACGGCGAGGGGGGGCAGCTCTGCAGGGCTCAGAGGAGCTTCTGCAAAGCGCCCGTGGGCCGGTGCCGCTTCCTCTTGTGGGCAGCGAGCCCCGGAGGTTCCCAGCGCCGGCCTGGCAGGTGAGTCACGCAAGGGCTGAGTCATCTGCAGAGCGGCCCCGACAGGCACTCTCGGCTCAGCTGGGCTGGCGCAGCTCTGCAGCCGGGCCCGGGGTCAGGAGGGGAGAGCGGCTGGAGCCTGGTGCAGGTGCAGCTCCCTCACACACACACACACACACACAGAGACATGCCCCTGCAGGGTAGGCTGGACATGAACTGCTGCCTTCCCAGGCCTAGTCTGCAGGAGGGGGGGGGCTGAGGGGAATGGGGCTGGGCCTCACAGCAGGGACCCTCGGGCTCAGCGCCCCTCCCTGCAGATTCTCTGCCTCCGGAGATGTCTGGGAAATGCAGCTTTTCCAAAAGGGGACTGGACTCCCTCATTGTTTTTCTTTGGAAACGTTTCACTTCTGAAGTCCTAAAGAACTGAAGAAGCTTCTCGGATGGGAAGTGAAACGTTTTCAAAGAAAACAAAAAAAGTCTAGCTGCCTTTTGGGAAAAAAGCACCTTTGGGGCAGCCGTGAGAACCTCCACAGGCCTTCAGTGATGTAGCCACTCTTGAGAAGTGGGGCCAGTTTCTGGGGCCAGCCCACAGGGGGGACCGGGGAGATCGGCAGCGGAACCGGCAGCACCTTGGTCCTGCTTCTGATCCAGCCCCCCACAAGGAGGACCCCGTTGTCTGAGGATCGGACGGGGAGGCCCGGCTCAGCGAAGGGTTAGCGTTAGCAAAGCGTGGGGAGGGGGGGTTCGTCCTGAGGATGCCTGCTTGGGGTTTCCTACTTGAGCAGGGGCTGGACCTGGGGCCTTGGGCAACTCCACCTGGCCAGCTTGGTGTGGCCAACTTGCTACGGCCAAAGCATTGGGGAACAACTGGCAGCAGGACAAGAGTTACGCTAATATCAATGGAATGGAAAGGAAAGGAATAGAGCTGGAAGGGACCTTGGAGGTCTTCTAGTCCAGCCCCCTGCCCAAGCAGGAGAACCTATACCATCTCAGACAAATGACTGTCCACTCTCTTCTTAAAAACCTCCAGGGATGGAGCGCCCACGATTTCTGGTGGCAAGCTGTTCCACCGGCCAGCTGTCCTCATTGTTAGGAACTTTCTCCTTAATTCCAGATTGCTTCTCTCCTTGATGAGTTTCCATCCATTGTCGGTGGAACAGAATCATTAAAGAAAGGATGTAAAAGAAGGGACAGAACGAAATGGGAAGGACAAAAGTTAAAATAATTTTTTTTTAAATTATTTTAAACACTTGAATTGCAACGCTGCATTTTGTACCGCGGCGAGTTGTCCTATTCGGTTGGACTAGTTGACCTCAACGGTCCCTTCCAGCTGTGTCGTTCTGGTGCCAACCGCCTCCCGGCAGGTTGGCCTCCCTACAGTGGCAGCTCGGGGGGGGGTGGGCACTGCCTGGGCAGAGTGGAAGGTGCGCCCTCCCTGCTTGCGTCCCATCAGCCCCCTTCCCCCCCCCCCGCGATGATCCGGGCTTCTGTCCAGGGGCAGTTGCAAAGCCCCCGGCTGCCAGAAGGGGGGGCCCTGGCACCGCCGCCCTTCTCTGCAGCTGTCTGGCACGGGCCCTCCGAAGGCCCGGGAGGGGGGCTGGAGGCCAGGCACGGCCGCTGGGTTCCCATCTGCCGTACCCCCCCCTCGGCCCTGGCCAGGTTCTCCGGCCACTCGGGACGCGTTCGCAGGAAGTGGGAGCGGGCCTGGATTGTTTTCTCATCTTCTTCATCGTGTTCCCCACCCCCCTTTTGTCTCTCTCTCTCTGTGTCTCTCTCTCTTTTTCCCATACAGCTGAACAAAAGGTTCGTCCTCCGTTTTCTCCAGGCTCATGGGAAGCTGTTTACCAGGATTGGGTAAGGCTGCAGGATGTTTGTTTTGTTTCGCCTCCATTACCAGCCCTTCTGGAATCCAGTCCCCGGAGCAGCTGGGCTGGTGTTTGGAACGGAGGGCACAGGGTGGGATGCGAATGACCTCCTCTGCTGCGGGGGTCTAGGGGGAGAGGAGGGAGGGAGGGGGCGGGCTCTGCTCCTTCAGCTGGCTGGGCTCTCTGCCTGGGGGAGGCTGGCAGCAGCTCCTCTGCCGACTCAGAGCAAAACCCCTCTTGTATGACGGAGCCGGAAGGGACCTTGGAGGTCTTCTAGTCTGGCCCCCCGCTCAAGCGGGAGGCCCTAGGCCAGGGCTGTCCAACCTTGGAACTTTAAGACCTGTGGACTTCAACTCCCAGAATTCCCCAGCCAGCTTTGCTGGCTGGGGAATTCTGGGAGTTGAAGTCCACAGGTCTTCAAGTTCACAAGGTTGGACACTCTTCCTCCTGCTTGGGCAGCGGTCAGCTTCCGGACACGCGGAAGGACTGTCCTGAGCCCCCTCTGGCTCTCTCTCAGCAGCGTGGCCCCCCTGCTTGTGGGTCCCAAGCCAGGGAGACGGCAAGTGGCCCACTTTCTCCCCTCCAAGTGGATTTATGGGCACGGTGAGGACTGCTGGCAGCCCCCTTCTGCTCAGTGCCGGGCCTGGGCTGTTCCTGAGCCTACCACCCTTCAGCACCTCAGCCTCAGGGCCCCCTAGATTCCCCATTGCCTGCCCCTTTTGTGTGGGGAGCTGGTCAGGAGCGCCTCCTCCCACGGTGCCCCCCTCTCCGGAGTTTCTGTGAAGCTGACAAGCGTGGGGGGGGGAGGCAAGAGCCCCTGTGCCTCTGTTGCTCCTCAGGGACTGAAACCCAGATGGTGGACCTCAGCAGCTGGCAACTGCTGGCAACCCGACCCTCTGTGCCATCTCTCTCTCTCCTCCCTCTCTTTCCTCTCTCCTCCCTCTCTCTCTTCTCTCTCCCTTCTCTCCTCCCTCTCTCCCCTCTCTCCTCCCTCTCTCCCTCTCCCCTCTCTCCTCCCTCTCTCCTCTCTCCTCCCTCTCTCTCTCCATCTCTCCCTCTCTCTCCCTCTCTCCGTCCCTCTCTCCTCCCTCTCTCCCTCCGTCTCTCCTCCTCTCTCCTCCCTCTCTCCTCTCTCCTCCCTCTTCCTCCCTCCCTCTCTCCCGCTCTCTCTTCCTCCCCTCTCTCTCCTCCCTCGTCCCTCTCATCCTCACCCTCTCTCCTCCTCCTCCCCATCTCTCTCGTCCCTCTCCTCCCTCTCTCCCCTCTCCTCCCTCTCTCCCTCTCTCACCTCTCTCCTCCCTCTCTCCTCTCTCCTCCCTCTCCCTCTCTCTCCCCTCTCTCCTCTCCTCCCTCTCTCCTCTCTCCTCCCTCTCTCCTCCCTCTCCCTCCCTCTCTACTATCCCCTCGTCTCCTCGCCTCCCTCTCACCCACTCCACCCTCTCCTCCCTCCTCGTCCTCATCCCCCTCTCACCTCTCTCCCTCCCTCTCTCCTCTCTCCTCCCTCTCCCTCTCTCTCCTCTCCCCTCTCCTCGTCCCTCTTCCCCTCGTCCTCCCTCCCTCCCTCCTCTCTTCCTCCCTCCTCCCTCTCCTCCCTCCTCCCTCTTCTCTCGCCCTCTCGTCCTCTCCTCCCTCCTCGTCCCTCTCCCCCTCCTTCCTTCCCTCTCTCCCATCTCTTCAACCTCTCCTCCCCTCCCTCTCCTTGCCGCTCTCTTTTGGTCCTCCATCCTCCCCTCTCTCTCACTCCCCCATCCCCCCTCCTCGTCCTCTCCCTCCTCTCTTCCACTCTCCGGTACTTCCTCCCCTCGCCTCCCCTCTCTCCTCTCCTCCCTCTCTCCCCTCTCCTCCCTCTCTCCCTCTCTCACCTCTCTCCTCCCTCTTCTCCCTCTCTCCCTCTCTCTCACCTCTCTCCTCCCTCTCTCTTCTCTCCTCTTTCTCCTCCCTCTCTCTCCTCTCTCTGTCTTCCCTCTCTCCCTCCTCCCTCTCTCTCTTCTCTCCTCCCTCTCTCTTCTCTCTCTCCTCCCTCTCCTCTCTGTCCCTCCTCCCTCTCTCTTCTCTCCCTCCCTCTCCCTCTCTCTCCCCTCTCCTCTCCTCCCTCTCTCCCTCTCTCACCTCTCTCCTCCCTCTTCTCCCTCTCTCTCACCTCTCTCCTCCCTCTCCTCTCCTCTTTCTCCTCCCTCTCTCTCCTCTCTCTGTCTTCCCTCTCTCCCTCCTCCCTCTCTTCTCTCTCTCCCTCCTCTCTCTCTCCTCCCTCTCTCTTCTCTCTCTCCTCCCTCTCCTCTCTGTCCCTCCTCCCTCTCTCTTCTCTCCCTGTCTCTCTCTCTCTCTCTGAAACCTTTTGGGGGCCGCTTTTGCCATGCTCTGCATCAATCGGTCCTTCCTTCCTCCAGTCCTGGGGCTCCCCCATTCAGTTCCGAAGAGTCCTTCCCACCTTCTCCCTCTTCTGCCTGGTTTTGTTTATTTTTTATTTTGGTTCACTGCACAGTCAGCCAGATGTTCAGGCTGGCTTTGGTCTTTCTGCCTGCCTCCAGAGTCCTTCCCAAGGACCCGGGATGGGCAGAAGGGCTGGCTTGATGGGGTCAGAGGTCTCTTCGGAGGAGGTCAGCCGTTTCACGTAAAGCTGCCTTTTGCAATCGAGTGACTTTATTCTTATTGTTTATTAAATTTGCTTGCACACACACACACACACACACCCCAATCTCACTGAAAGGCGATTCTGGGCAGCTTACAACATCAAAAATAAAATCATAACTATATATATACCAGTGTATAAAATCACAATAAAATCACGGTGAAAATACAGATGACAACTGAAAGGAAAAGCTGGGGAGGAAAGGAGCAGATACGTCTCCCGGCACCCCTTTGCCTCCATCTCCTCTGCTTGAGCCCCCACCCCACCCCCCATCCTCTGGATTGCCCCTTTCTGCACCATTTGCAGCACCACAACCTCCTCCTTCAAATCCACCCAGCTCCAAACTTGGTTTCCCCAGAAATAAAACATAAACACACAACTGCCGCCCCAGCAGCAGCAGCAGCTTCCTTATCACTCTCAAAGGGCCGTTGCTTTTTTTCAAAACCACTGGAAAAGTGGACATTTCCACCGAGTGATTCACCCCGATTCCAAGACCCCGTCGCTGCCTGTCCGGACCCCCCTTTCGTGTGTGGCTGGACATGGGGGCTTCTCACCCTGGGCCCCACTGGCCGCTTTGAGGGCTGTTTGCCGAATCCTGGGCAGAGATTCCCTTTTCCATTTAGTCCCTCCGACAGGTTGGGGTCCTGAGCAAGCTTGGCCATCTGTCCGGTCAGTCTCGGCTTGGAAGGCCAGGTCCCAAACTGAGGGGCCCCCGCTTTGGAGAGCCCCCCCTCGGCTGCCCCCTTCCTCTGCTTCCTGCTCCGACCCGGAGGACCTTTGTCCCCCTCTCTCTCCTGGCTCCTTTGCTCCACGGCTGTCACCGGGAGGGTTTGACGGTCCGAGCACATGTGGCTGGCTGGGGGGGGTCCCTCTTGACCCCTCGAAAGGACCAGAGGGGGGGAGCGTCTCTTCAGGGCAGCCCCCCCCCCGTTTCCACAGCACAGCGTACTGGTCTCCATTTTGGATTGTGGTTTCCTCGCCGCCTTCTCAGCTGGGGTGTCAAGCTGATGGAGCTGACATAAGCCGGGCTGCCCTCCCTCCTCCCCCCCCCTTTCTTAAAATTGAAGTTACCCTGGTATTTTTCAGTCCTCTGGAACAGATGTCTTGGCCTTAAAAAGGAGTTTATTTTTGTCAGAGGATGGGGGGTTCTTAAAGCTTCAGGTGAAGGCCATCTGGGCCCAGGCCTTCGCTTCCTTCCCTCCCGTCAGACGGGCTGGCGATCCCAGCGGCTTCTCCCCACCGGTTCTACTCCCTTCAGGGGTGGCCCGGCCCCTGCCAAGCGTTGGTGATGCCAGGGGCAGCTGTGTTGCAGGCAGTCCTTGGCTTGCAGCCGTTCCCTTAGTGACCATTCAAAGTTACGACGGCACTGGAAAAAGTGACGTGACCGTTTTTTTCACATGTAAGACCGTCGAAGCGTCCCTGGTGCCGTACGATTAAAATCCGGTTGACAGCTGTCTCATATTTACGACGGTTGCAGGCACACGATCCTCTTTCGCGGCTTTCTGACTAGCAAAGTCAGCGGGGGAAAACCAGATTCGCTTAACAAACATGTGACTTGCTTAGCAGCAGCAGCGATTCACTTAACAGCCGTGGCAAGGGAGGTCGTAAAATGGGGCAAAACCCACTTCACAACTGTCCTGCTTAGCTATGGAAAAGTTGGACTCCGTTGTGGTCTTAAGCTGAGGGCTCCCTGCACCGTTCATGTTTTAAACGTAGAAATAAATAAGCTACAGCAGAACTCGGTCGGGGTCTTCAGTGCCACCCCCCTCTTGGGCCCGGTTGGGGCATGGACACGGATAGGCAACCTTGGCTCTTTTATTACGTGTGGACTTCAACGCCCAGAATTCCTGAGCCAGCCCTGCTGAGGGGAAAGGGACAGGTTTCCAAGCTGAGCCATGCTGGCTCAGGAATTCTGGGAGTTGAAGTCCACAAGTCATGAAGGGGCCATAGTTCCCCCATGCTGGCTCAGGAATTCTGGGAGCTGAAGTCCACCAGTCACAAAGGGAGCCATAGTTCCCCCATGCTGGCTCAGGAATTCTGGGAGTTGAAGTCCACGAGTCATGAAGGGGGCCATAGTTCCCTCATGCTGGCTAAGGAATTCTAGGAGTTGAAGTCCACCCATCTCCGAGTGGCCAAGGTTGAAAAATATAGGCTTAAGCCAGGGGTGGGGAACCTTGGCTCTTTTATGACTTGTGGACTTCAGCTCCCAGAATTCCTGAGCCAGCCATTTTGAGGGGAAAGGGAGAGGCTTCCAAGCTGAGCCAGGCTGGCTCAGGAATTCTGGGAGTTGAAGTCCACCAGTCATAAAAGAGCCAAGGTTCCCCACCCCTGGCTTAGGCCTGTATTTCTCAACCTTGGCCACTCGGAGATGGGTGGACTTCTCCTAGAATTCCATAAGGGACCTATGGCCCCCTTCAAGACTCGTGGACTTCAACTCCCAGAATTCCTACCCCTGGGCATGGAGGATCAAGGACTCTGGTGTGGAGAGCAGCTAGGATGGCAAAGCCCTAGCCGGGCAGGCCCCACAGAAACCCAGTGCCACCCAGAAGCGCCCCCCCCCCCAGTCCAGGCTTCTGCCCAGGGCAGAGGCCTAGTCGCCCTGCGCCACACTGAGTGGGGGGAGTGAGGCTGGCACTGCTGCCTCCACTGCCCCTTCTCCTTGCAGATGCTCCCGGAAGGAAAAGGAGCAGAGGTGGCTGTCCAGGCGGGGGGGTGGGGAGGCAGGCTGTGCTTAAATTCTGCCTGGCTGCTCTCCTCAGTCAGTCCGGCCTGTAGTGGCTGCAGGTTTATCTCGCCCCCAGAGTGGCCCAGGCCTGCAGGCAGGGCTTGCGGTGGGACCCAGGCCTGGCGAGAAGGGGAAGGGGCTCAGGCAGCCCAGGAGAGCAGCAAGAGCCCAGCCCCCTCCTCACCTTACTAGGAACATCTCAGCTTCTCTCTGTAATGGGCTGGGAAACCCCCCACTCCACACACACCTTGCTTTAGATGGGGCCAGGCTAGCTGGCCTCTGGAGGACCCAGAATCTTCCTCTGCCTACCTCTCGCTCATCCTGCCCTTCTGCCCTCCTTCAGGATGGAGACCTTCCCGGCGGTTGCAGCGGAAGTCCTGACCGCCTTCCAGGCCCTGCTGGAACACAGCCCCCCACCCATCGGGAGCAGCCGCCTCCTGCAGCTCATGGCCATCAACATGTTTGCCGTGCACAACTCGCAGCCCAAAGGTAGGGGCCTTTTCACCTGCGGGGGGAGGGGGAGGAGGTCTTGCCAGGCAGGGCTCCTTGTGCTTCCAGAAGACCCCCCCCTCCAGCGTGGGTGGCATTCTAGAAGACCCCCTTATGCTGGCCGGTTGGGGTCTCCTCCGTACCCGCTCCTTCTCGCATGCAAAATGGCTCCCAAGGTGCGTGAGACCAGCCTGTAACGCAGGGGTAGTCAACCTTGGCTCTTTTATGACTCGTGGACTTCAACTCCCAGAATTCCTGAGCCAGCTGTGCTGGCTCAGGAATTCTGGGAGTTGAAGTCCACGAGTCATAAAAGAGCCAAGGTTGACTACCCCTGCTGTAACGGTTCCAGAAATTGGGTATATTTAGTGTAACGAAAAGAAAGACCAGGGCTGACACAATAGCAGCCTTCCAGTATCTGAGGGGCTGCCCCACAGAAGAGGGGGGGGAGGGGGGGTCAAGCCATTCCCCAGCACCCCAGAGGGCAGGAGAAGAAGCCACGGATGGAAACTATCCAAGGAGAGGAGCGAACTGGAATTAAGGAGAAAGTTCCTGACAAGTGAAAACAATTAACCAGGGGAACGGAAATTGCCTCCAGAAGTTGTGGGTGCTCCATCGCTGGAGGCCTTTTAAGAAGAGACTGGGCAGCCATTTTGCCCAGAATGGGGTAGGGTCTCCTGCTTGAGCGGGGGGGGTTGGACTAGAAGACCTCTGAGGTCCCCTTCCCACTCTGTTAGTCTGAAAGCTGTCCCTGTGGGCAGCAGATCCTTTGATTCTGGGAGGCAGGTTTCCGGGTTCCTCTGCCGGGAGACCCCAAGGCCCCATCCGGCCCTGGAGAGGGGGCTCACTCTTCCCAGAGAGCCCCTAGAGGTTGGAGGGGGCTCGCCCCGTGCTCGGCCTCTGGCTCCTCCTGCGGCAGCCTCTTGCCTTGGTGGGCATCCGCCAGAGGGGCCGGGGCAGCTGCCCAGAGAAGGGGGTTCCTGGGCGCCCTTGCAAGTCCCCGCGGAGGGGTAGACAGCCCTGCCCCCCCCCCTTCTGCGAGAGCAGCCTGCTGAAATCTGGGCAGCGGGAGCGTTGGCCCGCCGAGGGGGAGGGGGGTCCCTATCTTCCGACCACAAATGCGTGGAGAATGTTCCGTTTGGGGGGCATAATTTGGGGGGAAGTAGGGCGTCTCGTTCTGGTGTGCGAGCGCGCTAATTGAAGCCGTGCTGCTGCGGCAGGGCATCTTGGGGAGGGGAGCAGGCGCCCCTCCCCCACCCATCTGCACCCAATTTATTCCAATCTGGACTCGGGGGCTTTCTCTCCCCCACCCCGCCTTCCCCCCCCCCTCGCTTTAATAATTTGTTTTATAATTGCGCGAATCAAACCCATATCAGGCACACTGTTCTGTTTTAGGGCGTTATTGGATTATGGTTTCTGTGAATCACGGGAAGAGGAGTTTATGGGCCACCACGGGGGCTGCCTCTGCTCCCCCTCCCCTCGCCCAGCCCTGCTCACCCCCAGGTCTTCTAGATCTTTCCCCAGAGGGAGCTGTGGATCTCCTTTCTGGACTCCTGGGGCCTCCGGGGCCGAGGGAGAGGTCGCCCCCAAAGGGGCGGGAGGTCGGGCCCCTTGCTGTTCTTCAGCAGGGGAGCTTTGGAACGGGGCTGCAGTTCTTGGGGGCTCCTGGGTGCGAGCCCCCCTCTCCCAGGTCTTGCCCAGATGTGTCGGGACTTCAGGGAGCCTGGCCAGCCAAGGGGGCAGGTTTTCAAGGCGGGGATCCCCTGCACTGCTAATGCTAAAAGCCGCTCAGGCCAGGACCTGTGGGTGCCCCCACCCATGTTCCTCTAGACCAGTGTTTCCCAAACTTGACCATTTTAAGGCATGTGGACTTCAACTCCCAGAATTCCACAGCCAGTGGAATTCTGGGAGTTGAAGTCCACATGCCTTAAAATGGTCAAGTTTGGGAAACACTGCTCTAGACCCTACGTGGCCCCTCCAGGTCGTGTGGCTCCCAGTGCAGCCTTGGCAGAACTCTGACTTCCTGGAAAGGACCCCCCCCTCCTTTTGAGGCAGTGCAGAGACCAAATTCACGCTGCACTCCTGGGGGGGTCCCATGCCCCTCTTTTGAATGAAAACCCCAACAGGCTTGAAGTGATACCTGGGTGATGGCGTCTTTCTGCTTGGGGTTCCCCTGCTAGGATGCACATGCGCCCAGGCTTGATTTAGTGCAGGGCTGGAGAGAGGAGGAGGGGAAGGGGGGGAGGAGGAGGAAGAAGAAGAGGAGGAGGAGGGGGGGGCGGCCACCATCTGACTTTTAGGGGTGGTATTTCTGAAAAAGTTTTTCCAGCCGGTTGATCGCAAAGCGAGTTGGTGCCCGTGGTGTGTTGGGGTTGCAGAAAAATGCAAATGGACGTTTCGGCTGCGTCCACAGAGGCCGAAAGCCCAGCCAGGGGAAACGGAGGTTCTGCTTATTTTACTTGCTGGCCCCCCTCTGAGCCCAGGAGTGGCCGGCTTGGAGAGGAAGGAAATATTTCCGTGAATCCCACATCCAGTTCTACATGCTGCCCTTGAAGGGGGGGGCATTTCACAGAAAGGGACGTTGAAGGTCTTCCAGTCCACCCCACCACCACCAGGACAGGAATCTAGTTGGAGGAGTAGAGGGAGGGAGGGAGGGAGGGAGAAGGCTCAAGGGATGGACGGGCAGCCGTATGCAGCTAGTCCTCAATTTACAACAGTTCCTTTAGTGACCATTCAACCTTAGAATAGCACTGAAAAAAGTGACTTATGACCGTTTTTCACACTTACGACCGTGGCATCATCCCCCTGGCCACGTGATCAAAATTAGGACACTTGGCAAGTGTTTCGTATTTATGATGGTCACCATGTCCTGGTTTTGCGACTTTCTGATGAGCAGAGTCGACGGGGTGGGAAGCCAGATTCACTTAACGACCGTGTTACTAACTTAACTCCAGTGATCCACTTAACGTCTGTCGTAAAGAAAAGTCGTAAATGGGCAAAGTTCGCTGAACAACTTAGCAACAGAAATTTGGGGCACGATTGTGGACGTAAGTTGAGGACTCCCTGCAGATTGGTGGGTTGGCTGGATAAGGACGTGGCAAAGGGCCTCGGGCAGGAGGGGGCCAGCCCTCTTGCGGGCAGCGGATTCTCGCCTTCAGCTCCTGCCGGGCAGCCGGGGTGGGGGCGATGCTTCCTAGCAGGGGGAGCAGGTGGACGGGGTGGGGGGATGTTCCCACTGACCCCAAGAGTTGGGGGGCTCCTGGGGATGCTGGAGCACAGCGGCACCACCACTTCCCGGGGACTTTGATGCCGTTTCCTTGCTTGAAAGCCGGGGGTCTGTGGCCGGGCGTGGATGGCACAGGGCAGTCCTGGGATGGGGGGATCAGAGGGGCTTGTGAGTGTGCGAGTCCCTGTCTTGAAGCAGATGCTGTGATGACAGCTGCCCTCCCCCCTCCTGCGTCTCTTCCCTGGGAGCTTCGCCCTTCTCCCCCCCCCCCCTTGCTGCTGCTGCCGCCGCCTTGGCCAAAGCCCAGCCCTTAATCTTGAGGAGGTGCCAGGAGGTTGCCCTCCAGAAGCCAAGTTGCCTTTGAAGCGTAGCTACTTTGCGGCTCGGGAGCTCTCCAGACGGCGTCGAGCTGCAGCCGATGGGGGGACTTGGCAGAGGGGAGCCCCGGGGCCTTTTCTCCGCTCCTTCTCGCCCCACTGGGCCTGCTGGCAGGATGTCCGGAGCCCCGTCCGGCAGCCAGCCTGGTGAGAAGGAAATCGCGAGAGGCCGTGCGCGGGATCTGGATCTGTGCACTAAGCCAGTGTTTCCCAAACTTGACAATTTTAAGGCATGTGGACTTCAACTCCCAGAATTCCACAGCCAGCAACGCTGGCTGTGGAATTCTGGGAGTTGAAGTCCTCATGCCTTAAAATTGTCAAGTTTGGGAAACACTGCACTAAGCTAACTGGATCGTGGCTTAGTACTGTGGCTTGTCCAGCAAGCCCCATTGAAAAGGTGCCACGGGTGATGGGACTTGCGAAGGGGCCCTTCTGGGCTGGCCCAGCACCTCCTGTGTGGCGGAACCGTTGCCTAAAGCAGAACACAGAAATACACGCAGCATCCAGTTGGCATAAGGAGCCCTGGGGGCACAGGGGTTACCCCGAAGCCTGGCAGGCAGACTCTGCAATCCACAGCCAGGAGTTCGATCCTGGCCGGCTCAAAATTGACTCAGCCTTCCGTCCTTCCCAGGTTGGTAAAACGAGGACCCAGATGGTTGGGATGCAAATAACGCTTTCGCTTTAAACCGCCCAGAGAGCGCCATTAAGTGCTGTGGGGTGGCATATGAGCCTAAACGCCCTGGCTGTGGTGGGTGGCCTCTGTTTCTCTTGAGGCCGTCTTGCCTTGACAGGGACAGTGGTAGAAGAGGGCAGCCCGGGGGCACGGGGGGGAGGAGGAGGAGGAGATCAGGGAAGCCCCCCCTTGCCCTGAGAGCCAGCACGAGGGTTTCCGCAGTCAGAGGAGGGGGTCTGCAGGGGTCTTGGCTCTGCTGGTGGACCCAGGGCCCTTTGGCAAAGGGCGTCCAGAGCCCCTTCTGGATTGATGGCCAGGGCTGGTGGGCTGCTCCAGGAACCTTCCTGGGGGCTGCCTACGACACTTGGGGGTCTCAGCTGCCCTCCATATCGCCGGCCTGTGGCTTTGGAGGAAAGGGAGCTGGTGGACTGTCCTCCCTGGCTACACCCCCACCACCCCATCCCCGCCGGGGGACAGGAATTCAGCAACTGGGGCAGAGAGAGCTGAACAGGAGGTTAAACCCTCCCGATGAAGCCGAAAGGAAAGACCCCACAATTCTCTCTGCGATGCACACGGCCCCCTGTGAAGGGGCTGCACAGAGCAGGCCAGGCTGAGCTGGGGGGGGGCAAACCGAGCCTCCCCTGCAGGTTTGGGGCTGGAGGAGGCCAGGAACGTCCAGTCTGAGTCCTCCTCAGACGTGGCTAGTAGCTTGGATCAGCCAACCGGA